CGCCCGTGCACATTGTTACTGGATCTGCCGTGAGTCTAGGGGATACAGTTGATAGATATACGTGTTGCAAGGTTTCAATGTATATGAAACTATTGATAGATATAAACGTTTGCTAGGTTTCACTGCAGATGTGTATGTAGACAATACTATGTTTAATACTGGGGTAAATGATATACCAGTAGGTAAACTGAAGAAAATGATATGTTTAAGACTTAAACGATGATATATGCAATACTATGGAAATTGAATTGTCAATGCTGAGGCCAATGATATATTCAATTCTTATGACAACGATACATTTAATACAAAGAACAATGGTATAATCAATAATAAGGAGAATGATATAGTCAATACTGAGTACAATGATGTATTTACCACTTAGGAGTAGACCGGGGAATGTGACATAAATCTATGATTGTTTCTTTCAGGGTGACAGAGAAGGACAGACCAAATTTGACCATACCCTGTTCCCCTGGACATCTTTCCACTCAGACGACTACGGGTACACCCGGGTGACAGTGCACAACACAACTCATCTGTACCTGGAGGAAATGTCGGTAGACAAGGTCTGTCCCGCCAGGAATCACAGGGAGTCATGTATTGCACAGCATATGATCTCTGAAAAGTACTTGCAGGAGTCAATATATAAGATAATTATGGATCTGTGAAAAGGTCCTATTGTAACATTATATTGCACGACAGATGGTCTGTGAAAAGTTCCTATTGTAACATTATATTGTACGACAGATGTTCTGTGAAAAGTTCCCTTTGAAACATTATATTGTTAAGTAGTTTAAGTAGTTGTTAGGTAGTTTTATATACATTAAAATGCTGAGAACGATTGTCAGTTGTATGAATGTGAGATACATGAATTAACATGCTGGCAGTCGTTATGAGTCAGGCAGATGTGAGATATGAATTTGTATGATAACATCTGTTATCACTCTGATGGGTGTGTGTGTCTGAGATGTATGCATTTGCATGACGACAACGGTTTTCAGTCGGGTGGATGTGAGATACTAGTATCTTACACACCTGTGGGTGAGAAACCCATTTGAGATAACTGGTATCAAACATATGTGCGGGATCGAATTCCAGGCCCGTGATTGGCTACTCCACGATGAGGACCTGAGGTCAGATTATGACGGACTACATTTGTGTAACGACAACGGTTTTCACTCTGGTGGATGCCTGATAACTGCACTGGTGTGACGACAATTTCCCTTTTTGTGAATTTGGATTCCGACAAGAACGGTTTTCAGCAGTGTGGATGTGAGATATAGGCAACGGTTTTCAGTGATTACAGCGCGCATCACTTGTTTGGCCGACAGAAATGTGAGGAAGTTGATTCAAGTTGTGTTTTTTTCTTGCAGAAGGGTGCTGTTATTGATAAGGCGTGGATAGTACGTGACTCTCACTCGGCCGGCCAGTTCAACTGTCTGGCGGTTCCCAGGTAGCCACGCGGAAGTCTCTCCAAGTCTTTGGAAGAAATCAAGAATCTGTACTCCAATGATTAACTCACACGGATCAGCGAGGCGACGATAACTTAATGTTATTAAATCATGTGATATAATGTATTGTACATATTATTTTACAAGTTTGATAATGATGCATTAATTTAACAATAAATCGAAAATAAATTCTTCATTGTGATACTTTGGATTCAGAGGTGAGGTGACACGGGGTTTAACGTCGTGTTTCATTATTAAGATTATTGCACTAATATTACGACGTGCATGCACGAGCGCCAATCAGGGTAACAACAAGTACCATCTTTCACCGTCTATTGGTATGACGCGGCATGGGATCGAACCCCCGAATTTCCGCTCTCCGGAAGGACGCTGTATCCACTAGGCCACGGAGGCTGTCTGTTTGGATACAAAACTTAGTGATGGAGAAACACAAGGTATAGCAATCTTGTAGCTAAACAATGACGAACCAGTATATAACAACACATACAGTATCATGAGGCTCCTATATATACAGGAGATTAAAGTCAGCAATAAGCCAAATTCACATTACTTGGGTACATTCAGTATAGAAAAGACCAATGAAACAAACACGGAAGAGCTCGCTCAAATAGTTGGAAAACATGGGATAATCCTTGATAACTGTGATGCCCACAGTCCCTGACCACCGCACCCAGGTCCACAAGGGTTAGGTGAATAGAGACGACATACAGAGGTCCGTCAGGGTTAGATGAATATAGACGACATAGAGAGGTCCGTCAGGGTTAGGTGAATAGAGACGACATACAGAGGTCCACCAGGGTTATGTGGATATAGAGGACATTCAGCGGTCCACCACCGTTAGGTGAATATAAACGACATACAGAGGTCCGTCAGGGTTAGGTGAATATAAACGACATACAGAGGTCCACCAGCGTTAGGTGGATATAGACGACATACAGAGGTCCGTCAGGGTAAAATGAATATAGACGACATACAGAGGTCTACCAGCGTTAGGTGGATATAGACGACATACAGAGGTCTACCAGCGTTAAGTGGATATAAACGACATACAGAGGTCCGTCAGGGTTAGGTGAATATAAACGACATACAGAGGTCCACCAGCGTTAGGTGGATATAGACGACATACAGAGGTCTACCAGCGTTAAGTGGATATAAACGACATACAGAGGTCCGTCAGGGTTAGGTGGATATAAACGACATACAGAGGTCCACCAGCGTAAGGTGGATATAAACGACATACAGAGGTCCGTCAGGGTTAGGTGAATATAAACGACATACAGAGGTCCACCAGCGTTAGGTGGATATAGACGACATACAGAGGTCCGTCAGGGTAAAATGAATATAGACGACATACAGAGGTCTACCAGCGTTAGGTGGATATAGACGACATACAGAGGTCTACCAGCGTTAAGTGGATATAAACGACATACAGAGGTCCGTCAGGGTTAGGTGGATATAAACGACATACAGAGGTCCACCAGCGTAAGGTGGATATAAACGACATACAGAGGTCCGTCAGGGTTAGGTGAATATAAACGACATACAGAGGTCCACCAGCGTTAGGTGGATATAGACGACATACAGAGGTCCGTCAGGGTTAGGTGAATATAGACGACATACAGAGGTCCGTCAGGGTTAGGTGAATATAAACGACATACAGAGGTCCACCAGCGTAAGGTGGATATAGACGACATACAGAGGTCTACCAGCGTTAAGTGGATATAAGCGACATACAGAGGTCCGTCAGGGTTAGGTGAATATAAACGACATACAGAGGTCCACCAGCGTTAGGTGGATATAGACGACATACAGAGGTCCGTCAGGGTTAGGTGAATATAGACGACATACAGAGGTCCGTCAGGGTTAGGTGAATATAAACGACATACAGAGGTCCACCAGCGTAAGGTGGATATAGACGACATACAGAGGTCTACCAGCGTTAAGTGGATATAAGCGACATACAGAGGTCCGTCAGGGTTAGGTGGATATAAACGACATACAGAGGTCCACCAGCGTAAGGTGGATATAAACGACATACAGAGGTCCGTCAGGGTTAGGTGAATATAAACGACATACAGAGGTCCACCAGCGTTAGGTGGATATAGACGACATACAGAGGTCCGTCAGGGTTAGGTGAATATAGACGACATACAGAGGTCTACCAGCGTTAGGTGGATATAGACGACATACAGAGGTCTACCAGCGTTAGGTGGATATAAACGACATACAGAGGTCCGTCAGGGTTAGGTGAATATAGACGACATACAGAGGTCCGTCAGGGTTAGATGAATATAGACGACATACAGAGGTCCGTCAGGGTTAGGTGAATATAGACGACATACAGAGGTCCGTCAGGGTTAGGTGAATATAGACGACATACAGAGGTCCGTCAGGGCTAGGTGAATGTGGACAACATACAGGATTATGTAAATATGGTCAGATAGGAGTTTAAGACATATGCCATTCTGCGTAAATGTTTATTTCCTATCTACAAAGTTTCTCCATATCATCACGTGTTTACAGCGAATCGTGGCGTCTCAGACGACTGGGCCACCTGTATCCCCGTATATCATACAGCTGCATCATACTGTATATCCTATAGATGCTGCATGGTAATGTATATCCTATAGCTGCTGCATGGTACTGTATATCCTATAGCTGCTGCATGGTACTGTATATACTATAGCTGCTGCATGGTACTGTATATCCTATAGCTGCTGCATGGTAGTGTATATCCTATAGCTGCTGCATGGTACTGTATATCCTATAGCTGCTGCATGGTACTGTATAGTATATAGCTGCTGCATGGTACTGTATAGTATATAGCTGCTGCATGGTACTGTATATTATATAGCTGCTGCATTGTACTGTATATAATATAGCTGCTGCATGGTACTGTATATCCTATAGCTGCTGCATGGTAGTGTATATCCTATAGCTGCTGCATGGTACTGTATATCCTATAGCTGCTGCATGGTACTGTATAGTATATAGCTGCTGCATGGTACTGTATATCCTATAGCTGCTGCATGGTACTGTATAGTATATAGCTGCTGCATGGTACTGTATATTATATAGCTGCTGCATGGTACTGTATATAATATAGCTGCTGCATGATACTGTATATTATATAGCTGCTGCATGGTACTAAATATCATATAGCTGCTGCATGGTACTATATATCATATAGCTGCTGCATGGTACTGTATATCCTATAGCTGCTGCATGGTACTATAAATCATATAGCTGCTGTATGGTACTGTATATTATATATCTGCTGCATTATACTGTATATTATATAGCTGCTGCATGGTACTGTATATTATATAGCTGCTGCATTATACTGTATATTATATAGTTGCTGCATGGTACTGTATATTATTTAGCTGCTGCATGGTACTGTATAGTATATGGCTGCTGCATGGTACTGTATATCATATAGCTACATAGTTATGCGAGTGTTATTTTAACTGGTGTGGTCTGGTTTCTCTACCGCTATGTTCTGAATCCAAACAATCACAGAAAAGAAAAGATTCATTATTTATTGATCATTTAAAATACATTGCACCATTATCAAAATTGTAAAGCGAATATATACAATAAATTGTGTCACATGATATAATAAAATTAAGTTATCGTCGCCTCGTGTCGCCTGGGTGTATCACTGGAGTACAGATTCTTGATTTCTTCCGAAGACTTGGAGAGACCTCCGCGCGGCTACCTGGGAACCGCCTGACAGTTGAACTGGCCGGCCGAGTGAGAGTCACGTACTATCCACGCCTTATCAATAACAGCACCCTTCTGCAAGAAAAAAAACACAACTTGAATCAACTTCTTCACATTTCTGACGGCCAACCAAGTAATACCCGCCAAGTTAAATCCACCCGACTGAAAACTTGTTGTCGTCATGCAAATGCATATATTACACAACCGCCTGACTGTCTGACGGACAGTATAAAGTCCTTTTCAGAGATCACGTGTTGGGCAATATATGTACACGTGTGTCATAGATCACGTATTGGGCAATATATGGACACGTGTTTGTCATAGATCACGTCCTGGGCAATATATGACTCCTACATGTACTTTTCAGAGATCACGTGCTGGGCAATATATGACTCCTACATATACTTTTCAGAGATCATGTGCTGGGCAATATATGACTCCTACATGTACTTTTCAGAGATCATGTGTTGGGCAACATATGACTCCTACATGTACTTTTCAGAGATCACGTGTTGGGCAATATATGACTCCTACATATACTTTTCAGAGATCATGTGTTTGGCAATATATGTACACGTGTTTTTCAGAGATCATGTGCAGTGATTCCTGACGGGACAGACCTTGTCAACCGACATTTCCTCCAGGTAGAGATGTGTTGTATTCTGCACTGTCATCCGGGTGTACCCATAGTCGTCTGTGTGGAAAGCGGTCCAGGGGAACAGTGTATGTTCAAATTTGGTCTGTCCTTCTCTGTCACCCTGAAAAATAACAGTCATGTAATTATGTCACATCCCTTAATCTACATATGCCATTTCCCCATATTACATATATCATTGCCCCCTTATTACATATATTATTGCCCCCAGTATTACATATATCATAGGCCCCCATATTACATATATCATTGCCCCCTTATTACATATGCAATTTCCCCATATTACATATATCATTGCCCGCAGTATTACATATATCATTGCCCCCTTATTACATATATCATTGTCCCCAGTATTACATATATCATTGTCCCCTAATTACATATATCATTGTCCCCAGTATTACATATATCATTGACCCCTTATTACATATATCATTGACCCCTTATTACATATATCATTGTCCCCAGTATGATATATATCATTGCCCCCTTATTACATATATCATTGTCCCCCTTATTACATATATCATTGTTCCCAGTATGACATATATCATTGCCCCCTTATTACATATATCATTGTCCCCAGTATTACATTTATCATTGCCCCCTTATTACATATATCATTGTCTCCAGTATTACATATATCATTGCCCCCTTATAACATATATCATTGTCCCCAGTATTACATATATCATTGCCCCCTGTTTACATATATCATTGTCCCCAGTATTACATATATCATTGCCCCCTTTTTACATATATCATTGTCCCCAGTATTACATATATCATTGTCCCCAGTATTACATATATCATTTCCCCCTTATTACATATATCATTGTCCGCAGTATTACATATATCATTGCCCCCTTATTACATATATCATTGTCCCCAGTATTACATATATCATTGTCCCCTTATTACATATATGATTGTCTCCAGTATTACATATATCATTGCCCCCTTATTACATATATGATTGTCTCCAGTATTACATATATAATTGCCCCCTTATTACATATATCATTGTCCCCAGTATTACATATACCATTGTCTCTAGTATTACATATATCATTGTCCCCTTATTACATATATCATTGTCCCCAGTATTACATATATCATTGACCCCTTATTACATATATGATTGTCTCCAGTATTATATATATCATTGTCTCTAGTATTACATATATCATTGACCCCTTATTACATATATGATTGCCCCCAGTATTACATATATGATTGCCCCCAGTATTACATATATCATTGTCTCTAGTATTACATATATCATTGTCTCCAGTATTACATATATCATTGTCTCTAGTATTACATATATCATTGCCCCCTTATTACATATCATTGTCTCCAGTATTACATATATCATTGACCTAACATTACATATATCATGGCCTCCGTATTACATATATCATTGACCTAATATAATATATATCATTGCCTCCGTATTGCTCATATCATTGCCCTAATATTACACATACCATTGCCCTAATATTACATATATCATTGCCTCCGTATTACACATATAATTGCCCTAATATTACATATACCATTGCCCCCTTATTACATATATCATTGCCTCCGCATTACTTATATCATTGCCTCCGTATTATATATATCATTGCCTCCGTATTACTTATATCATTGCCTCCGTGTTACATATAGCATTGGTCCCCCATATTACACATATCATTGCCCTAATATTACATATACCATTGCCCCCTTATTACATATATCATTGCCTCCTTATTACTTATATCATTGCCTCCGTATTATATATACCATTACCTCCGTATTACTTATATCATTGCCTCCGTGTTACATATAGAATTTGTCCCCCATATTACATATATCATTGCCCCCATATTACATATACCTCATCTATCTAAACCTTTATTTCATCTGCATTGAAATGTAACAACATTTATATCTTTCAAGTGTTTCGTGTTGATTGAAGTGTTTCATCTGCATTGAAATTTGGCGACATTTATATCTATCAGTTGTTTCATCTTCTAAGACATCTGGCAACATTTATATCTATCAATAGTTTCATATACATTGAAACCTTGCAACATGTATATCTATCACATATTTCCCCTGGACTCACGGCAGATCCAGTAACAATGTGCACGGGCGCCTGAGGGTTGACGTAGGGCTTGTCAATGCTGCCGTTGCAAATCTGAAAAATATACCACGCAAATAATTTGTACATCGTCCTATCATGTAATATTCCAAACCATTTCAAAATAACCTCACTAAAAATCGCCGACTTCCAACATTAATATCTGAATAAGAACAAATAGTTGAATTGAGTTGATCGCATGTCACATGCCACTAGGGGGCGCTGCTCAGTGAGCCGGATGTAGAATGATTGTATGGACGTCCAGAGATGGGAATGTCCTGTGCAGGATGTGGACATGCTAGGTTTGTGGATGTAGGCAGGTTCGCGATGCAGACAGTGTACCCACCTTGGTCTTGTACACTGGCCACAGCCGCTCGTACGAATGTTCATGGGCATAGAACTCCAGGTCAACGCCATACTTGTAGAACAACTCCTCCAGACTAGCAGGGTAGTACTTGTTTCCATTTCTGATCTGTGAACAGACATATATCTCAAACTAGAGCGTCAAAGTACGGCTTGGCCTTACTGCAAAATTCGATTGCAATTATTTGGTCACTTCTCGCAAATGATCGTGATATAGTCGGAATTGTACAATTGGTAGACCTTTCTTATGAAGATGGAAACGATTTTTCGCTTTTATTTTATGAAACCACCATCGACGTGTAGTAAATACGTCATTAACAAATAAAAAACTCTGACGATCATCACAATGTCGGGAAATGTTAATTCACTGAAGATGAAATTCAATCAAATCCGTTTGGGGTCGCTTTCATTTGTTACAATTTGATGATGACGGTGGTCGATGATGACGGTGGTCGATGATCACGGTGGTCGACGTACCGGGTTGTTGACGTTGTCACACAGGTTCTCTGCATCCTTGTTGGAGCAGTACATGGGTTTGTGGCCCATCACGATGATCCATGGCCGAGCTGCTCTGTTGCCCGGTAGGTTGGCCGCCTGGAGGTCCTTCTCCAGCCACTCGTACTGGGCGCGGATGCTCTCTGTACTCACGCCGTAGTAGTACACCTCAGTGGAGAAGCTGATGATGTGGGCGGGGCCGATGTTCCAGCTGCAGATGTGTGGAACACTTGTCAATGTGTGTCTGTGTGACACTTGTCAATGTGTGTCTGTATAACGCTGTGTGTGTATGCTTCACCAGTAAATGTGTGTCTGTGTAACACTTGTCAATGTGTGTCTGTGTAACACTTGTCAATGTGTGTCTGTGTAACGCTGTGTGTATGCTTCACCAGTAAATGTGTGTCTGTGTAAGACTTGTCCATGTGTCTGTGTAAGACTTGTCAATGTGTCTGTGTAAGCCTTGTCAATGTGTCTGTGTAACACTTGTTAATGTGTCTGTGTAAGACGTGTCCATGTGTGACTGTGTAACGCTGTGTGTGTATGCTTCACCAGTTAATGTGTGTATGTGTAAGACTTGTCAATGTGTCTGTGTAAGACGTGTCCATGTGTGACTGTGTAACGCTCTGTGTGTATGCTTCACCAATAAATGTGTGTCTGTGTAAGACGTGTCCATGTGTGTCTGTGTAACGCTGTGTGTTTATGCTTCACCAGTAAATGTGTGTCTGTGTAACACTTGTCAATGTGTGTCTGTGTAACGCTGTGTGTGTATGCTTCACCAGTAAGTGTGTGTCTGTGTGCATGACTTGTGAGTGTGTTGTGTGCATTACCAGTGAATGTGCTGTGTATGCCTGACTAGATACTCTGATGTTCAATAATATTGCATAAATTGAGAACACATTCACGTTATCTATCTTTTATGAAGATATGTTTGAAGAAATTAATGTGTGATAAGCAATACGGTTACCATGGCATGGTCTTGAATGTATAAATCCTACTAACTACACAAAAGAATGGTTTGTAATGATTAAATATTCCTACCTGAAATACATGCCCTCTCCATCACCGCCAGGCATTGTGAATCTGTTCCTGTAGTTGGAGAAGTTGCTGAAAGAGGAGGCATGTGGTATATGTGAAGATGCTGCAAGTTTAGGAAATTCCGTGTATATCACATTGTTCAACACACGTCCTGTTCACTGCCAACATATCTATTAGTTGTGAGGAAAACCCTATGCATACGTCACTTCTTCAACTAGATACAGATATACTGAGAGGGGCGGACTCTTGATGCAATAGAGGTAGTATTCTTAATTTTATTACAAGGATAACTATTGTTTGATAATTACTTTGAATACATTACCTTTATTACATGATATACCATATACACCAAAGGGACCGGTGGGATCGAGCATCTAGTATAATATATATATATATATATATATATATATATATATATATATATATATATATATATTCCTTTTGTTCCAGATGTGGCATTTTATGACGTCAGTTGTATTGCCTTTTAGTCGTTTTATCGCCCTTCTGACGTCACGTATGACGTCACTATCGGTACATATGCATTTTCCTGTCTTGGGTAGACCATTTTCCCTGTAGTGTGACGTCGACCATGTGATCTCCAGTCCCACGCCTGACGCATCGTTGTAGAGGAGATGCTCTTAGTATTTGAGAGTATGTAAGGTATACCTGGCACAGCATTGTGGCGTCGTAGCCGACAATGTAGTTCTTGGCTGTTGGATGGGGGCGCACGGGTGGCCCAGTTGTAAAGGGTTGCGCGCCAGAAACCTATGATTGTGGGGTTTCCCCAATTATGTTTTTTAGGTTTGTCAGCACCATACCCGTGCCCCTGGGTTTCACTGAAGTGGTAAACGTCTGAGACCTGCATCACTTCGGGCTTTCCTCCCACATTAAGCTGACACGCCATGATGTACCTGGGATACTGTTAAAAGCAGCGTTAACCCCAACTCACTCACTCACTCTGAGCTGGTGGGGGTCGAGTCCTGCTCTCTGGTTATGTTCCTCCAGGCCTAGGACATAACTGAAGCCGGCCTCTGTAGGTTAAATCCCGGAGGGATGTAAGCATACCGAGACATTAGATCCACTTGTCGCACGAAACAAAGACTTGACTTGAGGTTTGGAACGTCTCAGTAGTAGACCAAGCGATATCATCCTTGACGGACTCCAGTCTGCCGTTGAAAAACTTTTGGGCTGTAATAGTCCATGACAGGATGCTCCTGGTATGTGCTGGCATGTCTTCTGCATGAGATGAAGCCTTCCATACCTGCTCTGAGTAGATATCATCTTGCATCTTGCCTATAAGGATATGGTCTGAGGAGCTGTGGACGAAACATGACTGTTCTACGCCCATGCCAAGGGTAGGGATGACATGTCTGGCACCGGCAGCAACTGAGTCTGGCTTGCAGTGAACATGAATCTTGGTCACCAGCTTCCTCACGAGTTTGTGGTAGTCTTCATCGAGGGGCAATCATTCGTCCTCACTGATGGCAGGAAGGCCGAGCCTAAAGCTGTTAGCTCTGGACCTGTTCATTTACGTATCAATCATCTTGGTGACATAGTCGGTAAAGGATGGATTGTATGGGAGCGTTGAATTCTTCAAACTTCGTCACTGGCTCCACATAACCCGCCAACTCAATCAATGGCTTGGTGGGCTGATATTCCGTTACAGTAGGAACGCATACCGGTTTTGGCTTTGAATACGTCCTCTGGGATAGTTTCAACGTAATAGGAAGAGGCAGCTTTAGTGGCAGAATCACACCCCGAGACAAGCTGCATGGCGACAAAGGGTTGTGCTGACTCGGTTTCCTGATCTGAGGCTTGAGCTGCATGAGGCACAGTAACGTTGATAAGGAGATGACGTGACCTCATGTGAGCACTTGGCTGTGTCACGGTATGCAAAGAGATACGTCTGCTGGGCCGGACATCATTTGCAGGAGATTTCTCTCCTCATCTGGAGTCATGCTGATGTCTGTCTACATGCCTATCTACATGCCTGTCTACATGCCATCTGGGATGATACACCCTTGAAGCTTGATCTCTCTCACGATAATCATGGTAAGACGAAGACTTACGAGACTCGTGATGCCTGCTGGTGACTTTTCTATTGTCAGGACTGCACACTGACTCGGCTTGACTGGGTGAATATTGATCCCTGGTATATGATGCCCTGTCATAATCTGATTTATCCGGGAGTTTTGAAGTAATGTCTTATTGCTGAGAGTTGCAAGACGTTTGTCGTTTATTTTTGTTATGGATGAGGTAATGATTTCTGAGAAAGCATTTTGGTTAAAGGAGGCGTGTGGTATCACATGGTACTCTGAGGCTTCTTTACCCTCTTTACCCTGGGGACTCTTTACTCATCAGGTCCAGGCGTACGTCAGTGGCCCAAGGACCAGATTGGTACACCTGCTTGGCATCTATGTTGATGGGCGATGGAGAGTCCATCTCCAACAATATGTTTCAAACTGACTACTTGCGAAAACTATCTTTCTTCTGCCCTAATCTGTGCAATCTGATCTCAGTTTGACTTTCTGGTCATTAAGACGATCACACGAAATTACGGGGTATAATTGCAAACCAAACGTGATCAGGTGTGATCAAAAACATTTTTAGGTTGGGTTTTCCTCACAACTCACAACTAATAGACATGTTTGCAGTGAAGAGGACGTCTGTTGAACATCTAAAGATTTTACTGTGTGGCTGACAGCCAAAACAGGAATTTATGTCTATGACGAAAGAGATCAGCAAGAAGGGTAGCACAATTGGTGCCCATGGGGATGCCTACCTTTTGCCAAAACGTTTTGAAAGTCCAATATTTCAGAATGCATTTGCTTTCATTTTTGACAGGTTGCCCTGAACCTCTGAAGATAGATATGTAACTATATCCATGGTCACCACGTTTAGTAACAAATGCCCCATGGATCAAGGAATGTTTGTTATGTGGGATAGTGCTGTACAAAGTTGGCAAATCAAATATTTTGACAGAATTGATCTGGTTTCATTTCTGAGATTGCGAAAGTTCAAGCAAATTCCACTTGTCTCAAATAGGTTTTGTGAATATAAAGAAAGTCCTTCCTTGGTAGTAGTGTGGATTATGGTGAATCTTTACTTGACAAGGGCTTGGTGGTACATCTCTCTTTGTAGGAATCTTTACGGAGCTTTGGAAGCCAGATTGTCAAATGTACATGACATTGGAAAGTAAACAAGCCCAACTAAGTATAATAGTGCTGATTTATGAAGTAATTGTGTTAACGTAATTAATTAATAGTCACATACTTAATTAAGTTCTTTCTATCTGTTACAGTTAATCTAATGTTTGTTCTTCACAAGAAACGAGAATGGGAATAAAGAATCAAAGAAGTTCGAATTTCATGTTGTTATCAACAATGTATTTTCTGAAAAAACAGTTTCATTGAGGCTGGATAACATCACTCCCGACAGAATTTGCTGTTTGACACAATGAAATATGTATTTTATTCGGATCAAATGTCCAAATGTAATATATAAATATATAAGAAAATATCGTACAACATAAATGAAGATGAGACACGACCCTCAGGTTATCGACAAGATAGTATGTATGAGGCCAGTCATTTGATAATGGCAGATAACGGAAGTACTCACTATGCGTTTTCATGGTTGCCAACACACACCATATACGGCACCATGGCAGCGACGGGCTCCAACTGACGCATGAACTCATCTCCGAGTCGGGCATTATCCTGGAAACAGAACAAGTTATATATTATGTTCCTACAACTCTCCACCTTCTCCCACTACCCACAGACAACACTCCACCTTCCCCCACTACCCACTGACAACACTCCACCTTCCCCCACTACCCACTGACAACACTCCACCTTCCCCCACTACCCACAGACAACTCTCCACCTTCTCCCACAACTCACAGACAACACTCCACCTTCTCCCACAACTCACAGACAACACTCCACCTTCTCCCACAACTCACTGACAACACTCCACCTTCTCCCACAACCCACAGACAACTCTCCACCTTCTCCCACAACTCACAGACAACACTCCACCTTCTCCCACAACTCACAGACAACACTCCACCTTCTCCCACAACCCACTGACAACACTCCACCTTCTCCCACTACCCACTGACAACACTCCACCTTCCCCCACTACCCACTGACAACACTCCACCTTCCCCCACTACCCACAGACAACACTCCACCTTCCCCCACTACCCACTGACAACACTCCACCTTCCCCCACTACCCACTGACAACACTCCACCTTCTCCCACTACCCACTGACAACACTCCACCTTCCCCCACTACCCAGAGACAACACTCCACCTTCTCCCACAACTCACAGACAACACTCCACCTTCTCCCACAACTCACAGACAACTCTCCACCTTCTCCCACTACCCACAGACAACACTCCACCTTCTCCCACTACCCAGAGACAACGCTCCACCTTCCCCCACTACCCACTGACAACACTCCACCCTCTCCCACTACCCACAGACAACACTCCACCTTCTCCCACTACCCACTGACAACCCTCCACCTTCCCCCACTACCCACTGACAACACTCCACCTTCTCCCACTACCCACTGACAACCCTCCACCTTCCCCCACTACCCACAGACAACACTCCACCTTCTCCCACTACCCACTGACACAAAACCTTCTCCCACTACCCACTGACAACACTCCACCTTCTCCCACTACCCACTGACAACACTCCACCTTCCCCCACTACCCACAGACAACACTCCACCTTCCCCCACTACCCAAAGACAACACTCCACCTTCTCCCACTACCCACTGACAACACTCCACCTTCCCCCACTACCCACAGACAACACTCCACCTTCTCCCACTACCCACTGACAACACTCCACCTTCTCCCACTACCCACAGACAACACTCCACCTTCCCAACTACCCACAGACAACACTCCACCTTCTCCCACTACCCACAGACAACACTCTACCTTCCCCCACTACCCACAGACAACACTCCAGCTTCTCCCACTGCCCACAGACAACACTCCACCTTCTCCCACTACCCACAAACAACACTCCACCTTCTCCCACTACCTTCCCCCACTACCCACTGACAACACTCCACCTTCTCCCACTACCAACAGACAAGACTCTTCCCCCACTACCTTTCCCCACTACCCACATACAACACTCCACCTTCTCCCACTACCAACAGACAAGACTCTTCCCCCACTACCTTTCCCCACTACCCACAGACAACACTCCACCTTCTCCCACTACCAACAGACAAGACTCTTCCCCCACTACCTTTCCCCACTACCCACAGACAACACTCCACCTTCTCCCACTACCAACAGACAAGACTCTTCCCCCAAACCCACAGACAAAACGCCACCTGCCCCAACAACCCTTAAGCTGATACTCACGGTGTCAAAGTCATAGGCGAAGTCCCCTGTAAAGAAAAGCACACATTGATGTAAAGGAAGCATGTAAATCCCGGGAACATATAGAGGTAAGTTATGGGAAAACACAAGCACAGGTAACTTACACAGGTGTTGTGAAGTGGGATTTTATTATTTATTGCACTTACGTAGTGCTAATGTGTGTGGATGCTTGTGCACGCACACCCACGTGTATACAGCATACATACGAGGGCTGGTCAAAAAGTTCTAAGCCTGACTAACATTCAACTACGGGCCATAACAAAGTAAACTACATTGTTTGAGTACTTCATTTGGTCATTTCTTTACTTTAGAGAAAAGTATTCCCCAAGAAATTCATTACGGCATGTCAAAAGTGTATGGGGATAAGTGCTTTAGCTATTCCACTGTTAATCGTTGGGCAGCCATGTTTAAGCTGGGAGAACAAGCCTTGATGATGACCCTTGGTCTGGACGTCCCTCAACTTCCATCAATGAAGATTCAATCAAGGTGATAGAAAAACTTATACTGTCAGATAGACGTATTTCCATTGCTGAACTTGAGGAAGACACAGGTCTAAGCCATGGATCCATTGTAACGATTATTCATGAACATTTACAGTTGAATAAGATATCTGCTCGTTTGGTGCCAAAGCTTCTAAATTCTGATCATAAGGAAAAAAGAGTTGACATTGCCAGAGAAAATTTAGAGCTGATTGAGGAGTGACATTAGTAACGGGTGATGAAACTTGGGTCTACCACTATAATCCCCAGTCAAAACGTCAATCCGTGGAATGACACTGTTCCACTCCTCCGACACCAAAGTCTTCAAGATCAGTGAAGAAGGTTATGGCCACTGTATTCAGGGATGCAAATGGTGTGATGACCGGTGACTACTTAAGGATTTGATTTATCGCCTGAGAGATTCTATCAAACAAAAACGCTGAGGAATGTTGACTGCTGGAGGTCTACTACTCCACCTTCGTGGACAGCGCCACGACGACAACGATTACCTCAAAGCTGCCGTGAATGGGTATTTCAGGGTGGCTTCAGAAAACTTCTTCATGACTGGAATTGAAAAGCTTCACGATTGATATGAGAAGTGTATTAAAAAGCAGCGAGATTATGCTGAAAAATAAGATTAAAAAGACTTTCACAATTGTTGGTTTTGTTTGTAAGCCTTAGAACTTATTTATCAGCCCTCGTACAACTACACAAGCTTGTCACGTACCCACGTGCATAATGGCGTCAAAGTGTCCAGCCTCTGCCTCTTCTTGTAGATAAGGCAATGCACGTGGGTTCTCATTGCCAAGGTCACCAAAGACAGCAAGTTGGGGACTCCAGTCACTGCCCCCTTTCATCGCCCTGAAGGTGAAGAGGGAGCTGTAGCCGGCGTCACTCCCGCATCTGTAGGCTGGAACATAGAAGCACGGTCTTGAGCATCTTGTCCACGCATGCGCACGGTAGTCAGGTATCTTAAACAAGTACACGTCTAGAATACATCAATACATCGGTAGACACAGGATCTATATCTACTCACTGTATTGGTGGCCAAGGTTCAGGCCTGACAGTAGTACACGGTGTATGTAGAGTACACGTTTCTCTGTGCCACCATCAGGAGACACGGGATCTATATCTACTCACTGTATTGGTGGCCCAGGTTCAGGCCTGACAGTAGTACACGGTGTATGTAGAGTACTCGCTTCTCTGTGCCACCATCAGTAGACACGGGATCTATATCTACTCACTGTATTGGTGGCCCAGGTTCAGGCCTGACAGTAGTACACGGTGTATGTAGAGTACACGTTTCTCTGTGCCACCATCAGGAGACACGGGATCTATATCTACTCACTGTATTGGTGGCCAAGGTTCAGGCCTGACAGTAGTACACGGTGTATGTAGAGTACACGTTTCTCTGTGCCACCATCAGTAGACACGGGATCTATATCTACTCACTGTATTGGTGGCCCAGGTTCAGGCCTGACAGTAGTACACGGTGTATGTAGAGTACACGTTTCTCTGTGCCACCATCAGGAGACACGGGATCTATATCTACTCACTGTATTGGTGGCCAAGGTTCAGGCCTGACAGTAGTACACGGTGTATGTAGAGTACACGTTTCTCTGTGTCACCATCAGTAGACACGGGATCTATATCTACTCACTGTATTGGTGGCCCTGCCAGTAGTACACGGTGTATGTAGAGTACACGTTTCTCTGTGCCACCATCAGGAGACACGGGATCTATATCTACTCACTGTATTGGTGGCCCAGGTTCAGGCCTGACAGTAGTACACGGTGTATGTAGAGTACACGTTTCTCTGTGCCACCATCAGGAGACACGGGATCTATATCTACTCACTGTATTGGTGGCCCAGGTTCAGGCCTGACAGTAGTACACGGTGTATGTAGAGTACACGTTTCTCTGTGTCACCATCAGTAGACACGGGATCTATATCTACTCACTGTATTGGTGGCCCTGCCAGTAGTACACGGTGTATGTAGAGTACACGTTTCTCTGTGCCACCATCAGTAGACACGGGATCTATATCTACTCACTGTATTGGTGGCCCAGGTTCAGGCCTGACAGTAGTACACGGTGTATGTAGAGTACACGTTTCTCTGTGCCACCATCAGGAGACACGGGATCTATATCTACTCACTGTATTGGTGGCCCAGGTTCAGGCCTGACAGTAGTACACGGTGTATGTAGAGTACACGTTTCTCTGTGCCACCATCAGGAGACACGGGATCTATATCTACTCACTGTATTGGTGGCCCAGGTTCAGGCCTGACAGTAGTACACGGTGTATGTAGAGTACACGTTTCTCTGTGCCACCATCAGGAGACACTGGATCTATATCTACTCACTGTATTGGTGGCCCAGGTTCAGGCCTGACAGTAGTACACGGTGTATGTAGAGTACACGTTTCTCTGTGCCACCATCAGTAGACACGGGATCTATATCTACTCACTGTATTGGTGGCCCAGGTTCAGGCCTGACAGTAGTACACGGTGTATGTAGAGTACACGTTTCTCTGTGCCACCATCAGGAGACACGGGATCTATATCTACTCACTGTATTGGTGGCCCAGCTTCAGGCCTGACAGTAGTACACGGTGTATGTAGAGTACACGTTTCTCTGTGCCACCATCAGGAGACACGGGATCTATATCTACTCACTGTATTGGTGGCCCAGGTTCAGGCCTGACAGTAGTACACGGTGTATGTAGAGTACACGTTTCTCTGTGTCACCATCAGTAGACACGGGATCTATATCTACTCACTGTATTGGTGGCCCTGCCAGTAGTACACGGTGTATGTAGAGTACACGTTTCTCTGTGCCACCATCAGGAGACACGGGATCTATATCTACTCACTGTATTGGTGGCCCAGCTTCAGGCCTGACAGTAGTACACGGTGTATGTAGAGTACACGTTTCTCTGTGCCACCATCAGGAGACACGGGATCTATATCTACTCACTGTATTGGTGGCCCAGGTTCAGGCCTGACAGTAGTACACGGTGTATGTAGAGTACACGTTTCTCTGTGCCACCATCAGGAGACACGGGATCTATATCTACTCACTGTATTGGTGGCCCAGGTTCAGGCCTGACAGTAGTACACGGTGTATGTAGAGTACACGTTTCTCTGTGCCACCATCAGGAGACACTGGATCTATATCTACTCACTGTATTGGTGGCCAAGGTTCAGGCCTGACAGTAGTACACGGTGTATGTAGAGTACACGTTTCTCTGTGCCACCATCAGTAGACACGGGATCTATATCTACTCACTGTATTGGTGGCCCAGGTTCAGGCCTGACAGTAGTACACGGTGTATGTAGAGTACACGTTTCTCTGTGCCACCATCAGGAGACACGGGATCTATATCTACTCACTGTATTGGTGGCCCAGGTTCAGGCCTGACAGTAGTACACGGTGTATGTAGAGTACACGTTTCTCTGTGCCACCATCAGGAGACACGGGATCTATATCTACTCACTGTATTGGTGGCCCAGGTTCAGGCCTGACAGTAGTACACGGTGTATGTAGAGTACACGTTTCTCTGTGCCACCATCAGTAGACACGGGATCTATATCTACTCACTGTATTGGTGGCCCAGGTTCAGGCCTGACAGTAGTACACGGTGTATGTAGAGTACACGTTTCTCTGTGCCACCGTCAGTAGACACGGGATCTATATCTACTCACTGTATTGGTGGCCCAGGTTCAGGCCTGACAGTAGTACACGGTGTATGTAGAGTACTCGCCTTCTGTGCCACCATCAGTAGACACGGGATCTATATCTACTCACTGTATTGGTGGCCCAGGTTCAGGCCTGACAGTAGTACACGGTGTATGTAGAGTACACGTTTCTCTGTGCCACCGTCAGTAGACACGGGATCTATATCTACTCACAGTATTGGTGGCCCAGGTTCAGGCCTGACAGTAGTACACGGTGTATGTAGAGTACTCGCTTCTCTGTGCCACCATCAGTAGACACGGGATCTATATCTACTCACTGTATTGGTGGCCAAGCTTCAGGCCTGACAGTAGTACACGGTGTATGTAGAGTACACGTTTCTCTGTGCCACCATCAGGAGACACGGGATCTATATCTATTCACTGTATTGGTGGCCCAGGTTCAGGCCTGACAGTAGTACACGGTGTATGTAGAGTACTCGCTTCTCTGTGCCACCATCAGTAGACACGGGATCTATATCTACTCAATGTATTGGTGGCCCAGGTTCAGGCCTGACAGTAGTACACGGTGTATGTAGAGTACTCGCTTCTCTGTGCCACCATCACTAGACACGGGATCTATATCTACTCACTGTATTGGTGGCCCAGGTTCAGGCCTGACAGTAGTACACGGTGTATGTAGAGTACACGTTTCTCTGTGCCACCATCAGTGAACACGGTGGTTTTTCCGTACTGGGTCTGGTCGAGTTTCCCCTCGCCGTAGTTGACGGTGGCGGTGCTGGCCTCGTCGAGTGTCACCCACGTCACCACCATCTGGTCGGGAGCGGCTACAATATCAAAATCTACATGAGCAATATCCTACATTCAAAGTTACATATGTAAATTTAGTTGTGCGATTGTCTAAAGACGTGTGTGTATAGTCGCATACTTGTATTGCGTATCCTTGCCATTTTAGGAGAAGTCGTATGTTGGTTGTGTAACATTGACAGGTTTAGGAGAAGTCATATGTTTGTAGTGTAACATTGACAGCTTTAGGAGAAGTCATATGTTTGTTCTGTAACATTGACAGGTTTAGGAAACGTCATATGTTTGTTGTGTAACATTGACAGGTTAAGGAGAAGTCATATGTTTGTTGTGTAACATTGACAGGTTAAGGAGAAGTCATATGTTTGTTGTGTAACAATGACAGGTTAAGGAGAAGTCATATGTTTGTTGTGTAACATTGATAGGTTTAGGAGAAGTCGTATGTTGGTTGTGTAACATTGACAGGTTTAGGAGAAGTCGTATGTTGGTTGTGTAACATTGACAGGTTTAGGAGAAGTCGTATGTTTGTTGTGTAACATTGACAGGTTTAGGAGAAATCGTATGTTGGTTGTGTAACATTGACAGGTTTAGGAGAAGTCATATGTTTGTTGTGTAACATTGACAGGTTTAGGAGACGTCATATGTTTGTTGTGTAACATTGACAGGTTTAGGAGAAGTCGTATGTTGGTTGTGTAACATTGACAGGTTTAGGAGAAGTCGTATGTTGGTTGTGTAACATTGACAGGTTTAGGAGAAGTCATATGTTTCTTGTGTTACTGTCCCAGGAGGAAATGAGGATATTTTCGGACACATTCTGATCCGAATAGTTTTAATATCCCGCTACGAAGTGGGACGTGGATATAGACATGACGTGGGTGTTACGTTTCCGTTACGTTTCGTTTCCGGAGCATAACTAGGAAACCGTTTCATGCTTTATTACCGAACTTTTCAAAGGTATCAAACACATTCTCAAGTGGTTACTTTTGATGTTTCCTTAGCAACATACCGGAATTAGACTCCTGTACCCGTAGTGTTCGTTTCCGGAGCTTGACACATGTTGAACTGGTGCCCTTTGCTGTTTCCTTGACAACAAGTTGGACTTTAAAACCCAAATACCGGCCGCTATCACTACCAGAGTGTAAGTTAAAAACAGATCGGTTGTTGTGTTCATTTCTGGACCATATATTCAATATTTAAAAAATATAATCCATGAAACTTTATACCCATATTAACAGAGTACTGACATTTTCATTTTATTTTGGATTTTCTATAAAAAGATTAAAGCAGGGGGGTCTGATTACCTAATTGTGATGTTGAACACTTGCCAAGGAACTTGTACAAGGTATATGGTGAAGTGGAAAAAACACAAACCACAGTTTACAGGAGGCGCCCGAACCAGCCAACTTCCTCGCAGTCAGTTTAGTCCTTTCCAAACATATCCAGTGAACTTGTCAAGTCTGAGTTAACAAAGTGCTGCCGTAAATTATTTCATTGTTGTTGTTGTTGTTGTTGTTGTTGTTACCACAACTACGATGGCTGATTAAAAAGTTCTTAGCCTGACTAACTTTCAACTATGGACCACAACAAAGTAAACTAGTCAATGTAGTACATTGTTCGAGTACTTCATTGCAAGTGTATTTGGTCTGTGGGGGCCATTTGTATATTAGTGATAGGGGTCCGAATGATATTGTTTATCTGTATGTGTATATGGGCCAATGGCCTTGCATACAATAAAGATTGATTGATTGATTGAATGGACAGAGAAACAGAAAAGAATGAGTACCGAGCTGTCAAGTTTTTGACTTTAGAGAAAAGTACTCCTCCAAAAGTTCATGACCGCATGTGACAAATGTATGGGGATGAGTGTTTTAGCTATTCCACTGTTAAGCGTTGGGCAGCTATATTTAAGGCTGGGAGAACAAGCCTTGATGATGACCCTAGGTCTGGACGTCCCTCAACAGGTCTAAGCCATGGATACATTGAAACTATTATTCATGAGCATTTACAGATTAATAAGATGTCTGCTTGTTTGGGTTAATTGAGGAGGATTTCGTCAAGCTAAAAAGAGATTAGTAACGGGTGATGAAACATGGGTAACTATGATCCCGAGTCAAAACGTCAATCCATGGAATGACACGATGCCACTTCTCCGACAACAAATATATTTAAGTCTTCAAGATCAATGAAGAACGTTAAGGTCACTGTAATCTGGGGTGAAAAGGGTGTGATCCTTGTTGATTACTTAGAAAGTCAAAAGATGCCTATTATGCTGAATGACTTCATCGCCTGAGATTCTATCAAAGAAAAGCTGCGAGGAATGTTGACTGCTGGAGATCTACTATTTCATGACAATGCCTCTTCTCACACCTCTCGACTTGCAAAGGCTGCTGTCCAACAATGTGCTTTCGAAGAGCTTCCTCATCCTCCATAGTCGCCAGACCTAGCACCAAGTGTTTTCCCCTGTTTCCTAAACTGAAAGAACATCTTCATGGAAAGCGCCATGACGACAACAATGACCTCAAAGCTGCCATGAATGGGTTTTACAGAGTGGCTTCAGAAAACTTCTTACTGACTGGAATTGAAAAGCTTCACTCTCGATATGAGAAGTGTATTGGAAATCAGGGAGATCATGTTTAAAAAAATAAAGACACCTTCACAATTATTAGTGGAGGATTTGTGTTTTGTGTTCATGTGGAGCAAACAATAAATTCAGACGTGAAAATGACGTCACAGCGCCCAACTAAAGACACAAAGTGCGGATCACCCTGCATGACGGGCTCTCAATGGCACGTGCACCTTCCCGCAAGTCCGGATGTACTGTCGGTCGATGAGATGATGTGTGGAGCTCTGATGGACAGCTGTCAACGAGATATCATTGTGATATCGCCTGCTGCGGCCACTGTTACAGATGTCAGTTACCCTTTGGTTACACATACGATGTCATAGATTACATCTGTTTGGAATACACTCACATCTACCTCCATTGTTTTTCTGTCATCGTTTCTATATCTGTATTGAAACTGTTCGAGGCAGGAAAAGTAATTCACAAACAGAGACACCCTCCACATGGAAACACCCTTCACATAAGGACTATCTCTATATAGAGGCACTCTCAACGCTGACACTTTGCATGTCACCCCCTCATCTAAAGACCCCATCTATATAGAGACACTCTTCTTATAGAGACACCCTGCAGATAAGGACCACCTTCATATAGAGACACCCTGCAGACAAAGACCAACTTCATATAGTCACCCTGCAGATAACGACCACCTTCATATAGACACCCTGCAGATAAGGACCACCTTCATATAGACACCCTGCAGTGAAGGACCACCTTCATATATAGACACCCTGCAGATAAGGACCAACTTCATACAGAGACACCCTGCAGAGAAGGACCACCTTCATATCGAGATATCCTGCAGATAAGGATAAATTCTCGGATAATATGTCAATGATGACTGTTAAAGGCTCTGTCTGTGTGAGTGTGTTGTATCTGTGTTTGGCTTACTGTATAAAAGTCCATTCACATAATCAGACACGTGGAAGTCATGATATTGGTCTGAGTAACTCTCAATATCTTCCTGCAACATTATGTCCACGAAAACAGAATATATGATGGTCACAACATGTTACAAATAAATAGAATGGATTGAATAGAAACATTGCTGAAAGGCCTGGTTTTATTGTGAGTCAACTACACTGAAATAGTTTGGAATCAGCAATAAAAGCAAGCGAGTTTAGTTTGTTCACATGACTGAAAACGTCTGTAGATCGGATCAGATCAGGATTACGAAAAGTCATTTCTACCATCTGCCCATGCAAAGGTAAAGAGATATTTAGGAGATAAACAGTCCGTGTTTTCAACATAGAGATATGTCACCTGTCGGTCGATTTGTTACCTGTTCTTTTGAAGACTTTTAGGGTGCCTGCTTCATGTTTGCTTACAAAGTAGTCGTTTATAAATGTGAGGGGGGTGTTGTGCAGGTGACAAAACGATATGTGTATATATACGACATACTTTGTTTAAAGTCGATTACCGACGATTCCATAATTGAAAACGACAATCTATCCCAAAAAATGTCCGACTCATCTCATGCAACGTCCTTCAAGGACACCATAATGTTCACGTTAGATTTCGTCATGGATGGAGACACATACTTGTTTTGAATGCATCGTCAATGATGCAGGGCGTTTAAGCGCTATGCTGGCAAGTCCGCGATATACTAGCCCGTCAGTATGGACCATGTGTGTTCTGTTCTAACCTGCATAGCTGTATACTGAGTTTGTTCATTCATCGAATAATGCACATTAATGTATGTCAACAGCAGACCACTTGATCGATCAAGTCATGTGACCGTGTGACGGTGTGTCAGATTCCTGCAGGAAGCACACGTATACAACCTATTTAAAACATACCTCCGTACGACAGATGGATCTGCTCTGGTTGTGGGTAGACGGTTCTATGGTCCAGGATCCCCTGTGTGGCGAGGATGAGCGCGGGGAAAACAACCCCGCAGACGACACAACTCCCCTTCATGTTTCTTGTTCCTGTCAGCTCCAACACTCGCTGGCAACTAACTGTCTCCGCGCGGCTCAGTAACTATCTAACCCTGGTGAGGTCACCTGTTCAGAGATAAACACACGTGATCCCAACTTCCCAATGATAATAGCATGTATCATATAGAGAGAGAGCATGTGAGGTGTTTCTAACGCGCTAATACAGGAGAACACTGACCCCAGGGTCGGATGTTTGTCATTAGTAGGTGAACTGTGAGGCGTTAGACATTGATATATTGATATATTGATATTGCGACGAGTTCCTGCCATGCTGCTCACTGGCACTGTACGTACAGGAAATGTCCGAGCAACTCTCCATTTCTTAAAGCTGAGACCCACTTTTTTTTTAAGGAATGGGAAGTTATGAGAATTTTACAATTCAGGTACAACAACATATTGAGTTTGTTCATATAGAGAAGGGCCATGCCGAGATATAACGTGTGCTGTCACACAGTAGTTCAACATTCTCACTCAAATGTTCCTCGTGAGCTTCGGCACCTCAGGTACTCGAGTTTATGCTTCATCGCTGCAGCAAGGTGTCGTCATTCAATTGCATTGTACCAATACAAAGTTGTATCAAGTTATTGCGGCCCCGTGAAAATAGGTTTAGCAACCCTTGCTTGGCGTAAGAGGCGACTATGCTTGTGGTAAGAGGCGACTAACGGGATCGGGTGGTCAAGCTCACTGACTTGGTTGAAGCATATCATCTTTTCCAAATTGCGTGGATCGATGCTCATGACATCAATCACTGGACTGCATGGTCCAGACTCGATTATTGACAGATCGCCATCATATAGCTGGAATATTGCGCGGCTGGAGTGCGGCGTTAAACAAGTAACAAACAAACAAACATTTTATTGAGAAGCCAATGTACTCGTTGTTAATACTGAAAGTGATCCTGGTAATTTGTGATCATGCCTATATACCAGCGGGGGGACAGTAACTGTACTTCAAGTGCTGTAAATGTTATGCCGCTCAAAATAATAAAATGAAATGATCACTATTTTATCATCACAAATTCATTGACAAAACCCATTCCTGGTAACAGGAGACAGGGCGACACGCCCTAAAAGAGGGGTGGTGTAGCAATCTAATAAACAATCTCACTATTGGGGGTGACACCAGATGATTGAAAACAGCCTGGAGGATGTTGTTCCAAATGTCAACCAAAGATTGGTCCATCTGAGTTAGCATTACCAACTGGTTCTGGTTCGGTCGTAGGCGTCATTCCATCTCATCCCAGACATGTTTTATGGCGAATAGGTCTGGAGAAACAGCCAGCCATGGCAGTATATAAGGTGAAAACTTCCACATCAAACTGACGGCGATGAGTAACGTAACGTTTTCCTGGACGCCTTCCAACCCTGCACGGCTATCAGAGTTGTCCAGTATTAGATCGTGTAAGCCACAGTGTTAGATCGTGTAAGCCACAGTATTAGATCGTGTAAGCCACAGTGTTAGATCGTGTAAGCCACAGTGTTAGATCGTGTAAGCCACAGCGTTAGATCGTGTAAGCCACAGTGTTAGATCGTGTAAGCCACAGTGTTAGACAGCGTTAGATCGTGTAAGCCACAGTGTTAGATCGTGTAAGCCACAGTGTTAGATCGTGTAAGCCACAGCGTTAGATCGTGTAAGCCACAGCGTTAGATCGTGTAAGCCACAGCGTTAGATCGTGTAAGCCACAGCGTTAGATCGTGTAAGCCACAGTGTTAGATCGTGTAAGCCACAGTGTTAGATCGTGTAAGCCACAGTGTTAGATCGTGTAAGCCACAGTGTTAGATCGTGTACGCCACAGCGTTAGATCGTGTAAGCCACAGTGTTAGATCGTGTAAGCCACAGTGTTAGATCGTGTAAGCCACAGTGTTAGATCGTGTAAGCCACAGCGTTAGATCGTGTAAGCCACAGCGTTAGATCGTGTAAGCCACAGTGTTAGATCGTGTAAGCCACAGCGTTAGATCGTGTAAGCCACAGCGTTAGATCGTGTAAGCCACAGCGTTAGATCGTGTAAGCCACAGTGTTAGATCGTGTAAGCCACAGTGTTAGATCGTGTAAGCCACAGTGTTAGATCGTGTAAGCCACAGTGTTAGATCGTGTAAGCCACAGCGTTAGATCGTGTAGGCCACAGCGTTAGATCATGTAAGCCACCGTGTTAGATCGTGTAAGCCACAGCTTTAGATCGTGTAAGCCACAGTGTTAGATCGTATACATCAAATATTTCATGCTGACTGTAGAACTTTGCCCAAGTCTACAAAACGTCTCTCCAATAGACATGGGTTATCGACATGATCATGCAGAATGATTTGAGCTCCTTCATTGAACATTTGTGAAAATGGAAAATATGATATTTTGGCTGTTGTTTTATAGATAGCTCTTTTCAGAAATGGCAATTTTAAAGAATCATTAAAAACAATGAGATCTACCATCCGTAAGCCAACTTCTCCATACAGCCTAATTAAATCTATCCTCTTCATTTCATCAGGTTTGTCATTTCAGATGAAAATATTATTCAGCGTTTTTATGTAACTTTCTGGCGGATTCTGCAATGACGTAAAAATATGCACTATTGTTGTCAATGCGCGTGTTTTGATTGGCGTAATTTTACAAATTTATCTCAAATTTCCTCCCCTCCAGCTCGCTAAAATTCTTTTAATATTTTCAAGTCTTTTTCTGGTGTTAATGAGCGTAAGGTCCTCTAGTTATGGGTTTAAGCTAATCCTTACTACGTCAAAATTGCCGCAAACTGGTATATGCCAATCTAACTGGGTGATTTTCACACAACCGCACATTGCTATTTGTCCTTGTGCCAATTTACATTGCTTTAGTTTTATACACATTAATCTTGAGACACGACAATATCTGTTAATAAGTCAAGAGTATCTGAAGCAGCTTTGAGGCTTGATTCTGTTCCATCTAACATTACGTCATCATCAGCATACTGTCCAATTGTATTTTCAGTATTATTGATATTTTATCACTCTTATAAGTTTAAAGGAAGAGATATGGATAGAGTGTCATCGCGCCTCTTTCATTTTGAAAAGATGTGGATAAATGCTCATTTTGAATTTCACATCGCTTTGAGTTACTTATCAAAATATTGATCAATTTTTCCAAGAACAGGGCTGATACCATACTTTCCAAGTACTAACATTATAAAATCTTTCGATACATTATCAACCGCTTTTTCAAAAATCAGTCAAAATAAGACGTCCATGATTATTTTGTTTCCTTGTTTCAGATAAAATCATCAGTAATATTATCGCTTTTCCTCCTTCCTGCTATAAAACCAATCTGATTCCCATGTATCAACACGCGAAGAGTCTCCTTAGTTCTGTTAGTAACACGTGTGCTAATTATTTTGTACAGCGTGTTAAAAAGCGATAGGGGGTGCCAATTTTTGTCATCGGTGCCTGTCTTTATTAGGCTTTCAAACACAAGTAATCATTGAATTCTTTATATATGTTTCCTTAATAAACCTGCAAATCCAAATTCCAATATATTTTCAAACATATTTGAAGACTAAATACAACTGTTTTAATGTCATCCATACTAATGGGTTCGTCTAATCTTGTGAGCGGTTGCCTCATCTAATTATAAAAAGGAGTATCTATATCTTCGAGGATATTTCGACCCATCCATTATGGTGTTTGTTCGACGAATATATGGAGGCATATATAAAATTCTCTATGTTTGTCCAAGATCAATTATTCTTCTATTATTTCGTTTCCACCATCAGTAATGATTTTGTTTATATGACTATTCGTAAAGTTCCTGTTTTCCAAATGACAAAAATATTGTCTTGCTTTTTCTCCTTCATACCATTTAATTCGATTTCTAACAAATATTTCTTTAATTTCTTCTTTCTTTATGTTATGTATATGCTTGTAATTTTCTAAATCAACATCGGGGTGCAGAGCTAAGTTCCAGTCTCAACAGGCTACTAGAGATTCGGTATCGAAATCTTGAATAGTGGAAGCAAAATTGGGCGTATCGCTTGACGTGGGGACCGGATGGTGTGCTCCCTCAACCGGTTGCGTACGGTTCGGCCACTAATTGGAATTGTCCGAGGTATTAATGTGTATCGATTCTGTAGATGCACGTGGTGGCACGTGGTCCTGTGCACAGCGCACAGATCACAATTCAGGTGAAGTTAAGCAACGTCGGTCTCGGAGAGTAGTTGGATGGGTGACCACGTTCAGCAGCTTCAGTTTGTAGGGCTTCGGTCCTGCCCCACAATGAAGCACATGTACCACATGGTGTCTCCTTAGGCAAGTGACTTTGATCGAAATGTATCTCTGTTCACCCAGCAGTGAGTGGGTACCCGGTAGGATAAAGATGGCTGTTAACCTTCTAGCGCCTCACAGGCAGCATGGGTTGTATACTCCCCAGGGAGCTGAGAATGAAAATCGAGTGCTCACTGATCCATTGATAATAATAGTGTAGCGCTATGAGCATCCACTCGGTGAATGGAGTCTGGCGCATTATAAATGCAATTATTATTATTATTATTATTACCATCATCATCATCATTATTATTATAATTATTATTCACCAACTGAAAAGTGTTGTCTTCGTGACCAAACGTCACACGTGGGCGACCGGGCCGTTGCAAATCAAGAGTGTTGCCCTGTTGTAGATGTCGTCTCCAAAGAGATGATATTCTGTTTCGATGAAAATTCAAACGTCTCAAAACTTTGTTTTTGCGCCATTCCTGTATGCAGCATACGCATGGCGTGTTGTTTCTTAGCAAGCCGTGGTATTGCGTTAGCGGTATTAACGTTAAACAAAAGTGTTTTATGAGCACCTGATAGCTAAACAAACACTGTGTCCTGTTAAAAACCACGTGTGTGAGTAATATGCTCCCAACAAACACGCAAACACCCAAAGTGTGACTTGTTTGATAGGCATTACTTAGAAGTTGGCGGATGACAAGATAGACACAATTATATGGATAACAACTTCTTTAATAATGTAAATGAAAATGAACGTGCAAACTGTGAATCACGACCTTGAAGTCGAGGAGATGTCTTCATGAATATGTATTAAAAGTTGCATTATTTAATTTTAGAATAAATATTTTTTTATTGAACTGTATATGAGTTACAGTTACTATTTGTCCGTGGGTATGTATCATCAAAACAGTACAGCGGAAGAGCCAACAACAACAAAAATACTATAATGTGGACAACAATTGAGATCAGTTTCGATTATATCCTCATGAGCACATGCTCCAGATGTCAACAATGTCTTGTTGTGTGCACAGAAGTATTTGAAATGGGAACTGTACCCAGGGAAAATAAATGGGTTCAGGTCCTCCAAATTTGTGTACGGATCATCTAGATTTATGTACGGCCCCTCCAGATATTTTGTGTAGGGGCGGTGGGGTAGTCGAGTGGTTAAAGCGTTCGCTCGTCACGCCAAAGACCCGGGTTCGATTCCCCACATGGGCACAATGTGTGAAGCCCATTTCTAGTGTCCCCCACCGTGATGTTGCTGGAATATTGCTAAAAGCGGCATAAAACCATACTCACTCACTCCAGATTTGTGTATTGATCATCTAGATTTGTGTTCAAGTCCGCCACATAAAGTGCGAAAACTCCAAATCTTGTACGGACCGGACGGGAATTTTAGGTACGGGTTACACAGTTTCGGTCGGCAGGGTAGGGATCGTTTAGTATCCTTTGAAATTATACTTATACTAATTTCAAGACAGATCGCGTTCATGACATGACATATCTTTTCAGTCTTAATTGTAAAAATAATACGTCAACGCTAGATATAAATCAGTCTCGATTTTTTACCGAAATGGATTCCAAGGGGCTGATGAATGGATCACTAACACACACCGCCCCAGCCATCCATAGAACTTGTCTTTCTTCAACAATAACTATGACTTCCTCATTTGTTTAACAAATCCACTGAGATAGCAGTGATTAGTCAACATACCCACCACTCAGTTAATCAATACCTTACACGCTGCCGTTACGCGCAAGGGACATCTGTATCCCACCCACATATTCTAAAAGACCTAATATAATTAAATTTAAAAGACTTTTCACTTGTAAAGAGATATCTGTATTAAAAAACCTTAGTAAATTCTGTAAATATGTAATGCAAATTGTAAAATCTTCCGGCTTACCACATATCCGCTATTATAATGTGTATTTTGCTGTCATTTTGTACCTCATATGCCGAGGATCTCGGCCTGAGCGTAATAAAGCTCTGTTCTGTTCTGTAATAGCTCTGTTAAAAGTCTGTAGGGGCATGGCATTTACGGGTAATTGTATAGAAAATTCATTCATTTCTAATTTTGTCTGCAATTGTCTGTGACAATTCAGTTTTGGTATATGTGTTTTAGACATTTCGTTATGTTTTAGTCGTTCGGGTTGTTTTTTTAACCAAACCCATAAAGTCATAAAATCTGCTAGAAATTGTGTCTTTATAATGAAAGGGAGACCCATGACCTGAACTGTCTACTGTGCTGATTCCACGGAGTTTAAGAAGTAAGATTCAGCATGAAGGAAGAAATGGCCATCTTGTGTACGATTGTTGTTATACACCATTTCATATTTTCTTTCGATGTTCAGGCAGAGATTAGATGACTGTGGAAATATAAGTACTGTCGGAAATGCTAGAAAACTGATTTTCTGGCTTCTTTTAATAAATACGAGTCATAGGACTATAAAAAGAGCATATATCAAGATTACGCAAATTGCCCTAATCTAGCCTGTCCTAACTGACACTGTGATTAGGCTTAAAATGTACTCTACAGGTAAAATGATGATCAACAGAAAATATTCGTGTGTTGTCATGCATGTATGAAATGGCCTATAACCTGAGGTAATCACCTAACACCTGTTCCGAGGTGGTTACCTCACACCGTCCCGTGCATTCTCACAGGTGCAAATGTCACCGAGTTGGGGGTGGTCTCAAAATATTGCTGTTATTGTGCTTAATGTGCCTTGATGGGGTAGCAATTTAGGATATGTACTGCATTATATTTGCTTGGAAACATGATGGACTTGTTAAGAGCTATGAAACGGGATGAGTATTAGAAGGTAGCGGTTTTGGAATCCAGAAGTATTTGTTGTTCTACAGATGATTTCTTGAGGTAGCATTTATCTCCGCTGATGACGTATATGAATCTGTACTTTTGAATGTTGTGTTATGTCTTGCTATGAACCCTTTACACTTAGCCAAGATGGGCACAACAGGGTTGAGCTCACAATGTCTGACTGGCGTACGTAACACAACGTAACCGTGTTGTGCCGCCATCACATATGTCCTGTTCTAATTCAGCCGAATTTTCTACATGAGTCGAACTTTCGTTTTATATGGTCTGAAGTCGACAATGCCATATATTCCTGTAGGGTCGCCTTCAGACTACTCATGGTTTGGGCGACAGTATCTGATTTCCTGGCGTTATCCATGACAATGATACTGACGTTGTTTAAAAAAACCCAGCTGAAGTTCCAACCAGTCTATGAATACATCACATCCTATAATCTCCTTATGAAAATCACCAGTTTTCTTTTTCGGCTCGAAAACTAGCACACACCCATAAATAAGCCCCATATCATGGGCTGTAGCATGCAAACCAAGGACACGATTACCTTTACCTGATGGTACAATGGGTGTTTTTTGTCCATCTGCCGATAGTCACATGTAGTCAGTGAAATGATTCATCAAGGTAAATTATCTGGACGCCCTTACTGTGATAGTTATGAATGGTTCGGAGATAATGTGGCCTGATAGACAGGATGGAATATTTTCCCCTGAAAAGTACTCGGTCATCGCCACGCGCGGTGTATCGAAATCCCATCTCTTGGAGAGCAATAGTTAGTGCAGTTGACAATAATTGTATCTTTAATTCCTCCCTATTTCTACTACAAGTCAGGGTTACCTTCTGCTCATAAAGTTTGTACACTATACGCCTGATCACCCTGTATCAAAGCTGTCTAATATCCTTTTACTTCCCCGTTTCGTTTTTGAGACCACCCCTATACCTGTTTTGTTTTATTTATCATACCGTAGAGTTGATGGTATGAATTGAAAACCCAATAGTTAGGGCAGTTCGGTAATTCACCCTATCTAAATTAATAAATGGTTTCCCTCTATCTCTCTAAAGTGTAAAGAACTTGTATACATTTCCCAGTACAGACTCCATGTCGTGTACCATGGTTATGGCTATGCAATTGTAATGTATGCATCATGGGAGCAATGTTAACAAAACAAACGCAGCGTCATTTTGTCATTTTAGAAGATGCACATCTTGAATTTCCTCAAAATGGTTTTTGTGTGTGGATTAGATGTTTTATGAAGACTACATTATTATCATTAGAACGGAGTCACGTGCGCATATTTCTATGGTCTGTTTCAGACTGCTACCATTGGACTTAGAATCAATGTAAACTTCCTGTTTTCTTTCGAATTTGTTGCCTGTAAACTTGTTGATAGGACTCCTTGTGACTGAAATACTTCAAACCACAGATAGGGCGATCGGTAGTTACTCGATATTTCAATAACACCAGTCCGTGAAAAAATATATCCTTTCTTAACAGGCAAAAAGCAGTTTTCTAGCATTTCCGACAGTACTTTATTATATTAATAATTCAAAACGACTTGAGCATTATAAGAATATTGAATCATTGCTGACTGTTGAATATTACCTTACAAATATCAATGTTCAGGAAGTAAGAAGATACATATGTTTGTAGAGTTTGCATGAACGGCCGTTGCGTTGTGATATCAGATGTAAAGAAGCTTTAACTGATGAGCAGGATTTGTAAGACTAATAACATTGAAGATACCCCATTTCATATTTGATTGCGAGGCACATGTATCGTTGAGAAAAACATGTGAGTACATACCGAAATGGGATATTTCATCAAATAGTTTATCAAATAGTCTAATGAATTACTGACTTCTAATGGTGTGTCATTCCTAAACAAATCAGCTAAGTTCGTTAAAGAAGCTCTGAAATGTAAATCTGCTCTTGATAGTTAGTATTATTATACTAGTATATAGCTAAGTTCCCGCCTGAAAAGTCAAATACAATGTAGTCAACTACGCTCATTTACTGTGGAAAGAAATTGTTTATCAAATTCAAGGGAGGTTATCAAAAACAGGGTTTAAGATGTAAAACAGGAAATGAACTGAAACCGATATCGTTCATATTGTCTTAACATGTCTATGTTGATTAAATACTTTGAGAAATTATTTTATTGTAATTATGATTTGACGAATAAAATGTTACCGGAGTGTTGATGCATCGCATCAAAAGTTTTCTTGTAGACCTATTCTTATGGTTTTATACTAAGTCCTGTCAGGACTTATTCTAACAACGGTCTTGCCCTAGATATAAGAACCTGGTCACCTGGATCTGCAGGTTATGGGTTCAAATCCCAGAATCGCACTTACCATACATCAATGGTTTGTCGGTACCCTACCCGTGGTGATGGACTTCGCCCAAGTGGTAAACGTCTACGACTGGAGCCACGTCGACTGTGCGAAACCATCATCTTGACGCGACATCCTTTTCCTCTGACCTGTTTACCAGTATAAACATATGGTCCTGGAACAACGACCATTCGCATAAACGCAAGCTCACGGCCAACGGTGTAGGGAGTTCTCGCCAGGGGCACGATGTAAACAACATGGCGTCTCCAGAAGGTGTGTGTTCCAACAGTTACCGAATATGTCCTGGAAATTTGGACGTGTAACATTTATTGTGATATTATCAGTATGTATACCTTCGGTGGGTGAAATGTATATTGATACAGAACTAATGGTCAAGAGCGGAACATTATGTTGTCGGTACATTACTGAAGAAAGCATATTTTTTTACTAAACATAATATTATTATTAGTGTCTTTTCATGTGAATATTTTGGTTGAGCACGGAGAGGTTTCGTTTGGTCCTTTTCCAAATAGAAATGCTCTGAAACCTCGTCGTCTCCATTACATCATCCCAACCTCATATTATTCACACGATTTCTCACGGTACAACCGCGTTACTGAAGGAGGATGATAATACATTCAAGCACACCTTGTTGTGAAAGTGGAGATATTTCCTCAAAATGTTGATGTTGAGGGACATAGATAGGACGAGTGAGATTTTCTGTACCTGTCTGGGAGAGAGAACACCTTCACTTCACTGAAGAGTGATGACCACTCCTAGCATGAACTAGGTCTGATGCATGAACTAAAGTACGCACGGAAATGAAAAAAAACTGTTTTTTTCGATCTCAGATTTTCAATAAATGCAGTTAATATACAAAATGTATAAATATTCAAACAACTCAATTAGTACTAATTGGGCCTTGGCGCAAATACACCGTATCAAAGGTTTTTTATGTCTTTTTACACGTGAAAGTGTGTAAAAATATGAACAAAACAGACTATTGTGAAACTGAGCATAACCAGGTGTTAGTAGATCAAGGTGAATGTCCATGACCTATGACACCTTGACGACAGGTGAAAACAGGTGCTTGAAACCCACGTGCATGTGATTTGTCAGTGGTTAGTGATTTGTCAGTGGCATTGTGGGATAGTGAATCATCGTCAAAATATCAGAACGTAAAAGTAACATATTCCCTTCTCAAACAACAACTTAAATGTCATTATTATTATGTACATAAACGTAGCTGTTATTTTTATTGTTATTTTGATAACTGTTTTCCAGGCTAATTTGCATAATGCCTATCAATGCCTATAGCCTGTTTCTGCCATGTCAATTTGGACTTAGTTTTATTTTTGAATGTTGAAAGTGCCTACAATTTACCTCCTGTAAAGTACATTTTGTATTGAGCACTGAGATAAAACTAGCAAATCAAGACTAGTACTTTTCCAGTTGTTTTGTTATTTCTTATTTACACCTACGTAATGCTTTGTGTCGATTATTAAATCCAGCAAAACAGGGTTTTTTCATTTCCATGTGTACTTTAGTCCACTCCTGATGCATGAACTAGTCCACTCCTGATGTATAAACTAGGTCTGAGCATGAACTAGTCCTCACCTGATGGGGGGCACGGGTGGCCCAGTCGTCTTAGGCGCCGCGATTCGCTGTGCAGAGTTGCGTCCCTTGGCTATGCCAGAAACCTATGATTGTGGGTTCGAATCCCGGTTCGCCCCGATTATGTTTCTAGGTTTGTCAGCACCATACCCGTGCTCGTGGGTTTCACCGAAGTGGTAAACGTCTGAAACCTGCATCACTTCGGGCTTTCCTCCCACATTAAGCTGGCACGCCGTGATATAACTGGAATACTGTTAAAAGCGGCGTTAAACCCAATTCACTCACTCACCCCACTCCTGATGTATGAACTAGTCTACTCCTGATGCATGAACTAGGTCTGATGCATGAACTGGTCCACTCCTGATGTATGAACTAGCCCACTCCTGATGCATGAACTAGGTCTGATGCATGAACTAGTCCGCTCCTGATGTATGAACTAGTCCACTCCTGATGTATGACCTAGTCCACTCCTGATGTATGAACTAGTCCACTCCTGATGTATGAACTAGTCCACTCCTGATGTATGAACTAGGTCTGATGCATGAACTAGTCCGCTCCTGATGTATGAACTAGTCCACTCCTGATGAATGAACTAGTCCAATCCTGATGCATGAACTAGTCCACTCCTGATGAATGAACTAGTCCACTCCTGATGCATGAACTAGTCCACTCCTGATGCATGAACTAGTCCACTCCTGATGCATGAACAAGTCCACTCCTGATGTATGAACTAGTCCACTCCTGATGTATGAACTAGGTCTGATAAATGAACTAGTCCACTCCTGATGCATGAACTAGTCCACTCCTGATGTATGAACTAGTCAACTCCTGATGTATGAACTAGTCAACTCCTGATGTATGACCTAGTCCACTCCTGATGCATGAACTAGTCCACTCCTGATGTATGAACTAGTCCACTCCTGATGTATGAACTAGTCCACTCCTGATGTATGACCTAGTCCACTCCTGATGTATGAACTAGTCCACTCCTGATGTATGAACTAGTCCACTCCTGATGTATGAACTAGGTCTGATGCATGAACTAGTCCGCTCCTGATGTATGAACTAGTCCACTCCTGATGAATGAACTAGTCCAATCCTGATGCATGAACTAGTCCACTCCTGATGAATGAACTAGTCCACTCCTGATGCATGAACTAGTCCACTCCTGATGCATGAACTAGTCCACTCCTGATGCATGAACAAGTCCACTCCTGATGTATGAACTAGTCCACTCCTGATGTATGAACTAGGTCTGATGCATGAACTAGTCCACTCCTGATGCATGAACTAGTCCACTCCTGATGTATGAACTAGTCCACTCCTGATGCATGAACTAGTCCACTCCTGATGCATGAAGTAGTCCACTCCTGATGTATGAACTAGTCCGCTCCTGATGCATGAACTAGTCCACTCCTGATGCATGAACTAGTCCACTCCTGATGCATGAACTATTCCACTCCTGATGTATGAACTAGTCCACTCCTGATGCATGAACTAGTCCACTCCTGATGTATGAACTAGTCCACTCCTGATGCATGATCTAGGTCTCTCCCACCCACACCAATTTCAAGCTCTCTCCCTTGCTCCACCTCTCCTTACCTCCCCTTGATGTGTGTCCTTGTACAACCATGATGATCAGATGACTGAGACGATGTGACACTTACCTCCCCTTGATGTGTGTCCTTGTACAACCATGATGATCAGATGACTGAGACGATGTGACACTTACCTCCCCTTGATGTGTGTCCTTGTACAACCATGATGATCAGATGACTGAGACGATGTGACACTTACCTCCCCTTGATGTGTGTCCTTGTACAACCATGATGATCAGATGACTGAGACGATGTGACACTTACCTCCCCTTGATGTGTGTCCTTGTACAACCATGATGATCAGATGACTGAGACGATGTGACACTTACCTCCCCTTGATGTGTGTCCTTGTACAACCATGATGATCAGATGACTGAGACGATGTGACATCATGTGAAGTTCTATTTCCCTGATCTTTCATTTCAGGAAAACAAGTGCGGAAAAGAAAAACTACAGATGTAGATGAAGACAGTTTAGTGATCAGAGCTTTCCGAGAGTTTCAAGTCCAGCTGGACAAAAGGCACGATAAATATGAGCGATTAGTCAAGCTGAGCAGAGATGTCACCATCGAAAGCAAGAGGACCATCTTCATGTTGCACAGAGTTACAGGGTATGCTTGATACATTCCTGTTGTACAGAGTTACAGGGTATGCTTGATACATTCCTGTTGTACAGAGTTACAGGGTATGCTTGATACATTTGTGTTGTACAGAGTTACAGGGTATGCTTGATACATTTGTGTTGTACAGAGTTACAGGGTATGCTTGATACATTTGTGTTGTACAGAGTTACAGGGTATGCTTGATACATTCCTGTTGTACAGAGTTACAGGGTATGCTTGATACATTCCTGTTGTACAGAGTTACAGGGTATGCTTGATACATTTGTGTTGTACAGAGTTACAGGGTATGCTTGATACATTTGTGTTGTACAGAGTTACAGGGTATGCTTGATACATTTGTGTTGTACAGAGTTACAGGGTATGCTTGATACATTTGTGTTGTACAGAGTTACAGGGTATGCTTGATACATTCCTGTTGTTCAGAGTTACAGGGTATGCTTGATACATTCGTGTTGTACAGAGTTACAGGGTATGCTTGATACATTTGTGTTGTACAGAGTTACAGGGTATGCTTGATACATTTGTGTTGTACAGAGTTACAGGGTATGCTTGATACATTTGTGTTGTTCAGAGTTACAGGGTATGCTTGATACATTTGTGTTGTACAGAGTTACAGGGTATGCTTGATACATTTGTGTTGTACAGAGTTACAGGGTATGCTTGATACATTCCTGTTGTTCAGAGTTACAGGGTATGCTTGATACATTCGTGTTGTACAGAGTTACAGGGTATGCTTGATACATTTGTGTTGTACAGAGTTACAGGGTATGCTTGATACATTTGTGTTGTACAGAGTTACAGGGTATGCTTGATACATTTGTGTTGTACAGAGTTACAGGGTATGCTTGATACATTCCTGTTGTTCAGAGTTACAGGGTATGCTTGATACATTCGTGTTGTACAGAGTTACAGGGTATGCTTGATACATTTGTGTTGTACAGAGTTACAGGGTATGCTTGATACATTCCTGTTGTACAGAGTTACAGGGTATGCTTGATACATTTGTGTTGTTCAGAGTTACAGGGTATGCTTGATACATTTGTGTTGTACAGAGTTACAGGGTATGCTTGATACATTCCTGTTGTTCAGAGTTACAGGGTATGCTTGATACATTCGTGTTGTACAGAGTTACAGGGTATGCTTGATACATTTGTGTTGTACAGAGTTACAGGGTATGCTTGATACATTTGTGTTGTTCAGAGTTACAGGGTATGCTTGATACATTTGTGTTGTACAGAGTTACAGGGTATGCTTGATACATTTGTGTTGTACAGAGTTACAGGGTATGCTTGATACATTTGTGTTGTACAGAGTTACAGGGTATGCTTGATACATTTGTGTTGTACAGAGTTACAGGGTATGCTTGATACATTCCTGTTGTTCAGAGTTACAGGGTATGCTTGATACATTCGTGTTGTACAGAGTTACAGGGTATGCTTGATACATTCCTGTTGTACAGAGTTACAGGGTATGCTTGATACATTTGTGTTGTACAGAGTTACAGGGTATGCTTGATACATTTGTGTTGTACAGAGTTACAGGGTATGCTTGATACATTCCTGTTGTTCAGAGTTACAGGGTATGCTTGATACATTCGTGTTGTACAGAGTTACAGGGTATGCTTGATACATTTGTGTTGTACAGAGTTACAGGGTATGCTTGATACATTCCTGTTGTACAGAGTTACAGGGTATGCTTGATACATTTGTGTTGTACAGAGTTACAGGGTATGCTTGATACATTTGTGTTGTACAGAGTTACAGGGTATGCTTGATACATTTGTGTTGTACAGAGTTACAGGGTATGCTTGATACATTTGTGTTGTACAGAGTTACAGGGTATGCTTGATACATTCGTGTTGTTCAGAGTTACAGGGTATGCTTGATACATTCCTGTTGTACAGAGTTACAGGGTATGCTTGATGCATTCATGTTGTACAGAGTTACAGGGTATGCTTGATACATTCGTGTTGTTCAGAGTTACAGGGTATGCTTGATACATTCGTGTTGTACAGAGTTACAGGGTATGCTTGAAAACATTAATGTTACACATTCAAAGGGGATGCCAATCTCATTAAAATCAGATCTGAGTTCTCGCTATCGCTTAGCAAAGATCTGAGGACATCCCATTACAGGTCACGTCAGAACGACCTTTCATCCGATAAATCAAAGCGTCGCTTGCCAGATCATGAAAGTGACAGTCGGAATGTGTTTTCTGATCATGCAACCTCGAAAAATTTAACACAGGGTATTCGGAACGACAGTTACGGCCCATACGACTGATACCGTCAAAATTATCGTCTATCTCTCGCTTCCGTCGGATAAACATTTGAATGAAGGAGGCGTTGCACAGTATTAGGGAAGCACTGCCATACAATCACAACCATACATTAGACACTCAGGCGATCACAACAATATATGGAAGGAATTCATACTCGTGAAACAATTACAAAATGTCGAGAAGTGTTTAACATATTGAAAGGTATTTCAGGTGATGGGTTGTATGTTGTAAATTGTGCCTAACACATTCCCCCTGTTTATCTGGTTAGGGTGACCTTCTGTATTAGTTCTCCTGTGATATATTAATTTGCTTGATTTTTTCAAAAGGAAAATATAATCATTTTTTGTTCTTGCAAGGGACATATGCACATATTATGAGAAATGAAATTTGTCGAGTAGGTTCGGAGAAAGCTGATGTAGGACTTGCACACTTGACACGGAACGCTTCTGATTGTCTATAGTTGGTGTTTTCTCTGTTGTTGTCCACAGAAATGAGGACTCTGAGAGTCTCCTCTCTCAAACTCTTGAAAAACTGAACAATATTAAGCTGATAAAGATGATGAAGATATCGGAGGAGTTAGAAGGAGAAGACCCATACCAGTTCCTACGTGCTTACTCCCCAGGTGAGGACACGCCCGCTGCAGCTTAACTTGACCTGCAACTATACTTGAGTATCACACACCTGCAGGTAGAGCTATTCTTGAAATATAACACACCTGCAGGCATGACTGTACTTGAGATATAACACACCTGCAGGCATGACTGTACTTGAGATATAACACACCTGCAGGCATGACTGTACTTGAGATGTCACACACCTGCAGGTAGAGCTATTCTTGAAATATCACACACCTGCAGGTAGAGCTATTCTTGAAATATAACACACCTGCAGGCATGACTGTATTTGAGATATCACACACCTGCAGGTAGAGCTATTCTTGAAATATCACACACCTGCAGGCATGACTGTACTTGAGATAACACACACCTGCAGGTAGAGCTATTCTTGAAATATCACACACCTGCAGGTAGAGCTATTCTTGAAATATCACACACCTGCAGGCATAAATGTACTTCAGATATCACACACCTGTAGGTAGAGCTATTCTTGAAATATCACACACCTGCAGGCATGACTGTACTTGAGATATCACACACCTGTAGGTAGAGCTATTCTTGAAATATCACACACCTGCAGGCATGACTGTACTTGAGATATCACACACCTGCAGGTAGAGCTATTCTTGAAATATCACACACCTGCAGGCATGACTGTACTTGAGATATCACACACCTGCAGGTAGAGCTATTCTTGAAATATCACACACCTGCAGGTAGAGCTATTCTTGAAATATCACACACCTGCAGGCATAAATGTACTTCAGATATCACACACCTGTAGGTAGAGCTATTCTTGAAATATCACACACCTGCAGGCAGTGAATGAAACTCCTTATTGGCCAGTACATTTCAAAAACTGTAGGCCCAGTGGAAAAAACTGTAGGCCCCGTGGGGAAAAAAACTGTAGGCCCAGTGGAAAAAACTGTAGGCACTGGGGAAAAAACTGTAGGCAAAGTGGAAAAAAAACTGTAGGCCCCGTGGAAAAAGCTGTAGGCCTATTGGAAAAAACTGGTGCCCTAAACATTTTAGCTGAAGCAGGGAGACATACTCTTACAATATAAATTACAAAACACAACCAGTCAACCAGACATTTCTTAGAGACTGTGGTGATAGATGAAGCCTACATTTATCAGGAAATTATCAGCTTGCAAAACATCTTTGCGACTACATGTCACACACCTTTTGAAAGGTCTGATCCTATTTTGAACACTGCCTGCTGTTAGATATGTACTTGAAATATCACCTGCCTGCAGGCATGGCCATGCTTCAAATATCACACATCTGCAGTTAGAACTATAATTGAGATATTTTACCTGTGGTATGATTTAAGCTTTATTCATTGGTAACACTGATTCTGTTTTTGTCACCATATTTCCACACAGCTCTGATATCATAGTGATTCCATTTCTGTCACTTTATTTCCACCATATTTCAGCGCAGCACTATGTCATTGTCGTCCATGATTGTCACAGAACAATGTCACATGTCTTTCACAGCATTTCACTCCCACTGTGTCCAACTGTCATGGAAGATGGACAGGTTAGAAACAATGATGCATAAACAACCTCGGGCAGGAAATCCTTGAAGTTCAGAAAATATATCTGTTAAAACATGAAATACACCTTATATATGATTCAAGCTTATCTTACTGTGAATGGAGAACTGAGATAAATTATAGAAAACCATTATACATGTATTCCATAGTAGTACTTCAAAGTCCAATGTCCATGGCTTCTTCAGAATCAGTAATCCAAACAAGCATTGCATGATTGTTACCGGTACATCCGCCAGACTGGTCCGAGTCAAGGAGTTTCTGTTGTGCATCTTCAACAATGCTGGAGCCAGACTTGTAGATGTTCTCTACCACAGTACTGACTGTTCCTTTACCTCAAATGTAGAATAATTAATTGCTCTGCTACAATGCAGGGAAACCGCAGGTAAGCTCGTAACTGTACTTGTAACAGCAATGATTACAGGTAGCAGCTTATAAAGTCCACAGAACAGTTACACTCATTTGTTGAAACAACAATATTAAATAATAGCACATTGTCTTAACTCACAATCAAATAGATTAATTATAATATGTAGTAATATTTTTTGTATTATCATTATTTACTGTTTTAAATAAAAATGCAGCAAAAAATCATGTCGTTTAAGATACTGTTTTGTGCCAAAGTTGGGCATCCACTGACAATGTGTTGGACAAGCAACACATGCTTGCTGTAAAAAGCAACTATGCTTGTCGTAAGAGGCATCTAACGGGATCGGGTGGTCAGGCTTGCTGACTTGGTTGATGCATGTCATTGTATCCCAATTTTGGGATCGATGATCATAATGTCAATCACTGATTTGTCTAGTCTAGACTTGATTATTTACAGACTGTCGTCATACAGCTGGAATATTGCTGAGTGCGGCGTTAAACAACAAACAAAGAAAAAAAGAAAAAAAAAGAGTCTGTGATTGTTCCTGGGACCTAGATTACAGTATTTAGGTCTGTGATCGTTCCTGGGACCTAGATTACAGTATTTAGGTCTGTGATTGTTCCTGGGACCTAGATTACACTATTTAGGTCTGTGATTGTTCCTGGGACCCAGATTACACTATTTAGGTCTGTGATCGTTCCTTGGACATAGATTACATTATTTAGGTCTGTGATTACAGTATATCGCAGTGTATATATTGTTTAAAGACAGATGTAGCATCGATTTTGAAGGTTTGTACAGGGGAGGCACCTTATACGTGAGGTTGCTTTATAGGTCTTTGATTATGCCAAGTGAGTTCTTTGCACTATTTTCAACATTTACAGTGAGGCTAGGAATTGATGTAAACAGTGTGTTGATCATGTTGGGATGTATTCAACCAGAGTTTGTGCTGTTTGCAGGTCTTCAGGAGTTCATTGAAGCTGTGACCTTCTACCACTACCTGCACAGTGGATCCCTGGTCAGTCTTCAACAGATTCAGGACAACCTGACCTTCGCCCCTCCTGATCCAGCCGCGGCACAAGTGGCAGATCCGCTGACAGCCCCGAATGTGAGAAGGGAGGTAACTGTGCGAGTCCACGTACCTCCCCTGGAGTACATGCTGGGTGTGGCAGACCTGACCGGGGAACTCATGAGGCTGACTATAAATAGTGTCGGAGCTGGTGACTTGCAGCTGCCATTCAAAGTTTGTGCTTTTATGCGACGCATACACGATGCGTTTCTCTCCTACGGGAATGTTTCCCGGGAACTTAATAGAAAAATGTCCACGCTCAGACAGAGCTTGCACAAAGTTGAGAATGCGTGTTACACCATTCAAGTGCGTGGCTCAGAGATCCCGAAACATCTGATCGCTGATGTCCTCAGTGGGACCTCCGAGTGCAGCAGTAGGTTTCAGGATGAAGCTTGTGATGTATAGTGTCCATTTTGTAATAAATACATCAATAAATTCATCATATGTAATTCACATGAATAAACTGTCCCTGTAAACATCAGCTGCAAATCACATTGGAAATAATTCACTTTCTCAGATGGACGTATATTCCAGCCATATGATGGTGGTCTGTAGATGGTTGTGAGATTTGATGAAATAATAAAGTATTTGACATCACTGAGCTCTCTGCCACTAAAGCATATTGTCTGTAGTTTTTACACAGAAGACACTGCTTATTACTGATTACAAGATGAAAAAGATGGAAGAATGAATTTGGATGATAAACAGAATCTCACCTGTCTTCCAAGCTCAATTATATCAAGCCTTGAATATTTTTAACTTTTATCTATGTCTTTGGCCTCACAAGACATTCTCTATATATACCATGAAGAAAGGAAGGCCTAACAGAATGATGGAATGATGCTCTAACAGATTGATGAGACGAAGTTCTAACATATTGATTGAATGATGGTCTTACAGATTGGTTCAAGGAAGGTCTAACAGACTGATGGAAGAATGGTCTTATATCTTGGTGGCAGATTGATGGAAGAAAACAAGGTCTAACAGAATGATGGAATGATGCTCTAACAGATTGATGAGACGAAGTTCTAACATATTAATAGAACGATGGTCTTACAGTTTGGTTCAAGGAAGGTCTAACAGACTGATGGAAGAATGGTCTTATATCTTGGTGTCAGATCGATGGAAGAAAACAAGGTCTAACAGACCGAGGGAAGAATGGTCTTATATCTTGGTGTCAGATTGATGGAAGAAAACAAGGTCTAACAGACCGAGGGAATAAAGGAGTGTGTGAGTGAGTGAGTATGGTTTTATGCCGCTTTTAGCAATATTCCAGCAATATCATGGCGGCAGGCACTGGGAAATGGGCTTCACACACTGTACCCATGAGGGGAATCAAACCCGGGCCTTCATTGTGACGAGCTCGCACTTTAACCACCAGGCTACCCCACCGAATGAACGCAGGTCTAACATTTAATGAAGAAAGAATGGAAGGTCTAACAGATTGATGAAAGAGTGAGTGAGTTGGGTTTAACACTGCTTTTAACAGTATTCCAGTTATATCACAACGTGTCAGCATAATGTGGGAGGAGAGCCTGAAGTGATGCAGGTCTCAGACGTTTACCACTTCGGTGAAACCCACGAGCACGGGTATGGTGCTGACAAACCTAGAAACATAATCGGGGCAAACCAGGATTCGAACCCACAATCATAGGTTTCTGGCTTGCCCAAGGGATGCAACTCTGCACTTAGACGACTGGGACACCCATGGGCGGATACAGAGGGGGGGTGCGCACCCCCCCTTTTTATTTCGAAAAAAATCTTTATTTCTGTATAAATTACCACCAAAGACAATAAATAGATCTTAGTTGTGCACCCCCCCCTTTTCAGAAGAGCTGTATCCGCCTCTGACACCTGTGTCCTGATTGATGAAAGAAGAATGGAAGGTCTAACAGATGGACAGACAGACAGGCGCTGGGCTATTGCAGTGGCTGAGTAGCTCTTCAACCCGCCAAGCTCAACATGGAATGTAAGATCTACTTATGTTCTCCAACAGATACTGGAACATGAGCAGAATCTGTCCCATACATTCATCTCTTAAAAGGTGTTACTTCACAACTGGATGATCAACTTTGAACTTTGCACATTGTACATATATAGCTACCGTGCACGGTAACACATCCAGGTTACTGCCATGTGCCAATGAACGTCACAAAATGGTTCATTGATCAGATACAAAGAAGGAAAAAGTCTTCCCAAAGTGTACATGACAGAAATTGAAAACTTGTGCGCAATAGGATTGAAATTGGCCAATCACAGAATTGCCAGACACTGAGGTAAATCTAAAAGTGTGATATGATTGAAGGATATCGGCAAACGAGTAGGGTTAAGAATAGGGCGGGTACAGGAAGGCCAGTGGTTCATCCCATTTGCCCAGGCTGTACGTCAGAGTTCCAGGATGACAGCGCACATCCTCACGGAGCTCGTGTTGCAGTCGACTGTCTGAGGCAGAAAGGTGTCACGACATTGCCCCAGCCATCTAAATGTCCAAACATGTCCCTCATTGGACACCTTTGAGATGTTCTGGCCCTAAAGATTCTCAACCGACCTCACCATTCCCAGAATTTGCAACAGCTTAGGCAGACCTTACAAGAAGAATGGGAAAGGATACCACGGCAGACAATCCGGCTTTGATATCCAGGATGGCCAAAAGATGTCATGCCTGCATCGATGCTCACTGGAATGGACCAGATACTGACTTTACTATGAAGATTTGGATTCCGCCACATCAGTTCTTTACGCACCATTTCTGACTACTTGTCGGAAGAGGCGACTAACAGGATTGGGTGGTCGACTCGCTGACTTAGTTGATGCATGGCATCGTATCCCAGTTGCTTGGATCGATGCTCATGATGTCAATGACTGGATTGTCTGGTCCAGACTTGATTATTTACAGACCGCCGTCATATAGCTGAAATATTGCTGAGTGAGGTGTTAAACAACAAACAAAACAGAAAAAATGAATAAATATCGGCATCCCCTTAAATATCGTTCCTAGTATACGTTTATTTCAACGATCAACATGAATATTTAACTAAGTAGTTCATCATCCCCATGTCTAACCGGACATGGCACAGCAAAGGAGTTGTGTGGAGAGAGAGAGAGAGAGGGGACTTCCTCAATGATAACATCTACTAAGACTTGGGGGCAAGGCATGAATTAGAATTTCAGCTCGGATGGTCTGTCAAAATATGGGTGCTTTTTGACCAAGAAGTTTAACTTCAACTTCAGGTACATCGATTACCTAATATCATTCAATAACCATCAACAATTTCACCTCCAGAGATTTACCTATCTGAACTCGAAATAAAAAAGGGGACCTGCGAGATATTATCATCTGTTTCAGATTTAGATCTATGCATAAATATTCAGAATGACAAAACACTCTCCACAAGACTGACAAGTGAGATGACTTCAAATTTCCATTAACGCTCCCTTTATAAATGCTCCTGTCTTTGGTGCTGACATTTCACGACTTTTGAGGTACAATTGAGCATGCTATGAGGATATCAAACAGCATCATGTGACTCTTGCTCAAAAGTTGTTTGATCAAGGTTGAAGCTTTCAAAAGGTTTTATGGTAGACATGTGGAGGGCATCTCCATTTGACATCAGTGGCAAAATCATGTCAGATGCAATTCCCTATTTTGACTTATTTATTATCATCATACTTGATAGTGACTCGTAAACACATACTCATGATATAGTCGGCATAGTACAATGGACTCTGCTTTTAGCAAGATTTCTTATGAATATGGAAATAATTTTGTCGCATTGATCATTGTTATTTTTTTATACAGATGTACATGAGATCGAGCATTCATTTACACTTGCACCTTCATCATGACATTCATTTACACTTGCACCTTCATCATGACATTCATTTACACTTGTACCTTCATCAAGCCATTCATTTACATTTCAACCCTCATCATAGCATTAATTTACGCTTGCACCTTCATCATAGCATTCCGCTGTGCAGAGTTGCGTCCCTTGTGCACGCCAGAAACCTATGATTGTGGGTTCGAATCCCGGTTCGCTCTGATTATGTTTCTAGGTTTGTCAGCACCATACCCGTGCTCGTGGGTTTCACCGAAGTGGTAAACGTCTGAGACCTGCATCACTTCGGGCTTTCCTCCCACATTAAGCTGACACGCCGCGATATAACTGGAATATTGTTAAAAGCGGCGTTAAACCCAACTCACTCACTCACTCACTCATCATAGCATTCATTTACACTCGTACCTTCATCAAGCCATTCATTTACACTTCCACCTTCATCATAGCATTCATTTACACTTGTACCTTGCACCTTCATCATAGCATTCATTTACACTAGTACCTTCATCATAGCATTCATTTACACTTGCACCTTCATCATGACATTCGTTTACACTTGCACCTTCATCATGGCATTCATTTACACTTCCACCTTCATCATGACATTCATTTACACTTGTACCTTGCACCTTCATCATAGCATTCATTTACACTTGCACCTTCATCTCAGCATTCATTTACACTTGCACCTTCATCATGACATTCATTTACACTTGTACCTTGCACCTTCATCATAGCATTCATTTACACTTGCACCTTCATCTCAGCATTCATTTACACTTCCACCTTCATCATAGCATTCATTTACACTTGCACCTTCATCTCAGCATTCATTTACACTACCACCTTCATCATAGCATTCATTTACACTTGCAACTTCATCATAGCATTCATTTACACTTCCACCGTCTTCATGGCATTCATTTACACTTGCACCTTCATCATAGCATTCATTTACACTTCCACCTTCATCATGGCATTCATTTACACTTGCACCTTCATCATAGCATTCATTTACACTTGCACCTTCATCTCAGCATTCATTTACACTTGCACCTTCATCTCAGCATTCGTTTACACTTGCACCTTCATCATAGCATTCATTTACACTTCCACCTTCATCTCAGCATTCATTTACACTTGCACCTTCATCATGACATTCATTTACACTTGCACCTTCATCATAGCATTCATTTACACTTGCACCTTCATCATAGCATTCATTTACACTTCCACCGTCACCATAGCATTCATTTACACTTGCACCTTCATCATAGCATTCATTTACACTTGCACCTTCATCTCAGCATTCATTTACACTTGCACCTTCATCATAGCATTCATTTACACTTGCACCTTCATCATAGCATTCATTTACACTTGCACCTTCATCTCAGCATTCATTTACACTTGCACCTTCATCATAGCAATCATTTACACTTGCACCTTCATCTCAGCATTCATTTACACTTGCACCTTCATCATAGCAATCATTTACACTTGTACCTTCATCATAGCATTCATTTACACTTGTACCTTGCACCTTCATGATGGCATTCATTTACACTTGTACCTTGCACCTTCATGATGGCATTCATTTACACTTGTACCTTGCACCTTCATCTCAGCATTCATTTACACTTGTACCTTCATCATAGCATTCATTTACACTTGCACCTTCATCTCAGCATTCATTTACACTTGCACCTTCATCATAGCAATCATTTACACTTGCACCTTCATCTCAGCATTCATTTACACTTGCACCTTCATCATAGCAATCATTTACACTTGTACCTTCATCATAGCATTCATTTACACTTGTACCTTGCACCTTCATGATGGCATTCATTTACACTTGTACCTTGCACCTTCATGATGGCATTCATTTACACTTGTACCTTGCACCTTCATCTCAGCATTCATTTACACTTGTACCTTCATCATAGCATTCATTTACACTTGTACCTTCATCATGACATTCATTTACACTTGCACCTTCATCATAGCATTCATTTACACTTGCACCTTTATCGCAATATTCATTTACACTTGCACCTTCATCATGGCATTCATTTACACTTGCACCTTCAACATGACATTCATTTACACTTGCACCTTCATCATGGCATTCATTTACACTTGCACATTCATCTCAGCATTCATTTACACTTGCACCTTCATCATAGCATTCATTTACACTTGTACCTTCATCATGGCATTCATTTACACTTGCACCTTCATCGCAATATTCATTTACACTTGCACCTTCATCATAGCATTCATTTACACTTGCACCTTCATCTCAGCATTCATTTACACTTGCAACTATAACATGGCATTCATTTACACTTGCACCTATAACATGGCATTCATTTACACTTGTACCTTCATCATAGCATTCATTTACACTTGTACCTTCATCTCAGCATTCATTTACACTTGCACCTTCATCATAGCATTCATTTACACTTGCACCTTCATCATAGCATTCATTTACACTTGCACCTTCATCTCAGCATTCATTTACACTTGCACCTTCATCATAGCATTCATTTACACTTGTACCTTCATCTCAGCATTCATTTACACTTGAACCTTCATCATGGCATTCATTTACACTTGCACCTTCATCATGGCATTCATTTACACTTGCACCTTCATCATGGCATTCATTTACACTTGCACCTTCATCATGGCATTCATTTACACTTGCACGTTCATCATAGCATTCATTTACACTTGCACCTTCATCTCAGCATTCATTTACACTTGCACCTTCATCATGGCATTCATTTACACTTGTACCTTCATCATGGCATCCATTTACACTTGCACCTTCATCATGGCATTCATTTACACTTGCACCTTCATCATGGCATTCATTTACACTTGCACCTTCTTCTCAGCATTCATTTACACTTGTACCTTCATCATGGCATCCATTTACACTTGCACCTTCATCATGGCATTCATTTACACTTGCACCTTCATCATGGCATTCATTTACACTTGCACCTTCATCTCAGCATTCATTTACACTTGCACCTTCATCTCAGCATTCATTTACACTTGCACCTTCATCTCAGCATTCATTTACACTTGCACCTTCATCTCAGCATTCATTTACACTTGCACCTTCATCTCAGCATTCATTTACACTTGCACCTTCATCTCAGCATTCATTTACACTTGCACCTTCATCTCAGCATTCATTTACACTTGCACCTTCATCATAGCATTCATTTACACTTGCACCTTCATCTCAGCATTCATTTACACTTGCACCTTCATCTCAGCATTCATTTACACTTGCACCTTCATCATGGCATTCATTTACACTTGCACCTTCATCATGGCATCCATTTACACTTGCACCTTCATCATGGCATTCATTTACACTTGCACCTTCATCATGGCATTCATTTACACTTGCACCTTCATCTCAGCATTCATTTACACTTGTACCTTCATCATGGCATCCATTTACACTTGCACCTTCATCATGGCATTCATTTACACTTGCACCTTCATCATGGCATTCATTTACACTTGCACCTTCATCTCAGCATTCATTTACACTTGCACCTTCATCTCAGCATTCATTTACACTTGCACCTTCATCTCAGCATTCATTTACACTTGCACCTTCATCTCAGCATTCATTTACACTTGCACGTTCATCACAGCATTCATTTACACTTGCACCTTCATCTCAGCATTCATTTACACTTGCACCTTCATCTCAGCATTCATTTACACTTGCACCTTCATCTCAGCATTCATTTACACTTGCACCTTCATCTCAGCATTCATTTACACTTGCACCTTCATCTCAGCATTCATTTACACTTGTACCTTCATCATGGCATCCATTTACACTTGCACCTTCATCATGGCATTCATTTACACTTGCACCTTCATCATGGCATTCATTTACACTTGCACCTTCATCTCAGCATTCATTTACACTTGCACCTTCATCTCAGCATTCATTTACACTTGCACCTTCATCTCAGCATTCATTTACACTTGCACCTTCATCTCAGAATTCATTTACACTTGTACCTTCATCTCAGCATTCATTTACACTTGCACGTTCATCACAGCATTCATTTACACTTGCACCTTCATCTCAGCATTCATTTACACTTGCACCTTCATCTCAGCATTCATTTACACTTGCACGTTCATCACAGCATTCATTTACACTTGCACCTTCATCTCAGCATTCATTTACACTTGCACCTTCATCTCAGCATTCATTTACACTTGCACCTTCATCTTAGCATTCATTTACACTTGTACCTTCATCTCAGCATTCATTTACACTTGTACCTTCATCTCAGCATTCATTTACACTTGTACCTTCATCTCAGCATTCATTTACACTTGCACCTTCATCATGGCATCCATTTACACTTGCACCTTCATCATGGCATTCATTTACACTTGTACCTTCATCTCAGCATTCATTTACACTTGTACCTTCATCTCAGCATTCATTTACACTTGCACCTTCATCTCAGCATTCATTTACACTTGTACCTTCATCATAGCATTCATTTACACTTGTACCTTCATCTCAGCATTCATTTACACTTGCACCTTCATCTCAGCATTCATTTTCACTTGTACCTTCATCTCAGCATTCATTTACACTTGTACCTTCATCTCAGCATTCATTTACACTTGTACCTTCATCTCAGCATTCATTTACACTTGTACCTTCATCTCAGCATTCATTTACACTTGCACCTTCATCTCAGCATTCATTTACACTTGCACCTTCATCTCAGCATTCATTTACACTTGCACCTTCATCTCAGCATTCATTTACACTTGCACCTTCATCTCAGCCTTCATTTACACTTGCACCTTCATCATAGCATTCATTTACACTTGCACCTTCATCTCAGCATTCATTTACACTTGCACCTTCATCATGGCATTCATTTACACTTGCACCTTCATCATGGCATTCATTTTCACTTGCACCTTCATCATGGCATTCATTTACACTTGCACCTTCATCTCAGCATTCATTTACACTTGCACCTTCATCTCAGCATTCATTTACACTTGCACCTTCATCTCAGCATTCATTTACACTTGCACCTTCATCTCAGCATTCATTTACACTTGCACCTTCATCATAGCATTCATTTACACTTGCACCTTCATCTCAGCATTCATTTACACTTGCACCTTCATCATGGCATTCATTTACACTTGCACCTTCATCTCAGCATTCATTTACACTTGCACCTTCATCTCAGCATTCATTTACACTTGCACCTTCATCTCAGCATTCATTTACACTTGTACCTTCATCTCAGCATTCATTTACACTTGCACCTTCATCATGGCATTCATTTACACTTGCACCTTCATCTCAGCATTCATTTACACTTGCACCTTCATCATGGCATTCATTTACACTTGTACCTTCATCTCAGCATTCATTTACACTTGCACCTTCATCTCAGCCTTCATTTACACTTGCACCTTTATCTCAGCATTCATTTACACTTGCACCTTCGTTATGTCATTGGAGGAATGTGTGGCCCAGTCGCCTTGGGCATGGCTAATTCACCTTTCATATTTGTGTCCCTTGGGCACACCAAGAACCTGTTAGTATGGGTTCAATTCCCAGTTCCTCCCGATTATGTTTCTAGGCTTGTCAGCACCCTACCATGCTTCAGTGTTTCACAAAAGAAGTAAATGTCTAAGACCTACATCACTTCAGGCTTTCCTTCAACATGAAGTGGACACACAGTGATTAATTGAAAACTGTTCAAAGTGGAGTTTAACCCAACTCACTCACTCATCATGCTCATGACGGCATTCATTTTCACCGAGTGTCCCACATAGCTATGTTTCACGTCTTTGAACAGTAGTTTGGTTATTTCACTGCACTGTCAGCTAAATGTGGGAGGAAAGCCTGAATCGATGACATTACCACTTTGTTAAAACCCACAAGCACAGGTTCTCCTTGCCAGTGACGTGACATTCACACCATAATGTCAGTTTGATAGGGTACCATATGACTTTTGTTTGTTTGTTTTGCCACATTCAGCAATATTCCAGCTATATGGCAGCGGTTTGTAATTAATAGAGTCTGGACCAGACAATCCAGTGATTAATATCATGATCATCGATCCACGCAATTGGGATCGATGACATGCATCAACCAAGTCAGCAAGCCTGACCACCCGATCCCGTCAGTCGCCTCTTACGACAAGCATAGTCGCCTTTCACGGCAAGCATGGGTTGCTGAAGACTTTTTCTACCCCTGGGCACCATGTGATGATATGCATGCAGAATCATGTGGCTGATCCCAATTACCATCAAAGTTTTTACTTATGTCAAATATATGTCCTTAGTATTGTATGAGAAACATTTCAACATGTTCAATACCAAACAGTACAGCAGAGTTTAAAAAAATATCTCCTTCAGTAAACTAAACTGAGACAAATGCATTAAGATCCTGGTGAAGTTGCTCAGTCATCTTGATATATATATAATAGAACTTCAATATTTCATTGTAGGAATATACTACGTGATAATATGATCACTTCTCTCAGCCAAATTGTGCAAGTCTACAGAAGGTATTGTGTATTGAGCTGGCACAATCATACAATCACATTTCGGACATTCTCGTTAATCTCCAGCAATGACAACAGCATGAACAGTCAAACAACTTTATCTGTGCTAGATAACATAACCACAACATGTTGCAGGAGATACATGTACGGCAGTTTGTTTCACTCACTGAATCATTTATATACATTCTGACATTCTGAACACATGTCCAAGTAGTTCATGGTAGAAACAGATTAACATGTCCAAGAAGTTCCTTGAAGAAACAGATTAACATGTCCAAGAAGTTCCTCGAAGAAACAGACCAATATGTCCACGTACTGGTCATTCATTGTAGAAAAAAACTAACATGTCCCAGTCATTCCTCGTAGAAACAGACCAATATGTCCACGTACTCATGGTTCATGGTAGAAACAGGCAAACATTGTTCAAATAGTGCACTGTAGGAATTCTGACATGACAAGTTTTTCATCGTAGCAACTGGGTAACAGAGAACAGTTCATTGTAGTCCACCCTGGGCCTAGGTAACAGAGAACAGTTCATTGTAGTACACCCTGGGCCTAGGTCACAGAGAACAGTTCATTGTAGTACACCCTGGGCCTAGGTCACAGAGAACAGTTCATTGTAGTACACCCTGGGCCTAGGTCACAGAGAACAGTTCATTTGTAGTCCACCCTGGGCCTAGGTCACAGAGAACAGTTCACTGTAGTCCACCATGGGCCTAGGTCACAGAGAACAGTTCATTGTAGTCCACCCTGGGCCTAGGTCACAGAGAACAGTTCATTGTAGTCCACCCTGGGCCTAGGTCACAGAGAACAGTTCACTGTAGTCCACCCTGGGCCTAGGTCACAGAGAACAGTTCACTGTAGTACACCCTGGGCCTAGGTAACAGAGAACAGTTCACTGTAGTCCACCCTGGGCCTAGGTCACAGAGAACAGTTCACTGTAGTCCACCCTGGGCCTAGGTAACAGAGAACAGTTCACTGTAGTCCACCCTGGGCCTAGGTGACAGAGAACAGTTCACTGTAGTCCACCCTGGGCCTAGGTCACAGAGAACAGTTCCCTGTAGTACACCCTGGGCCTAGGTCACAGAGAACAGTTCATTGTAGTCCACCCTGGGCCTAGGTAACAGAGAACAGTTCATTGTAGTCCACCCTGGGCCTAGGTCAGAGAGAACAGTTCATTGTAGTCCACCCTGGGCCTAGGTAACAGAGAACAGTTCATTGTAGTCCACCCTGGGCCTAGGTCACAGAGAACAGTTCACTGTAGTACACCATGGGCCTAGGTCACAGAGAACAGTTCCCTGTAGTACACCCTGGGCCTAGGTCACAGAGAACAGTTAATTGTAGTCCACCCTGGGCCTAGGGGATATCCAGCCTCTTCACTCGCACCTTCTGCTTGTAATGATAGTACTTGAGATACTCCTTGAGGGAGGACGGCAGTGGCAGCACATTCACATCATCATACGAGATGTTGTTGCATATCTGCGAACGACAGAGATGCTTCAGCGGAAAGCAAGATGTGCGATTCAAAGGAAGGGTTAACATAGGCTCAAAAAACATGCAACATTCGGGATCCTTATAGTGTTCAATCAATCCAACTACACTGTCACAGGCAAATACGGCAGGATCATGTGCATCAAAACTGAACAAGTGGTTCCATTGTTCAATACGAGCATGAAGTGAACGGTTATAGCGTCTAAAACTAACTGAAAACAGGAAGTCTTCTTGTGCACTATCTCTTAGTAGGAACGTGCCCTCTGGCTTGTTCTCAAGCAGCGCCTCAGCCTCATAGCGGTCCATCACCCCCCAGTAGAAGCTGCAGCAGCTGATGTTGACGAGGTCGGGGACGAGGCAGTGAATGTATTCCACCTGACTGTGGGCAGCAGGGTGCACGGGCTGCTGACTAACTGAAGCTGGAGGCTGCAGGACGGCAGGCAGATGGTTTGCTAGTGCCTGAAGACACAGCACTGAACTGTCACCATACACGGACTCCTCGTAATCTGATGATGACGGTGTCAGACTTGCGAAAGGAGGGAACGATACAGAGCTGAGTGAGTGATGGCGGGTTGAGACATTCATCCTCCCTCTATGCTGACTGGGGCCTGAACGTGTAACAACACTGAACAAATTCACTGGCCAATGTTGGGGACTAATTTCAATTCCGTGTTCGATTTCTTTAGCTCTTTCTTCTCGGCGAATCTCATCCATGTCTTGAGTGGGATAAAGAGCGTCAAAATTAACCCTAGCTATGTCAATGAGGGGTACAGCAGCATTCTGTCCTACTCTCAATCCAGACAACATTGCTCCCAGATGTCCAGAGGTTCGCAGTGTACCTTGAGATGTCAAGTCTTCGTGGCCCAAGCACGGCATGGTCCCACGTTTCCTGTGAGAAGAACACAGACAACTCATCTGATGTTGGCACACATCATTTCGAGCATGGGGCCCAACAAACCTGCTTCCAAGTTTGCCACGTAAACTCCAAAACTTTTTCTTTGATTTATTTTGTTGCAATTTCTCAGACCTTTTCCCTCTCAGGCTCGTTCTCCTGCAGCCACTGGAGCTGCCATCCGTCTTTACTCCTGCCGACATTGGCACCAGGGTAGTTTCAGATGTCAGGGATGACGACGCAGTAGAAGGACCAAGATCGAGTGAGTCCACAAGGCTAACAAGGGAAACTTCACTACCACAACAAAAAAACGGCCGCACTGTTGACCGGTGAAGGCGATGCCTCACAGGGGCCACAGCCTCATCGATGTTCACAATCCCTCGGCACTGGTTCTCCTCCATGATGACAGAGTCCAGGTGCTGGATGGCATCAGGGTCACTTGTATCTGCAACCACACAAACAAATCAATGAACATTTTCTTAACTACAGAATATGCAGATATTCCCAGACTTTAACCATAAAGTGAATGGAATCTCATTAAAATCAGATCTTAGTTCTCGCTACCGCTAAACAAACATCTGAAGACATCCCATTAGGGGTCACGTCAGAACGACCTTTCATCTGACCAATCAATGCGTCGCTTACCAGATTATGAAAGTGACAGTCGGAATGTGATTTCTCATAATGCAATATTGAAAACTTTAACATGGGGTATTCCGAACGATAGTTACGGGTTTAACGACTGAATCCTTACAATCTAGACCATCTATTAGTCATTCCAGAATGTTTTTTTGTTCAGGTTTCAAATTTGTTATCGCGAATTTTTCAAAATATGCTTTCGAAGCGTAGTCACTAATTTGAAATTTGTGCCGTAAAGCACGACAAAGCTGCCTTCTGATTGGTCATTCAATTGGTCGGTCAAAGTTCTTGCAAGGTCGGTCTGACGTGACCCGTAATGGGATGTCCTCAGATTTTTGTTTAGCGGTAGCGAGAACTAAGATCTGATTTTAATGACATTGAAAGTGAATGTAGAAGGTGCAGCACATAGAGCCAAGTCACAATTAGAAATTTACATTCATTTTTACTTGTCAGCAAACATGATCTGACAGAGTTGCCATCTACCTAATGGTACAAGTGGTTGACCACATGGAAATGTCACTGGTCCTTCTGACTTGGCTCGTACTAACAGACTTATGGTAATTTCAAACCCAGGAAGTAAGTGTTGTTTACTGCCACAGTTAGCAATATTCCAGCCATATCACAATAGCCAGTAAATAATACAGCCTTGACCAGACAAACAAGTGCCTGAAAAGCAGGAGAAATATCCCACACAATCAGAATACAGTTCCCTGAAACAAGAACATATCTGCTTATATGTTCAGATGACAATCTCATGATGAGTCAATGACATTCATTCCAAGTCCCAGTCCCTCACTATGATACTGTTGGAATATTGCTCAAAGTGGCGTAGAACCATACTTATTCACCTATGGAAGGACTAAAGACGTGTTTTAGTGATCATGATGATATGGATGTATTTCAGGTACATGCTAACTGGTGGGACAGATGGGGATGTCAGGGTGTGGCAGGGCATCGATGATGATGATGCAGTCTCCCACAGAGTTGGAGAGAAAGTATATGCTGTTGCTTTTAAGGTAAAAGGAGATGTTTTCAAGAACTTTGATCATTGCTGTCACTCATATAATCAGACACAATCAGACCACGATTTAAATTTAATTCTTAAAATTAGAACTTTGTGTTTGATGGCAAAGATTATGTATCTAGACATCCTCACTTTTACCTAAGATCGTTTCTACAACAGCAAGGTAAGCTTTTGACATAGAGTACGGTATGTACATGGTATACAATGACATACGGTTCCGGAGAATGGTCAATCCCAGATTTCAACTTCTCAACTTTTCACATCCTGTCCCAAGCCAAAATAGACCCTCAATGAGTTTTTATGTTCAAGTTAGTAAGCAAGTCCGATCGTTTATGTGTACTGATATAATGATAAGGTAGAAACACAGTTCACCATTTAGAAGAGCAAATACATTTGATCTACACAACACAGACTAGACAATATCCTACCGGACTCCATTCCGCTGAGTGTCTCGCCTGCTTGTGTACGCGATGACTGACTGACAGACAGCCTCACCCAGTGACTTCCGGCAACAGGAAATGTTAGATTGGTGTATTTGTGCGATTCGCTTCAGATATCGTTTATCAATACACAGGCCGCTGAAACTACATCATGGCTGCTAAATATTTATATTTAACAAATATCCACATCTGAAGTCAAATCTCACGACGTTTCCTACATGTCGTTTGATTGAAATTAAAAAAAACAATCTCGGACTTGATCCTCATAAATATTACAGTATATATATTTAGAAACGCTTTCTTATAAAAACTGTCTATATGATGGGCAAGGTTCAATATACATGTATATTACACAATCAACACGGTTGTCGGCCAATCTATAAATAAACGAAACGTGTACAGTATGTGTATGAATTTAAACAGAGACCATCAAATATTTTGTTTATTGTCTCCGATTTAAATTATTGAAATTCTACTAACTGGTTTCTTGGGGAGAAATGTGATTAAAATAATATGGAGGATTGCTTTACAGTATACACTATCTCATACATGTAAAGCTGTAGGTCCGTTACGTTTTGTAGTAGCAGAAATGTAGTATTTATAGATAGAATCGCGAATAGTGTTCTTGCCATAAACGTTCTCGGAATCCTAAATCTTTTATAAAACGCAGCCGCGTAGGCGTAATAATACATATAAACGTTGTAACAACCTTACGCATGTTTTATATTAAGTTATGTAACATACAAACGAAAGAATCAAAATCGGTAGTAATGTGAATTTTATTATAAGAAAAGAAAACACTTTGTGTATTTACCGCGAGATTACTTTAACCGCGGGAAATTCAATTATTGCGGGAAACTTTGTGCCGTCACATTCGTGCGAAGCCTGAAAAGAAATTGTGTGGTTGACATTGTCTTTCAGAAATGAAACCTATGAGATATGCTCACAGCGACGGACACACCGTCCTGTGTTTTGATGATTCTGGAAGGTATATTCCTCAGATTTTAGTCATAAACGCTACATACAGTCAGATCTGTGTTACTTGTTGTATTCCGGAACACGTCAGGTTCATCGGAAATATCCATACCAACAATGAGCAAAAAGACACATCTTTGATACACATATAACCCGTGCACATCTGATAGCCTATAGACTCAAGCGAGAGGAGTAATGAGCATGTTAATTGAATTTCCTATGTAAACAAAATAAACAATCAAGTCATCTTTATCAACAACACTTTATCGTTGCGCATTCATGTCATCTGTTTGTTTTTGTTTTTTAATAAAATTGTACGCTATTGTAATTTAATGTTCTCTTCAGAGTTTACGGAAACTAATATCGCCAATTCTTTCATGAGTATTGCTTTAAGAGCTGTCACACCATTATTTGGAAGTTTCTTTTATTTCCATGTATCTGATGGTCAATAATAATTAATTATATTCATATTAATTTTATCTACTTTGGATTACTTTAAGGTATCATAACGACTAGTAGAAATTTGCCATTTTCAAGTGTTTTGCTATTTGTTATCATTATAAGGCCTAAGGGGCTAAAAATGTTAGTGTCTATCACTGTTGACTGCTTCTACAAATCAATTTAAATTAAAAGTCACATCAAAATGACAGACAAGGTGATAAACTCGGCAAGAAATACCAAACACATCACGACTAAATAGTCAAGTGTCACCACATGATAGAGTGGTGTATTGGTGTGATATGTTTCCACTATCATAAAAACACAGTTCCCTGAAACAAGATCATGTCTGCTGATATGTTCAGTTGACAATCTCATGATGAGTCAATGACATTCATTCCAAGTCCCAGTCCCTCGCTATGAAACTGTTGGAATATTGCTCAAAGTGGCGTAGAACCATACTTATTCACCAATGGAAGGACTAAAGACGTGTTTTAGTGATCATGATGATATTGATGTATTTCAGGTACATGCTAACTGGTGGGACAGATGGGGATGTCAGGGTGTGGCAGGGCATCGACGATGATGATGCAGTCTCCCACAGAGTTGGAGAGAAAGTATATGCTGTTGCTTTTAAGGTAAAAGGAGATGTTTTCAAGATCTTTGATCATTGTTGTCATTCATACAAACCTTTAAAGTCACATTTCATGGAGAATTATCACATTTTAGATTTGTTTAAGTATACAGTAGTAGAGGGTTATCATGGTTATTCTCTCTGAAATGCTACAAGTGGATCTTAATGAGATAAAAGTGTAGACAAACTGTTTACATTGGTTTAGTGGTAATGATTTCTTAATTTGCAAATATATAACAGATTTTAGGCAGAAGTAATGATTCTGACTAACGAATGAATGATATAGGTATCTACAATATTTTTGTTATGATCCGCTTTTGAAATGGCATCTCAGAGAGAAGAATTCTTTCCTTAAACCCTCCCTTCATTGCCATGGTAACAACATGGGTGGGACAGAAATCAGCATGTAGTGGCCCTCCATGTTATGTAACCCCCGCCTGTTTATTATGAGTGCAATATGCAGTCCATCCGCAAACCAAATGCCCAGACACCATGCAAGTTATGGAAATATGAACCGTTGAGGCCGGTCAATAATTCTTCAGCCCGTTCACAGATTCAAGCAGGAATGTTATGTCCAGGTTCTGTATTTCATAAATCAGGATCCAGCCCAATCCAACACTACGCTACTGAGATGTCAAATTGAATGAAATGCACATACATTGTATTGACAGAATAATCGTTTCTACACGGCATCAGAGGCCAACTCTGTACAGACACATACCTTTCCTGATGGTTCCCCTGATGGCATCGTGACGCGCTTCACAGGCGCCGTGTCACACATGTGCCTCAACAAGTCTGGCAGTGTGATGGTGGCCGCATCAAGGTATGTAGCATGTCACATGTAACTCACTTCATGCCCATGTCTCACACATGAAGATTCCGGGGTAGAATAGGTCTTCAGCAACCCATGCCTGCCGTATGAGGCGACTATGCTTGTCGTAAGAAGCGACTAACAGGATCGGGTGGTCAGGCTTGCTGACTTGGTTGATGTATGTCATCGTATCCCAATTGTGTAGATCAATGCTCATGATGTCAATCACTGATTTGTCTGGTCCAGACTCGATTATCTACAGACCGCTGTCATATAGCTGGAATATTGCTGAGTACGGTGTTAAATAACAAATACAACACGGTCCCAGTATCACACATGTGCTTCAACAAGTCTGGCAGTGTGATGGTGGCCCGATCAAGGTATGTAGCACGTCAGATGTAACTCACTTCATTAAAAAGAATGAAAGTGTAACACCTTCATCTGACTTTAAATTAATCATGAAAACACTTAAAAAATACACATAAAATTCCATTGATGTTTGTTGAATGGACACTAAATCTATGCAGATTGGCTGTTTCAGTGACTTCACTGTGAAACATGTTGAGGTTGAGACCAGTAACCAGAAGGTGTTCCACGGTCACCAGGCCCCAGTCCTCAGTGTGTCTCTCCACCCCCAGGAGGAACTACTGGTAGGTGTCCATCATGTTCCTCAGTGTGTCTCTCCATCCCCAGGGGGAACTACTGGTAGGTGTCCATCATGTTCCTCAGTGTCTCTCCACCCCCAGGAGGAACTACTGGTAGGTGTCTATCATGTTCCTCAGTGTGTCTCTCCATCCCAAGGGGGAACTACTGGTAGGTGTCCATCATGTTCCCAAGTGTGTCTCTCCATCCCAAGGTGGGAACTACTGGTAGGTGTCTCTCATGTTCCTTAGTGTCTCTCCACCCCCAGGAGGAACTACTGGTAGGTGTCCATCATGTTCCTCAGTGTGTCTCTCCACCCCCAGGAGGAACTACTGGTAGGTGTCCATCATGTTCCTCAGTGTGTCTCTCCACCCCCAGGAGGAACTACTGGTAGGTGTCCATCATGTTCCTCAGTGTCTCTCCACCCCCAGGGGGAACTACTGGTAGGTGTCCATCATGTTCCTCAGTGTCTCTCCACCCCCAGGGGGAACTACTGGTAGGTGTCCATCATGTTCCTCAGTGTGTCTCTCCATCCTCAGGGGGAACTACTGGTAGGTGTCCATCATGTTCCTCAGTGTGTCTCTCCACCCCCAGGAGGAACTACTGGTAGGTGTCCATCATGTTCCTCAGTGTCTCTCCACCCCCAGGGGGAACTACTGGTAGGTGTCCATCATGTTCCTCAGTGTGTCTCTCCATCCTCAGGGGGAACTACTGGTAGGTGTCCATCATGTTCCTCAGTGTGTTTTCCACCCCCAGGAGGAACTACTGGTAGGTGTCCATCATGTTCCTCAGTGTGTCTCTCCATCCCAAGGGGGAACTACTGGTAGGTGTCCATCATGTTCCTCAGTGTGTCTCTCCACCCTCAGGAGGAACTACTGGTAGGTCTTAACTTGTTCCTCTGTGTGTCTCTCCACCCCCAGGAGGAACTACTGGTAGGTGTCCATCATGTTCCTCAGTGTCTCTCCACCCCCAGGAGGAACTACTGGTAGGTGTCCATCATGTTCCTCAGTGTCTCTCCATCCCCAGGAGGAACTACTGGTAGGTGTCTATTATGTTCCTCAGTGTGTCTCTCCACCCCCAGGACCAACCACTGGTAGGTGTCCATCATGTTCCTCAGTGTGTCTCTCCATCCCCAGGAGGAACTACTGGTAGGTCTTATCTTGTTCTTTAGTGTGTCTCTCCACCCCCAGGAGGAACTACTGGTAGGTGTCCATCATGTTCCTCAGTGTCTCTCCATCCCCAGGAGGAACTACTGGTAGGTGTCTATTATGTTCCTCAGTGTGTCTCTCCACCTCCCAGGAGGAACTACTGGTAGGTGTCTATCATGTTCCTCAGTGTGTCTCTCCACCCCTAGGAGGAACTACTGGTAGGTCTTAACTTGTTCCTCAGTGTGTCTCTCCACCCCTAGGAGGGATGGTAGGTCATAACTTGCTAGTCTTCCCTGATGGAAATGCCTTTGGTTGCCCAATGTCTACGAAGCTTCAATACATTGTGCCATTATGTTGTTGAGGACAGCAGACACCCTATGATTGAGCTTTAAATCCCCAGTTCAGATTCACCTTCATTAAGATTCTTGGTTTGTCAGGACCATGCCTTTGTTTCGAAGTTTGCAACGTCCATCTCTTCAGGCTTTCCTCCCTCATTGAGCCGTGATAGAAGTAAACTACTGCTCCGTGTTGATCAGTCCACCGGGGAGCAGAGCCAGCTGAAGAGTTACCCTCCTGAAGGCAGTGTGATCTCCTGAAGGCAATGTGATCTCCTGAAGGCAGTGTGATCTCCTGAAGGCAGTGTGATCTCCTGAAGGCAGTGTGATCTCCTGAAGGCAGTGTGATCTCCTGAAGGCAGTGTGATCTCCTGAAGGCAATGTGATCTCCTGAAGGCAGTGTGATCTCCTGATCTCTCTCTTTCAGGCCTCCTCCAGCTGTGATGGCAGTGTTAAAGTGTGGAAGGTGGCAGACCAATCTTGTGTCAAGTCTTTGGAGGATAGCATACCGAAGTGTTCAGACATCAGGTGAGTTCACGCCAACACATCCGGACATGAGACTTATTATTTTGATAATGATGCTTAAGGGATAATGACATCTGAAATGAGGAGTCAGTGGGTTACTGGAATGCTACCACAGGACCTGACTCCATGTCTGCTTCTCTTTCAGTCTCTCCAAGACGCTGTGTCGCTTGACCTGGTCGCCGGACGGCAAGGTGAGTCAGTAGGTCTGTACACGTTGTTTGTATGGTGCAGTGAATGTAGTCTGTGCATATATATAGATAGGTGATTGTAAACACTGTTATAGATAATTATTCAAAATTAATTAATTTAAAGAAAATACAGGTTGTATTCTACGAATCATTTGCCACCTTTCTTATATTCCTCAGAACCTACTGGTGCCGAGAGAAAAGGAAATAGCCATCTACGAAAACAACACGTGGCAGAAAAGTGTCATCACTCACGAGGCTCTCACTGGGGTATGTACTTTAGATTGTAGGGGCCTGGGGCCGTTGTTCATAACAACCTTAGTGCTACGACTGTCGCAAGTCTATTTTAGGGTATGGGAGTTATCGTCTTAGTCTAAGATCGCATTGTACAATTGCACCCAGGGTCAGAATAGGTCCCTGGCATCCCATTACTTTTCAGAAAGATGTGTCATCAAGTTCATCAGGTGGTAAAGTAACTCTGTAATGTCTGGCTGATGATGTGTCGGTGTGCCCTGATGATGTGTCAGTGTGCCCTGATGATGTGTCAGTGTGCCCTGATGATGTGTCAGTGTGCCCTGATGATGTGTCAGTGTGCCCTGATGATGTGTCGGTGTGCCCTGATGATGTGTCGGTGTGCCCTGATGATGTGTCGGTGTGACCTGATGATGTGTCGGTGTGCCCTGATGATGTGTCAGTGTGCCCTGATGATGTGTCAGTGTGCCCTGATGATGTGTCGGTGTGCCCTGATGATGTGTCGGTGTGCCGTGATGATGTGTCAGTGTGCCCTGATGATGTGTCAGTGTGCCCTGATGTGTCGGTGTGCCCTGATGTGTCGGTGTCCCCTGATGATGTGTCGGTGTGCCCTGATGTGTCGGTGTGCCCTGATGATGTGTCGGTGTGCCCTGATGATGTGTCGGTGTGCCCTGATGATGTGTCGGTGTGACCTGATGATGTGTCGGTGTGCCCTGATGATGTGTCAGTGTGCCCTGATGATGTGTCAGTGTGCCCTGATGTGTCGGTGTGCCCTGATGTGTCGGTGTGCCCTGATGATGTGTCGGTGTGCCCTGATGATGTGTCGGTGTGCCCTGATGATGTGTCGGTGTGACCTGATGATGTGTCGGTGTGCCCTGATGATGTGTCAGTGTGCCCTGATGTGTCGGTGTGCCCTGATGATGTGTCAGTGTGCCCTGATGATGTGTTGGTGTGTCCTTATGATGTGTTGGTGTGCCCTGATGATGTGTCAGTGTGCCCTGATGATGTGTCGGTGTGCCCTGATGTGTCGGTGTGCCCTGATGATGTGTCGGTGTGCCCTGATGATGTGTCGGTGTGCCCTTATGATGTGTCGGTGTGCCCTGATGATGTGTCAGTGTGCCCTGATGATGTGTCGATGTGCCCTGATGATGTGTCAGTTTGCCCTGATGATGTGTCAGTGTGCCCTGATGATGTGTCAGTGTGCCCTGATGATGTGTCAGTGTGCCCTGATGATGTGTCAGTGTGCCCTGATGATGTGTCACTATGCCCTGATGATCTGTTGGTGTGCCCTGATGATGTGTCAGTGTGCCCTGATGATGTGTCAGTGTGCCCTGATGATGTGTCGGTGTGCCCTGATGATGTGTCAGTGTGCCCTGATGATGTGTCAGTGTGCCCTGATGATGTGTCGGTGTGCCCTGATGATGTGTCAGTGTGCCCTGATGATGTGTCAGTGTGCCCTGATGATGTGTCGGTGTGCCCTGATGATGTGTCGGTGTGCCGTGATGATGTGTCAGTGTGCCCTGATGATGTGTCAGTGTGCCCTGATGTGTCGGTGTGCCCTGATGTGTCGGTGTGCCCTGATGATGTGTCGGTGTGCCCTGATGATGTGTCAGTGTGCCCTGATGATGTGTCGGTGTGCCCTGATGTGTCGGTGTGCCCCGATGATGTGTCGGTGTGCCCTGATGATGTGTCGGTGTGCCCTGATGATGTGTCGGTGTGACCTGATGATGTGTCGGTGTGCCCTGATGATGTGTCAGTGTGCCCTGATGATGTGTCAGTGTGCCCTGATGTGTCGGTGTGCCCTGATGTGTCGGTGTGCCCTGATGATGTGTCGGTGTGCCCTGATGATGTGTCGGTGTGCCCTGATGATGTGTCGGTGTGACCTGATGATGTGTCGGTGTGCCCTGATGATGTGTCAGTGTGCCCTGATGTGTCGGTGTGCCCTGATGATGTGTCAGTGTGCCCTGATGATGTGTTGGTGTGTCCTTATGATGTGTTGGTGTGCCCTGATGATGTGTCAGTGTGCCCTGATGATGTGTCGGTGTGCCCTGATGTGTCGGTGTGCCCTGATGATGTGTCGGTGTGCCCTGATGATGTGTCGGTGTGCCCTTATGATGTGTCGGTGTGCCCTGATGATGTGTCAGTGTGCCCTGATGATGTGTAGATGTGCCCTGATGATGTGTCAGTTTGCCCTGATGATGTGTCAGTGTGCCCTGATGATGTGTTGGTGTGCCCTGATGATGTGTCAGTGTGCCCTGATGATGTGTCAGTGTGCCCTGATGATGTGTCACTATGCCCTGATGATCTGTTGGTGTGCCCTGATGATGTGTCAGTGTGCCCTGATGAGGTGTCAGTGTGCCCTGATGATGTGTCGGTGTGCCCTTATGATGTGTCGGTGTGCCCTGATGATGTGTCAGTGTGCCCTGATGATGTGTCGATGTGCCCTGATGATGTGTCAGTTTGCCCTGATGATGTGTCAGTGTGCCCTGATGATGTGTCAGTGTGCCCTGAAGATGTGTCAGTGTGCCCTGATGATGTGTCACTATGCCCTGATGATCTGTTGGTGTGCCCTGATGATGTGTCAGTGTGCCCTGATGAGGTGTCAGTGTGCCCTGATGATGTGTCGGTGTGCCCTGATGATGTGTCAGTGTGCCCTGATGATGTGTCAGTGTGCCCTGATGATGTGTCGGTGTGCCCTGATGATGTGTCAGTGTGCCCTGATGATGTGTCAGTGTGCCCTGATGATGTGTCGGTGTGCCCTGATGATGTGTCGGTGTGCCGTGATGATGTGTCAGTGTGCCCTGATGATGTGTCAGTGTGCCCTGATGTGTCGGTGTGCCCTGATGATGTGTCGGTGTGCCCTGATGATGTGTCAGTGTGCCCTGATGATGTGTCGGTGTGCCCTGATGTGTCGGTGTGCCCTGATGATGTGTCGGTGTGCCCTGATGATGTGTCGGTGTGCCCTGATGATGTGTCGGTGTGACCTGATGATGTGTCGGTGTGCCCTGATGATGTGTCAGTGTGCCCTGATGATGTGTCAGTGTGCCCTGATGTGTCGGTGTGCCCTGATGTGTCGGTGTGCCCTGATGATGTGTCGGTGTGCCCTGATGATGTGTCGGTGTGCCCTGATGATGTGTCGGTGTGACCTGATGATGTGTCGGTGTGCCCTGATGATGTGTCAGTGTGCCCTGATGTGTCGGTGTGCCCTGATGATGTGTCAGTGTGCCCTGATGATGTGTTGGTGTGTCCTTATGATGTGTTGGTGTGCCCTGATGATGTGTCAGTGTGCCCTGATGATGTGTCGGTGTGCCCTGATGTGTCGGTGTGCCCTGATGATGTGTCGGTGTGCCCTGATGATGTGTCGGTGTGCCCTGATGATGTGTCGGTGTGCCCTGATGATGTGTCAGTGTGCCCTGATGATGTGTCGATGTGCCCTGATGATGTGTCAGTTTGCCCTGATGATGTGTCAGTGTGCCCTGATGATGTGTCAGTGTGCCCTGATGATGTGTCAGTGTGCCCTGATGATGTGTCAGTGTGCCCTGATGATGTGTCAGTGTGCCCTGATGATGTGTCACTATGCCCTGATGATCTGTTGGTGTGCCCTGATGATGTGTCAGTGTGCCCTGATGAGGTGTCAGTGTGCCCTGATGATGTGTCGGTGTGCCCTGATGATGTGTCAGTGTGCCCTGATGATGTGTCAGTGTGCCCTGATGAGGTGTCAGTGTGCCCTGATGATGTGTCAGTGTGCCCTGATGATGTGTCGGGTGCTCTGATGATGTGTCAGTGAGCCCTGGTCATTCTCCTGTTGTCCTTCAGACTGTGTCCATCTTAACATTCTACCGTTGTCCTTCAGACTGTGTCCATCTTAACATTCTCCCATTGTCCTTCAGACTGTGTCCATCTTAACATTCTCCCGTTGTCCTTCAGACTGTGTCCATCTTAACATTCTCCCATTGTCCTTCAAACTGTGTCCATCTTAACATTCTCCCCTGTTGTCCTTCAGACTGTGTCCATCTTAACATTCTCCCGTTGTCCTTAAGACTATGTCCATTTTAACATTCTCCCGTTTTCCTTCAGACTGTGTCCATCTTAACATTCTCCCGTTGTCCTTCAGACTGTGTCCATCTTAACATTCTCCCGTTGTCCTTCAGACTGTGTACATCTAAACATTCTCCCGTTGTCCTTCAGACTGTGTCCATCTTAACATTCTCCCGTTGTCCTTCAGACTGTGTCCATCTAAACATTCTCCCGTTGTCCTTCAGACTGTGTCCATCTTAACATTCTCCCGTTGTCCTTCAGACTGTGTCCATCTTAACATTTTCGCCTCCCGGGAACCTGCTGGCTGCTGCATGCTGTGATGGGTCTATCGTTGTCTTCGATTGGAACACACGCAAGTGTGTAGAAAAGTAAGTACATCGCAGTTATTTACTTCATGCTTACAGCGTCACACTGAAGGCCCTGGTTCCATTCCCCAAATGGGTACAATGTGTGAATCCCATTTCTGGTGTCCCCTGCTGTGATATTGGTGGAATACTCTTAAAAGCAGCATAAAACCATACTCACTCACTCACTCACTCACTCACTCACTCACTCACTCACTCTTACAGGCCTACATATTCCGTATGTGACATCATGTGATTCTACTTCAGTGAAACGGATACTTTCATGTCTTTGATAAGTATGCAGATTGACAAATGTTGAAACTATTGACACAACTTGAAGTGGGTTTATCTATTGAGGGTTTAAGCTCCCCAGCATGGCATGTCTGTCGATGCTCCAGATGACAGTGATGCCTCTACTGTGTTGACTGTCGACTGTGGATGTATAGTACCCAGGGCATGGCATCAGAGAAACTGTCCAGTGTTGTGAATGTATTTCCAAACTAACAGGGTTTCAATAGATTGCATTGTTGTGAGATTCGGCACATTCGACACGACTTCTATCTCCGTCTTCTTCCAGGCAGCGGCATGACAAGGGTCTGAACATCTGTGCTCTAGCCTGGAACCCTAGCAACTCCTCCCAGCTCGCGCTCTGTGATACGGAGGTAGGTGTTGTACCTCGCTCGCAGGTGTATGTTCACCCAGGAGGTGAGAACATGGCTGTTTCAGAGGTCTCAATTTTTCTATAGGGCAGTTTTCCACAGCAGTTGGCCCTAGAATCAAATATAATATATTGGATGCTGTGAATATGCAGCGATTGACATGGACAAGAAGTTGACAAGTTAGCCTCCATTCTGAAGATATAAATCTGATGTCATTCATTAAAATCTGATAATCTTAAGAGTCAGTAGTTTGAAAAAACAAGTGTGGCGAGTGGCGAGATACGGACCCACTGGTTCCTGCCATGTTAGGGTGACAAGTACATTCCCAGTATTGAGGCATAAGTATTGTAATCTTTATGTAAATCATCATTGTACATGAATGGACCCTTGCAATTTCACTCAGTAAGACCTTAGCAATGCATGTTGGGTAACGTTGTCAGATGCTTGTTATGGCGGACATTTTCATCGATGCTCTAAAGTAAACAATTATGTGGAACTACAAGATAAGTCTGATCTCAGGATACCACAATAAGAATGCATATTTACAGCTGCATGTTTTGCTGCATTTATTCCAGTCTGTAGTATGTCCCAGTGCCTCGGTACTTCATACGACCAGTGTTGAGTGTTGGTATTGTTGGGGCACTCTCTCACACACTGACGTTTTCTGTTACACAGGGACAGCTAGGGGTGCTTGACCTGGCAACGACAGATAAGGTAAGCTTTTTTTTCTTCTTTTTTTTGGTCTGTTGTTTAATGCCGCACGCAGCAATATTCCAGCTCTATGACGGTGGTCTGTAAATAGTCGTTTGACAATCCATTATTTGATATCATGAGCATCGATCCAAGCAATTTGGAAACAATGACATGCATCAACCAAGTCAGCAAGCATGACCACCGTTAGTTGCCTCTTACGACAAGGATAGTCGCCTTTTATGGCAAGCAGAGGTTGCTGAAGACCTTTTCTGACCCTTGAAAACCGGGATCGAATAGGTCGGCCTCGTTCAGGTGATGTAGTCAGCACAACATGCCCACGTAACATAGGAGTCAGCGTCACAATGTTTCACCCACTTCGTGTCGGTCACCTGTATGTTAGGAACTGCTCGATGATCCCAGAAATGGTGACAGTTGATAATGCATGCAAAATTCTGATCTAACAAAATGGTCGCTACAACAGCCATGTTGAAAAGTAAAGAAAGTTAATATAGTTTATGTAAACATTAAAGTTTAATTTTTTTGGGTGATGACATTTTCTGTCAATGTTTATGTTTCCCTTGCCTATGTTTATTGTTATTTTTTTGACAGCTTAATGAACTTGCAGGGATGATGAAACTGTGTTGTGTTCTGTCTCTTGGTGCAGCCTTCATAGCCCAGTGTGTTCTGTCTGTTGGTGCACCCTTCATAGCCCAGTGTGTTCTGTCTCTTGGTGCAGCCTTCATAGCCCAGTGTGTCATGTCTCTTGGTGCACCCTTCATAGCCCAGTGTGTCATGTCTCTTGGTGCAGCCTTCATAGCCCAGTGTGTCATGTCTCTTGGTGCACCCTTCATAGCCCAGTGTGTCATGTCTCTTGGTGCACCCTTCATAGCCCAGTGTGTCATGTCTGTTGGTGCAGCCTTCATAGCCCAGTGTGTCATGTCTCTTGGTGCAGCCTTCATAGCCCAGTGTGTTCTGTCTCTTGGTGCCCCCTTCATAGCCCAGTGTGTCATGTCTCTTGGTGCACCCTTCATAGCCCAGTGTGTCATGTCTCTTGGTGCACCCTTCATAGCCCAGTATGTTCTGTCTCTTGGTGCAGCCTTCATAGCCCAGTGTGTTCTGTCTCTTGGTGCAGCCTTCATAGCCCAGTGTGTCATGTCTCTTGGTGCAGCCTTCATAGCCCAGTGTGTCATGTCTCTTGGTGCACCCTTCATAGCCCAGTGTGTCATGTCTCTTGGTGCACCCTTCATAGCCCAGTGTGTTCTGTCTCTTGGTGCCCCCTTCATAGCCCAGTGTGTCATGTCTCTTGGTGCACCCTTCATAGCCCAGTGTGTCATGTCTCTTGGTGCACCCTTCATAGCCCAGTGTGTTCTGTCTGTTGGTGCAGCCTTCATAGCCCAGTGTGTTCTGTCTCTTCGTGCACCCTTCTTAGCCCAGTGTGTTCTGTCTCTTGGTGCACCCTTCATAGCCCAGTGTGTCATGTCTCTTGGTGCAGCCTTCATAGCCCAGTGTGTCATGTCTCTTGGTGCACCCTTCATAGCCCAGTGTGTCATGTCTCTTGGTGCACCCTTCATAGCCCAGTATGTTCTGTCTCTTGGTGCAGCCTTCATAGCCCAGTGTGTTCTGTCTCTTGGTGCAGCCTTCATAGCCCAGTGTGTCATGTCTCTTGGTGCAGCCTTCATAGCCCAGTGTGTCATGTCTCTTGGTGCACCCTTCATAGCCCAGTGTGTCATGTCTCTTGGTGCACCCTTCATAGCCCAGTGTGTTCTGTCTCTTGGTGCCCCCTTCATAGCCCAGTGTGTCATGTCTCTTGGTGCACCCTTCATAGCCCAGTGTGTCATGTCTCTTGGTGCACCCTTCATAGCCCAGTGTGTTCTGTCTGTTGGTGCAGCCTTCATAGCCCAGTGTGTTCTGTCTCTTCGTGCACCCTTCTTAGCCCAGTGTGTTCTGTCTCTTGGTGCACCCTTCATAGCCCAGTGTGTCATGTCTCTTGGTGCAGCCTTCATAGCCCAGTGTGTCATGTCTCTTGGTGCACCCTTCATAGCCCAGTGTGTCATGTCTCTTGGTGCACCCTTCATAGCCCAGTGTGTCATGTCTCTTGGTGCACCCTTCATAGCCCAGTGTGTTCTGTCTCTTGGTGCAGCCTTCATAGTCCAGTGTGTCATGTCTCTTGGTGCACCCTTCATAGCCCAGTGTGTCATGTCTCTTGGTGCACCCTTCATAGCCCAGTGTGTTCTGTCTCTTGGTGCAGCCTTCATAGCCCAGTGTGTTCTGTCTCTTGGTGCAGCCTTCATAGCCCAGTGTGTCATGTCTCTTGGTGCACCCTTCATAGCCCAGTGTGTCATGTCTCTTGGTGCACCCTTCATAGCCCAGTGTGTCATGTCTCTTGGTGCACCCTTCATAGCCCAGTGTGTCATGTCTCTTGGTGCAGCCTTCATAGCCCAGTGTGTTCTGTCTCTTGGTGCAGCCTTCATAGCCCAGTGTGTTCTGTCTCTTGGTGCAGCCTTCATAGCCCAGTGTGTCATGTCTCTTGGTGCACCCTTCATAGCCCAGTGTGTCATGTCTCTTGGTGCACCCTTCATAGCCCAGTGTGTTCTGTCTCTTGGTGCACCCTTCATAGCCCAGTGTGTCATGTCTCTTGGTGCACCCTTCATAGCCCAGTGTGTTTTGTCTCTTGGTGCAGCCTTCATAGTCCAGTGTGTCTTGTCTCTTGGTGCAGCCTTCATAGCCCAGTGTGTCATGTCTCTTGGTGCAGCCTTCATAGCCCAGTGTGTCATGTCTCTTGGTGCAGCCTTCATAGCCCAGTGTGTTCTGTCTCTTGGTGCAGCCTTCATAGCCCAGTGTGTCATGTCTCTTGGTGCACCCTTCATAGCCCAGTGTGTTCTGACTCTTGGTGCCCCCTTCATAGCCCAGTGTGTCATGTCTCTTGGTGCAGCCTTCATAGCCCAGTGTGTTCTGTCTCTTGGTGCAGCCTTCATAGCCCAGTGTGTCATGTCTCTTGGTGCACCCTTCATAGCCCAGTGTGTCATGTCTCTTGGTGCACCCTTCATAGCCCAGTGTGTCATGTCTCTTGGTGCAGCCTTCATAGCCCAGTGTGTTCTGTCTCTTGGTGCAGCCTTCATAGCCCAGTGTGTCATGTCTCTTGGTGCACCCTTCATAGCCCAGTGTGTCATGTCTCTTGGTGCAGCCTTCATAGCCCAGTGTGTTCTGTCTCTTGGTGCAGCCTTCATAGCCCAGTGTGTTCTGACTCTTGGTGCACCCTTCATAGCCCAGTGTGTTCTGTCTCTTGGTGCACCCTTCATAGCCCAGTGTGTCATGTCTCTTGGTGCAGCCTTCATAGCCCAGTGTGTCATGTCTCTTGGTGCACCCTTCATAGCCCAGTGTGTCATGTCTCTTGGTGCACCCTTCATAGCCCAGTGTGTCATGTCTCTTGGTGCACCCTTCATAGCCCAGTGTGTTCTGTCTCTTGGTGCAGCCTTCATAGTCCAGTGTGTCATGTCTCTTGGTGCACCCTTCATAGCCCAGTGTGTCATGTCTCTTGGTGCACCCTTCATAGCCCAGTGTGTTCTGTCTCTTGGTGCAGCCTTCATAGCCCAGTGTGTTCTGTCTCTTGGTGCAGCCTTCATAGCCCAGTGTGTCATGTCTCTTGGTGCACCCTTCATAGCCCAGTGTGTCATGTCTCTTGGTGCACCCTTCATAGCCCAGTGTGTCATGTCTCTTGGTGCACCCTTCATAGCCCAGTGTGTCATGTCTCTTGGTGCAGCCTTCATAGCCCAGTGTGTTCTGTCTCTTGGTGCAGCCTTCATAGCCCAGTGTGTTCTGTCTCTTGGTGCACCCTTCATAGCCCAGTGTGTCATGTCTCTTGGTGCACCCTTCATAGCCCAGTGTGTTCTATCTCTTGGTGCACCCTTCATAGCCCAGTGTGTCATGTCTCTTGGTGCACCCTTCATAGCCCAGTGTGTTCTGTCTCTTGGTGCAGCCTTCATAGTCCAGTGTGTCTTGTCTCTTGGTGCAGCCTTCATAGCCCAGTGTGTCATGTCTCTTGGTGCACCCTTCATAGCCCAGTGTGTCATGTCTCTTGGTGCACCCTTCATAGCCCAGTGTGTTCTGTCTCTTGGTGCAGCCTTCATAGCCCAGTGTGTCATGTCTCTTGGTGCACCCTTCATAGCCCAGTGTGTTCTGACTCTTGGTGCCCCCTTCATAGCCCAGTGTGTCATGTCTCTTGGTGCAGCCTTCATAGCCCAGTGTGTTCTGTCTCTTGGTGCAGCCTTCATAGCCCAGTGTGTCATGTCTCTTGGTGCACCCTTCGTAGCCCAGTGTGTCATGTCTCTTGGTGCACCCTTCATAGCCCAGTGTGTTCTGTCTCTTGGTGCAGCCTTCATAGCCCAGTGTGTTCTGTCTCTTGGTGCAGCCTTCATAGCCCAGTGTGTCATGTCTCTTGGTGCACCCTTCATAGCCCAGTGTGTCATGTCTCTTGGTGCAGCCTTCATAGCCCAGTGTGTTCTGTCTCTTGGTGCACCCTTCATAGCCCAGTGTGTCATGTCTCTTGGTGCACCCTTCATAGCCCAGTGTGTCATGTCTCTTGGTGCCCCCTTCATAGCCCAGTGTGTCATGTCTCTTGGTGCACCCTTCATAGCCCAGTGTGTTCTGTCTCTTGGTGCACCCTTCATAGCCCAGTGTGTCATGTCTCTTGGTGCACCCTTCATAGCCCAGTGTGTCATGTCTCTTGGTGCACCCTTCATAGCCCAGTGTGTCATGTCTCTTGGTGCAGCCTTCATAGCCCAGTGTGTTCTGTCTGTTGGTGCAGCCTTCATAGCCCAGTGTGTCATGTCTCTTGGTGCACCCTTCATAGCCCAGTGTGTCATGTCTCTTGGTGCAGCCTTCATAGCCCAGTGTGTTCTGTCTCTTGGTGCACCCTTCATAGCCCAGTGTGTCATGTCTCTTGGTGCACCCTTCATAGCCCAGTGTGTCATGTCTCTTGGTGCCCCCTTCATAGCCCAGTGTGTCATGTCTCTTGGTGCACCCTTCATAGCCCAGTGTGTTCTGTCTCTTGGTGCACCCTTCATAGCCCAGTGTGTCATGTCTCTTGGTGCACCCTTCATAGCCCAGTGTGTCATGTCTCTTGGTGCCCCCTTCATAGCCCAGTGTGTCATGTCTCTTGGTGCACCCTTCATAGCCCAGTGTGTCATGTCTCTTGGTGCACCCTTCATAGCCCAGTGTGTCATGTCTCTTGGTGCACCCTTCATAGCCCAGTGTGTCATGTCTCTTGGTGCCCCCTTCATAGCCCAGTGTGTCATGTCTCTTGGTGCACCCTTCATAGCCCAGTGTGTCATGTCTCTTGGTGCACCCTTCATAGCCCAGTGTGTCATGTCTCTTGGTGCACCCTTCATAGCCCAGTGTGTCATGTCTCTTGGTGCAGCCTTCATAGCCCAGTGTGTCATGTCTCTTGGTGCAGCCTTCATAGCCCAGTGTGTTCTGACTCTTGGTGCCCCCTTCATAGCCCAGTGTGTCATGTCTCTTGGTGCACCCTTCATAGCCCAGTGTGTCATGTCTCTTGGTGCAGCCTTCATAGCCCAGTGTGTTCTGACTCTTGGTGCCCCCTTCATAGCCCAGTGTGTCATGTCTCTTGGTGCACCCTTCATAGCCCAGTGTGTCATGTCTCTTGGTGCAGCCTTCATAGCCCAGTGTGTTCTGTCTCTTGGTGCAGCCTTCATAGCCCAGTGTGTTCTGACTCTTGGTGCACCCTTCATAGCCCAGTGTGTCATGTCTCTTGGTGCCCCCTTCATAGCCCAGTGGGTCATGTCTCTTGGTGCAGCCTTCATAGCCCAGTGTGTTATGACTCTTGGTGCCCCCTTCATAGCCCAGTGTGTCATGTCTCTTGGTGCACCCTTCATAGCCCAGTGTGTCATGTCTCTTGGTGCAGCCTTCATAGCCCAGTGTGTTCTGTCTCTTGGTGCCCCCTTCATAGCCCAGTGTGTCATGTCTCTTGGTGCAGCCTTCATAGCCCAGTGTGTCATGTCTCTTGGTGCAGCCTTCATAGCCCAGTGTGTCATGTCTCTTGGTGCCCCCTTCATAGCCCAGTGTGTCATGTCTCTTGGTGCCCCCTTCATAGCCCAGTGTGTCATGTCTCTTGGTGCAGCCTTCATAGCCCAGTGTGTTCTGTCTCTTGGTGCACCCTTCATAGCCCAGTGTGTTCTGTCTCCCGTGGTATTCTGATGAACACCCTGGACCCATCACTGCCATCACCATCTTTCTAAGCACAAAATATTTCTCCTTGACCTTGAAATCAACAACCAATCATAATCTCTCTTCTGTCATTCGGGGTAGATCTTACAGACAAGCCCTTGACATATTGAATCAGAAGGTACTTCTGGATGAAGTCTCAGCTGAATGAGGAGGTCGCCTGACTGGTGATACTGGATCGGGGATGTTCTGCCTTGTGGGATTTTACAAGAATTACGTTGTATTTGAGCACTGGGGATAGAAAGAACTCAGTAATTTAGACATCTATTCTTACCATAATTCAAACAAAGCTATGAAGGCAAATGGATCCAGTGTATTTATCACAATACTTTGAAATTCACACTAGTACACCTGCCTGAGACTACTAAATTAAGTAAATATATGATTGCATTTGAGAGCTGTAATTCTGAAACAATTCTCAATGCTTCAATTTCTGAGGCTGTAGATGTAAATACACTGGGTAGCTGATGCTTGATGTAGTGTAGCCTGCTTGTCTTCCACAGCCTGATGGGGACGAGCAGATGAATGCAGGGCAGTTTGCTGGAGTTTTTGATGATGATGATGATCTGCTCCTGGAAGCCAGTAATGTTGGCCCTGGCAACGATGACGAGGGAACACCCGATCCTGCGGAAGGGGAGACGCCAAGCACAAAGAAAAGCCAGCCACTGATAGATGATGATGATGAGGACGATGATGATGGAGGTACAAATAATCCTTTATTGTGACTTAAATTGTGCTGGGAATGCTGCTAACTTGATATCAACAAGCTTTGTTTATAAATACTTCATTATTAAGTCATCTATATAACCTCTACTTATATCTAGACTTCCTGAAAGACATCAAGCTCTTACCGAAGGACGATGATGCCAGCAGTATTGCAGACAGTTTACCACCGCCTGCCACCATTGTGCCGACCAACACCTTCAAGCCAACTCCCATGCAGAGGCCTTTCCAGCCTGGGTCCACACCATCACACCTGTCGAGCAGGTACATGGTAGGTCATCACACCTGTCCAGCAGGTACACTACCTGGTAGGTCATCACACCTGTCGAGCAGGTACATGGTAGGTCATCACACCTGTCGCGCAGGTACATGGTAGGTCATCACACCTGTCGAGCAGGTACATGGTAGGTCATCACACCTGTCGAGCAGGTACATGGTAGGTCATCACACCTGTCGCGCAGGTACATGGTAGGTCATCACACCTGTCGAGCAGGTACATGGTAGATCGTCACACCTGTCGAGCAGATACATGGTAGATCGTTACACCTGTCGAGCAGATACATGGTAGGTCATCACACCTGTCGGGCAGGTACATGGTAGATCGTCACACCTGTCGAGCAGGTACATGGTTGATCGTCACACCTGCCGAGCAGGTACATGGTAGATCGTCACACCTGTCGAGCAGGTACATGGTAGGTCATCACACCTGTCGAGCAGGTACATGGTAGGTCGTCACACCTGTCGAGCAGGTACATGGTAGATCGTCACACCTGTCGAGCAGGTACATGGTAGATCGTCACACCTGTCGAGCAGGTACATGGTAGATCGTCACACCTGTCGAGCAGGTACATGGTAGATCGTCACACCTGTCGAGCAGGTACATGGTAGATCGTCACACCTGTCGAGCAGGTACATGGTAGATCGTCACACCTGTCGAGCAGGTACATGGTAGATCGTCACACCTGTCGAGCAGATACATGGTAGATCGTCACACCTGTCCAGCAGGTACATGGTAGATCGTCACACCTGTCGAGCAGGTACATGGTAGATCGTCACACCTGTGCAGCAGGTACATGGTAGATCGTTACACCTGTCGAGCAGGTACATGGTAGATCGTCACACCTGTCGAGCAGGTACATGGTAGATCGTCACACCTGTCGAGCAGGTACATCGTAGATCGTCACACCTGTCGAGCAGGTACATGGTAGATCGTCACACCTGTCGAGCAGGTACATGGTAGATCGTCACACCTGTCGAGCAGGTACATGGTAGATCGTCACACCTGTCGAGCAGGTACATGGTAGATCGTCACACCTGTCGAGCAGGTACATGGTAGATCGTTACACCTGTCGAGCAGGTACATGGTAGATCGTCACACCTGTCGAGCAGGTACATGGTAGGTCATCACACCTGTCAAGCTGGTACATGGTAGATTGTCACACCTGTCGAGCAGGTACATGGTAGATCGTCACACCTGTCGAGCAGGTACATGGTAGATCGTCACACCTGTCGAGCAGGTACATGGTAGATCGTCACACCTGTCGAGCAGGTACATGGTTGATCGTCACACCTGTCCAGCAGGTACATGGTAGATCGTCACACCTGTCGAGCAGGTACATGGTAGATCGTCACACCTGTCGAGCAGGTACATGGTAGGTCATCACACCAGTTCAGATTTCATGCATTTAGTTGAAGAAAAAAGTGAATGATCATTTGATGTTTTCTTGGTATTTCTACCCCAGTGATGTGCCCTAAATTCAAAATGATTTCAGGCATGAATTTTGTAATCAAGTGCCAAACATGTACTTCATACTTGATGTAGTTGATAGATGAACAAAGTCGGTATGAAAGGCCCCATGTTGATCTGTATGAAAGGCCCCATGTTGATCGGTATGAAAGGCCCTTTGTTGATCGGTATGAAAGGCCCTTTGTTGATTGGTATGAAAGGCCCTCTGTTGATTGGTATGAAAGGCCCCATGTTGATCGGTATGAAAGGCCTTTTGTTGATCGGTATGAAAGGCCCCATGTTGATCGGTATGAAAGGCCCCATGTTGATCGGTATGAAAGGCCCCATGTTGTTCGGTATGAAAGGCCTTTTGTTGATCGGTATGAAAGGCCCCATGTTGATCGGTATGAAAGGCCCCATGTTGATCTGTATGAAAGGCCCCGTGTTGATCGGTATGAAAGGCCCCATGTTGATCTGTATGAAAGGCCCCATATTGATCTGTATGAAAGGCCCCGTGTTGATCAGTATGTAAGGCCCCATGTTGATCTGTATGAAAGGCCCCATTTTGATCGGTATGAAAGGCCCTTTGTTGATCTGTATGAAAGGCCCCGTGTTGATCTGTATGAAAGGCCCCATGTTGATCTGTATGAAAGGCCCCGTGTTGTTCTGTATGAAAGGCCCTGCTGTCTGCCGGCAGGTGTGGAATGATGTGGGCATCGTGAAGCAATACGTGAGTGATGAGGAGAACTCCATTGATGTGGAGTTCCACAGCACGGCCACGCACCATGCCATGCACCTGACAAACAGCCTGGACTGTCACCTGGCCACACTCACTTCCACGGCACTGGTGCTGGCCTGCTCAGCTGAAGACGACGTCCCCAGGTACGTGTTATGAGTATATTCTCAGAAACCTCATTCTCTGTCTATTCCATGTTTCAATAAGGTGATGTCATATTCCATGTTTTTCAGTAGGGGGATGTGCTGTCTATTCCATGTTTCAGTAAGGTGATGTCTATTCCATGTTTCAGTAAGGTGATGTCTATTCCATGTTTCAGTAAGGTGCTGTCTCTTCCATGTTCCAGTAAGGTGATGTCTATTCTGTGTTTCAGTAAGGTGATGTCTCTTTCATGTTTCAGTAAGGTGCTGTCTCTTCCATGTTTCAGTAAGGTGATGTCATATTCCATGTTTTTCAGTAAGGTGATGTCTCTTCCATGTTTCAGTAAGGTGATGTCTATTCCATGTTTCAGTAAGGTGATGTCTATTCCATGTTTCAGTAAGGTGCTGTCTCTTCCATGTTTCAGTAAGGTGCTGTCTCTTCCATGTTTCAGTAAGGTGATGTCTATTCTGTGTTTCAGTAAGGTGATGTCTCTTTCATGTTTCAGTAAGGTGCTGTCTCTTCCATGTTTCAGTAAGGTGATGTCATATTCCACGTTTTTCAGTAAGGTGATGTCTATTCCTTGTTTCAGTAAGGTGATGTCATATTCCATTGTTTTTCAGTAAGGTGATGTCTATTCCATGTTTTTCAGTTGGGGGATGTGCTGTCTCTTCCATGTTTCAGTAATGTGCTGTCTATTCCATGTTTCAGTAAGGTGATGTCTATTCCATGTTTCAGTAAGGTCATGTCATATTCCATGTTTTTCAGTAAGGTGATGTCTATTCCATGTTTTTCAGTTGGGGGATGTGCTGTCTCTTCCATGTTTCAGTAATGTGCTGTCTATTCCATGTTTCAGTAAGGTGATGTCTATTCCATGTTTCAGTAATGTGCTGTCTCTTCCATGTTTCAGTAAGGTGATGTCATATTCCATTTTTTAAGTAAGGTGATGTCTCTTCCATGTTTCAGTAAGGTGCTGTCTCTTCCATGTTTCAGTAAGGTGATGTCTCTTCCATGTTTTTCAGTAAGGTGATGTCTCTTCCATGTTTCAGTAAGATGATGTCTATTCTGTGTTTCAGTAAGGTAATGTCTTTTTCATGTTTCAGTAAGGTGCTGTCTCTTCCATGTTTCAGTAAGGTGATGTCATATTCCATGTTTCATTAAGGTGATGTCATATTCCATGTTTTTCAGTAAGGTAATGTCTATACCATGTGTTTCAGTAAGGTGATGTCTATTCCATGTTTCAGTAATGTGCTGTCTCTTCCATGTTTCAGTAAGGTGATGTCATATTCCATGTTTTTCAGTAAGGTGATGTCTATTCCATGTTTAAGTAAGGTGATGTCTCTTCCATGTTTCAGTAAGGTGATGTCATATTCCATGTTTTTCAGTAAGGTGATGTCTATTCCATGTTTTTCAGTTGGGGGATGTGCTGTCTCTTCCATGTTTCAGTAATGTGCTGTCTATTCCATGTTTCAGTAAGGTGATGTCTATTCCATGTTTCAGTAAGGTGATGTCTATTCCATGTTTCAGTAAGGTGATGTATATTCCATGTTTCAGTAAGGTGATGTCATCTTCCATGTTTTTCTGTAAGGTGATGTCTATTCCATGTTTTTCAGTTTGGGGATGTGCTGTCTCTTCCATGTTTCAGTAATGTGCTGTCTATTCCATGTTTCAGTAAGGTGATGTCTATTCTGTGTTTCAGTAAGGTAATGTCATATTACATGTTTTTCAGTAAGGTGATGTCTATTCCATGTTTTTCAGTTGGGGGATGTGCTGTCTCTTCCATGTTTCAGTAAGGTGATGTCTATTCCATGTTTCAGTAATGTGCTGTCTATTCCATGTTTCAGTAAGGTGCTGTCTATTCCATGTTTCAGTAAGGTGATGTCTCTTCCATGTTTCAGTAAGGTGATGTCATATTCCATTTTTTAAGTAAGGTGATGTCTATTCCATGTTTCAGTAAGGTGATGTCTATTCCATGTTTCAGTAAGGTGATGTCATATTCCATGTTTTTCAGTAAGGTGATGTCTATTCCATGTTTTTTAGTTGGGGGATGTGCTGTCTCTTCCATGTTTCAGTAATGTGCTGTCTATTCCATGTTTCAGTAAGGTGATGACTATTCCATGTTTCAGTAAGGTGATGTCTATTCCATGTTTCAGTAAGGTAATGTCTATTCCATGTTTCAGTAATGTGCTGTCTATTCCATGTTTCAGTAAGGTGATGTATATTCCATGTTTCAGTAAGGTGATGTCATATTCCATTGTTTTTCAGTCAGGTGATGTCTATTCCATGTTTTTCAGTTGGGGGATGTGCTGTCTCTTCCATGTTTCAGTAATGTGCTGTCTATTCCATGTTTCAGTAAGGTGATGTCTATTCCATGTTTCAGTAAGGTGATGTCTATTCCATGTTTCAGTAATGTGCTGTCTATTCCATGTTTCAGTAAGGTGATGTCTATTCTGTGTTTCAGTAAGGTGCTGTCTCTTTCATGTTTCAGTAAGGTGATGTCATATTCCATGTTTTTCAGTTGGGGGATGTGCTGTCTCTTCCATGTTTCAGTAATGTGCTGTCTATTCCATGTTTCAGTAAGGTGATGTCTATTCCATGTTTCAGTAAGGTGATGTCTCTTCCATGTTTCAGTAAGGTGATGTCATATTCCATATTTTAAGTAAGGTGATGTCTATTCCATGTTTCAGTAAGGTGCTGTCTCTTCCATGTTTCAGTAAGGTGATGTCATATTCCATGTTTTTCAGTAAGGTGTTGTCTATTCCATGTTTCAGTAAGGTGATGTCTATTCCATGTTTCAGTAAGGTGGTGTCATATTCCACGTTCAGTATGGTGATGTGCATTGTATTCAATGTTTCAGTAAGGTGATGTGCTGTCTATTCCATGTTTTAGTAATGTGCTGCCTATTCCGTTTCAGTAAGGTGCTGTCTATTCTATGTTTCAGTAAGGTGATGTCTATTCCATGTTTCAGTAAGGTGATGTAATATTCCACGTTCATTACGGTGATGTGCATTGTATTCAGTAAGGTGTTTCAGTAAGGTGATGTGCTGTCCAATCCATGTTTCAGTAAGGTGATGTGCTGTCCAATCGATGTTTCATTTAGGTGATGTCATGTTCCATGTTTCAGTAAGGTGATGTCATATTCCATGTTTCTATAAGGTGATGTGCATTGTATCCCATGTTTCAGTAAGGTGATGTGCATTGTATTCCATGTTTCAGTGAGGTGATGTGCATTGTATTCCGTTTCAGTAAGGTGATGTGCATTGTATTCCATGTTTCAGTAAGGTGATGTGCATTGTATTCCATGTTTCAGTAAGGTGATGTGCATTGTATTCCATGTTTCAGTAAGGTAATGTGCATTGTATTCCATGTTTCAGTAAGGTAATGTGCAATGTATTCCGTTTCAGTAAGGTGATGTGCATTGTATTCCGTTTCAGTAAGGTGATGTGCATTGTATTCCGTTTCAGTAAGGTTATGAGCATTGTATTCCGTGTTCCAGTAAGGTGATGTGCATGCATTTTGGGTCATGGGACAGCAGCAAGGAATGGACGGTATGTCTGCCCGAGGGAGAAGAGGCCCAGGTCAGTGTTTTCTACTCAGTGAACTTGATGAACCGAACAATTTGTCCCTGTAACAAGTCCCACATTGTGTACTCTAGCATCCAGTTCACAATAAGCAGGTGTTTCAGTCAATCTCATTAAAATCAGATCTTAGTTCTCGCTGCCGCTAAACAAAGATCTGAGGAGATCCCATTACCGGTCAGGTCAGACGGACCTTGTGCGAACTTTGACCGACCAATGGAATGACCAATAAGAAGGCAGCCTTCTCGTGCTTTACGGCACAAATTTTAAATTGGCGACTACGCTTCGAAACATATTTTGACATATTCTCGATTACAAATTTGAAACCTGAACAAAAAAACATTCTGGAATGGCTAATAGATGGTCTAGATTGTAAGGATTCAGTCGTTAGACCCGTAACTATCGTTCGGAATACCCCATGTTAAAGTTTTCGCGATTGCATGATTAGAAATCACATTCCAACTGTCACTTTCATAATCTGGTAAGCGACGCACGGATTGGTCGGATGAAAGGTCGTTCTGACGTGACCTCTAATGGGATGTCTTCAGATGTTTGTTTAGCGGTAGCGAGAACTAAGGTCTGATTTTAATGAGATTGGTGTTTCAGTATGTGACCATGATGACTGCACCATTATTCCCCAGCAGTGTGCCTTGTTCAGGGCGTCACTGTATGCTTGCTGTCAACAGGCATCTGTTTAATGTATCTCTAACACAGTAGCTCTAACACAGTAGCTCTAACATCAAGACTGATACAGTTGTACCAATGTTGACTGTGATACTAGTACTGACAATAGCCTTCTGTAATATTGCTAACTACGGCCAGACTTTGTGAAATACAATGTAGCTGTATTATTGATTTCTACTGCTGTCATAGTGCTGATATGAAAGAACTGACTTGGGCACTAAACCTGCCAATTCTCTCCATAGGCGGTCACGGCTGGTGCTGGCTGGGTTGCCGTAGCTACTGATGCCAGGAATCTGAGGATATTCAGTGAAGCTGGCGTCCAGCAGGATCTCTTCTCCATCCCTGGCCCAGTTGTCTCCCTTGCAGGCCACGACAGTACGCTCCTGATAACATACCACGCTGGCATGGGTAAGTTTATGACAATGCTTCTGACAATGTACTACACTGCCATCTCCGCTCCGTCGACCCAGTGCAACATCAGAAGACAAGGCTTTCAGTGATATGGAAATATTGTATTTTTTCCTATGACAAATTACACATACGTATCACCAACAACTGTGCAAGTCAGTTCTTTCAAATAGATTTGTTATTCTTAACTGCATCTCGTCATGTTATTTATTACATTTTATGCCAAAGAGAATATCTTTATTTTTCAGTTGAAACCCTGAATTTTTAATAGATCTACAATTACAGTGATCGCTCGCTATTGCGCTACCAATGGGGTCCAAATAATTGGTGGGCGTTATAGACGATGAGCCATTTAACCGAGGCCGAGGCGGGGGAGCGCGCTCGGCAAATCTCAAATCATCAATAGGCCTATGTGTTTATCTCACGTCACGTCAAAATAGTATATATTTTGTCCTAGATCTACCTGTAATATCATTCATTTATTAAATCTGTCATATTTCACAATGTCTGAAATACGTATTCCATTCTAATTTATCATTTTTTATCAATAAATTACAAAATTATTCACTATTTCCCGCGATGTTATTGAAAATAAAATTCTCGGACACACATTTCGACAACGGGTCCGCATCGAACATGTCAAAGAGCAAAATAAAGACTATTTTAAGCAAATCTTTAAATATATTATACAAAGTGATAAATAAAATCAACAAAAATATATCTAAAAGTAATCAAACTTACATCTAAGTTATTATTTCCATCGTTTCGTGCGATCGCGTGTAATGTAAGTCAAATGACATCTCGGCTTTCGTCGCCTTGAATTCTCGGCTCGGACACAACGTTTAATGCAAAAATATATGCATGAAAAATCTTTGTCACAGCTCGTAACCTAGCACGATACATTCGCAAAGTTCCATATTTTTAATATATATCGTGATTTCCTGCTTAAAACGTTCAGAATAACACGATTTAACAAAAAATCTTTCGCTAACTTCTGAAATTTATCAAACACGAGCTTTGTATCACAGCTTGATTGGCTGCCTGAGGTCACGTGCTCAAAATTGACCAATCACGAAACTTGTAGCAGATTTCGGCAAGAAAGCGTCATTAGAAACAAATTTTAATCCAATGAAATCGCTTGTTATAACTACGGGGAAAAAACAGGCGATGTTACGAAAGCGCGATTACGAAATGAATGACCGCCGTGTTGTGACAGCAACTACATGTGTGTGACAGTTTAGCCTTAAATTGGATTGCCCACTAATTAAGAATATAAACTTCACTTGTGGTTCTCTTTTATTGCATGCATGCGCTTCTAAGATCAAAGGATGTATAGTGTGAAAAGTTAACTAGTAGAACAATCGTATTTCCGGGACCTGCCGCGGATGTTTTCAAACAGATTATTAGAACTCCATTCAGCGATAAACCGTTGATTATGCAATGAGAAGCGTTATGTGCAAATAAACAACGAACAACAATACAATCATGTCTGTGTAAAACTCTCAGTATTAAAAGTGTACATAAATTTTGGGAGCCATGCGTTGCCGCGCGTAATAACCGAAGTAGCGCTTTATCGAAGAGCGCAATAGCGAGCGATCACTGTAGTTGTCAAGAAAACTATCAAACAGCAAATAGTATCTACAGTTTTTACCAACTGACCATACCGATATATTTTTACCTTTGACTTGGTGCTTTCTCATTGATATTTAGTTGCACACAAGATGACAGAATGATCTCTTGTAGGAATTCCTGGAGACCAGTTTTTGGGTGTTATAATCACAGAAGTTGGGAGTCAAAAGAAAACTTTGCTGAATGGAAGCCCACTCTCCATGTCGCCCAAATCTACACTGCAGTGGCTAGGGTGAGTACAGATATAGGCCTTCAGGTCTACACTGGGTGAGTACAGATATAGGCCTTCAGGTCTACACTGCAGTGGCTAGGGTGAGTACAGATATAGGCCTTCAGATCTACACTGGGTGAGTACAGATATAGGCCTTCAGGTCTACACTGGGTGAGTACAGATATAGGCCTTCAGGTCTACACTGGGTGAGTACAGATATAGGCCTTCAGGTCTACACTAGGTGAGTACAGATATAGGCCTTCAGGTCTACACTGGGTGAGTACAGATATAGGCCTTCCAATCTACACTGGGTGAGTACAGATATAGGCCTTCAGGTCTACACTAGGTGAGTACAGATATAGGCCTTCAGGTCTACACTGGGTGAGTACAGATATAGGCCTTCAGATCTACACTGGGTGAGTACAGATATAGGCCTTCAGGTCTACACAGGGTGAGTACAGATATAGGCCTTCAGGTCTACACTGGGTGAGTACAGATATAGGCCTTCAGGTCTACACTAGGTGAGTACAGATATAGGCCTTCAGGTCTACACTGGGTGAGTACAGATATAAGCCTACAGGTCCACACTGGGTAAGTACAGATATAAGCCTACAGGTCCACACTGGGTGAGTGCAGATATAGGCCTTCAGGTCCACACTGGGTGAGTACAGATATAGGCCTTCAGATCTACACTGGGTGAGTACAGATATAGGCCTTCAGGTCTACACTGGGTGAGTACAGATATAGGCCTTCAGGTCTACACTGCAGTGGCTAGGGTGAGTACAGATATAGGCCTTCAGGTCTACACTGCAGTGGCTAGGGTGAGTACAGATATAGGCCTTCAGGTCTACACTGCAGTGGCTAGGGTGAGTACAGATATAGGCCTTCAGGTCAACACTGCACTCTATGTTAAGTACAGATAATGCAGTGGTTTTGGAGAGTAAAAAAATAAGGCCTTGCTCTCAGTTCATTTATGAAACTGGTTCTTCAGTTGAGTTGATGATGTTGCAGATTCTCATCCGAGGGCACACCCTTCTCCATGGACTCCGCTGGCATAGTGCGGAGAATGAGTTCCACAGGGAGTCCGACATGGATCCAGGTGGCCGACACACAGGAACATGTGAGTATGTCTGATCACAATATGAGGCTATAGCGGGGTCTGACATGGATCCAGGTGGCTGACACACAGGAACAAGTGAGTATGTCTGATCACAATACGAGGCTATAGCGGGGTCTGACATGGATCCAGGTGGCTGACACACAGGAACATGTGAGTATGTCTGATCACAATACGAGGCTATAGCGGGGTCCGACAAAGGTCCAGGTGGCCGACACACGGGAACATGTGAGTATGTCTGATCACAATACGAGGCTATAGCGGGGTCCGACAAAGGTCCAGGTGGCCGACACACAGGAACAAGTGAGTATGTCTGATCACAATACGAGGCTATAGCGGGGTCTGACATGGATCCAGGTGGCTGACACACAGGAACATGTGAGTATATCTGATCACAATACGAGGCTATAGCGGGGTCCGACATGGATCCAGGTGGCCGACACACGGGAACAGGCTGAGGCTGAGGCTGAGGCTGAGGCTGAGGGCTGGCCACGGTAGAACACGGATGTTGTGTTGTTGCAGAAAGGCCATGGTAGCTCTGGCAACATGGGGACGAGCGTTGTCCTGCTGGAAAATGGGTTGTTGATGTTGTGCAAAATATGGAACAACGTGGGGTCTGATCACTTGGTCGATATACCGCGGAGCAGTGATACCGTGTCCCCGACCTTGACCAACATTCAGAAAGCACATGGGTCCAAGTCTCGCATTAAGTCCAGTCCCTGCCCATATCATGACGCTAGGTCCACCCCATGGATCTCCTTCCACAACATTTCTGTCAGCGAAACAATCACCTCGACGCCGCCAAATTCTGACTCTTCCGTTTCCATGGGAGACACAAAAGCGACTTTTATCAGAGAAGATGACACGCCTTCACTCACGATGATGCCAATTGTAATGACCCTGTGCCAACTGAAGTCATGCTTGTCGATGCCGTGGTTTGAGAACAGGAAGACATGCTGGTCGTTGACATCTGAGGTTGTTGGAACGGAGACGTCGGATCACAGTGTCCCGGCTAATGTGTCGATTATGTGTTCCTATGGTCTGTCGAGCACTTTCACATGCAGTTAGGAATGGTGTTGATGGGTAATCTGCCAATCTTGTCGAGGTGTGGTGACCCTAGGACGACCGCTCTGAGGAAGGTCATCTGTGGTCTGTGTAGCATTGTATCGATGCAGGAGACGGTAAATTGTGGTTATGTTAACGTTGAAATGACGGGCAACATCTTGGACAGACTCTTCCAGCTTCCAAACGTCCAATAGCCTGGTTTCTCTGAATTTGAGTTAGGCGTGGCATTGTTGACCAAGGAGTGGTAGGTCCAAGAATCGGCCACAGTTTTATACCCACTACAGTTCGTGACAGTTTGTGCATTTTCGATTTCGTGAGAAATGGGTGCATGATACCCACATATTTATTGAAATGGTGCCTTTTGGCGATTCGTTTTTTATGTTGCGTTTTACTCGGGGGCTTCCAAAATGCAACCAAAAATATTGATAACACCATCAGGCTTCACTACATGCTAAAACTCATTACAATATATGGTTCCGTGTTTGTTACCTATTTGCTTTAAACCACTTGTGTTTCTTTTGCGTGTGAGTATACATGTGTGTGTTCACCTGTTTGCAGGCAAAGGGCAAGTCGGATCATTACTGGATTGTGGGAGTGGGGGAACACCCACAGCAACTCAGGTAAATCTCCCTCCTGCCGCCAGTGAACAGTGCTCCCGGTGTTCACTCACTGGCGGACTCGATGCAATGTGCAGCCACTCTGTCAGCAATCAGTGGGTCACATGACCTGGTACTAACTAGTGAGAGACCAGGGTGTGTGTGATTCAGCTCATGTTCAAAAGACAACTTGCTGTGAATGATGACAACATTTCTGATGCTGCTTTAAGCTACACTCACTCTCACTCACTCACTCACTCACTCACTCACCATGTCGGGGTTAATTGTTGCACCTGCTGTTGTCGGGGTTAATTGTTGCACCCGCTGTTGTGTGGGTTAATTGTTGCACCTGCTGTTGTGGGGGTTAATTGTTGCACCTGCTGTTGTCGGGGTTAATTGTTGCACCCGCTGTTGTCGGGGTTAATTGTTGCACCCGCTGTTGTCGGGGTTAATTGTTGTTCTGCTGTTGTGGGGGTTAATTGTTGCACCTGCTGTTGTCGGGGTTTATTGTTGCACCCGCTGTTGTCAGGGTTAATTGTTGCACCTGCTGTTGTGGGGGTTAATTGTTGCACCTGCTGTTGTCGGGTTTAATTGTTGCACCTGCTGTTGTCGGGGTTTATTGTTGCACCTGCTGTTGTCGGGGTTAATTGTTGCACCCGCTGTTGTCGGGGTTAATTGTTGCACCTGCTGTTGTCGGGGTTAATTGTTGCACCCGCTGTTGTGTGGGTTAATTGTTGCACCTGCTGTTGTCGGGGTTAATTGTTGCACCTGCTGTTGTCGGGGTTATTGTTGCACCCGCTGTTGTCAGGGTTAATTGTTGCACCTGCTGTTGTCAGGGTTAATTGTTGCACCTGCTGTTGTCGGGTTTAATTGTTGCAGCCGCTGTTGTCGGGGTTAATTGTTGTTCTGCTGTTGTGGGGGTTAATTGTTGCACCTGCTGTTGTCGGGATTAATTGTTGCACCTGCTGTTGTGGGGGTTAATTGTTGCACCTGCTGTTGTCGGGGTTAATTGTTGCACCTGCTGTTGTCGGGGTTAATTGTTGCACCTGCTGTTGTCGGGTTTAATTGTTGCACCCGCTGTTGTCGGGGTTAATTGTTGCACCTGCTGTTGTCGGGGTTAATTGTTGCACCTGCTGTTGTGTGGGTTAATTGTTGCACCTGCTGTTGTGGGGGTTAATTGTTGCACCCGCTGTTGTGGGGGTTAATTGTTGTTCTGCCGTTGTGGGGGTTAATTGTTGCACCTGCTGTTGTCGGGTTTAATTGTTGCACCTGCTGTTGTCGGGGTTAATTGTTGCACCTGCTGTTGTGGGGGTTAATTGTTGCACCTGCTGTTGTGGGGGTTAATTGTTGCACCCGCTGTTGTCAGGGTTAATTGTTGCAGCTGCTGTTGTGGGGGTTAATTGTTGCAGCTGCTGTTGTCGGGGTTAATTGTTGCACCTGCTGTTGTCGGGTTTAATTGTTGCACCCGCTGTTCTGTGGGTTAATTGTTGCACCGGCTGTTGTGGGGGTTAATTGTTGCACCTGCTGTTGTAGGGGTTAATTGTTGCACCTGCTGTTGTCGGGGTTAATTGTTGTTCTGCTGTTGTGGGGGTTAATTGTTGCACCTGCTGTTGTCGGGATGAATTGTTGCACCTGCTGTTGTGGGGGTTAATTGTTGCACCTGCTGTTGTCGGGGTTAATTGTTGCACCTGCTGTTGTCGGGGTTAATTGTTGCACCTGCTGTGTTGTGTGTCCAGGTGTATCCCTTGCAAGGGAGCCAGATATCCTCCCACCCTGCCACGCCCAGCTGTGTCAGTCATCCCCTTCAGGCTGCCGATGTGTGAGATGAACACAGAGAAAAGCCAGTACGAGGTAAGGTTAAAATCTTAAAGCAACAAATATCATCTTGTATATATTATCCTGGAAAATCCAGATCTTGGGGAATCTCCCCCATAATCAATCTTTGTGAGGGTGAAAAAAGAGTTGAGGCTGTATGCAGTGGTTTATGATGAAAGTCGTGATAAGGGGGCGAAATTTCCAGTGTTTTGACTAAGTGGTTGTTTGTTTGACAGGAAACTTTCCTAAGGACCTGCCTGTTTGCTTCGTCACTGAGGGTGCCAGGGGCAGACAACTCTGACCTGCAGGAGGCTCTGCGCCCAGCACAGGAGGCTCTCATCAAGCTGTTTGCCGTAAGTTCCTTCATCCTGGTACTGCAGCTGATGCAGCTGTCTCTTGCCAATGTCTCTTGTCCAACTTGCCAATGTCAACTTTCTGCAATACAATGTAATGATGTTTCTCATTGCAGCTGTTGGCCAGTTCAGGCCGGGAGGCATGAGGTCTCTGTTAGTGTTTGAGTTGATTCACATACATGTTTCACATTGCAGCTGTTGGCCAGTTCAGGCCGGGAGGCATGAGGTCTCTGTTAGTGTTTGAGTTGATTCACATACATGTTTCACATTGCAGCTGTCAGCCAGGTCCGACCGGGAAGCGCGGGCTCTCGAGGTGTGCGAGATGATGCAGGAGGAGCACACGATGCAGCTGGCCATCAAGTACGCCAGTCGCCTCAAACACATGCAGCTGGCCCAACGCATCAGTGAGCTGGCACAGAGACGAGCTGAAGAAGAAGACGAAGAGGAGGAGGTAGTTGAAGAAAGGTAGAGGAGAGCTGTGTATGAAGGCGATGTCACAGTATCTAGTTTCGTCCACAACCTGGGCCGTGTATCGAGGTGACGTGACAGCATCTAGTTTAAGGCACAACCTGGGCCGTGTATCGAGGTGACGTCACAGCATCTAGTTTAATGCACAACCTGGGCCGTGTATCGAGGTGACGTCACAGCATCTAGTTTAAGGCACAGCCTGGGCCGTGTATCGAGGTGACGTCACAGCATCTAGTTTAAGGCACAGCCTGGGCCGTGTATCGAGGTGACGTCACAGCATCTAGTTTAAGGCACAGCCTGGGCCGTGTATCGAGGTGACGTTACAGCATCTAGTTTAAGGCACAACCTGGGCCGTGTATCGAGGTTACGGCACAGCATCTAGTTTAATGCACAACCTGGGCCGTGTATCGAGGTGACGTTACAGCATCTAGTTTAAGGCACAACCTGGGCCGTGTATCGGGGTTACGGCACAGCATGTGCTGTGAGTCCAGGCTTGGGGGGCTCATTACTGAATTTATTCACTTGTTAGGTTGTTTGTTACTTCCTATACACCAGCAGGGCTTTGAGGGTAGTACTGGTCCCAAGTCACCTGTACACCAGTGGGGCTTTGAGGGCAGTACTGGTCCCCAGTCACCGTACACCAGTGGGGCTTCCAGGGTAGTACTGGTCCCCAGTTACCGTACACCAGCGGGGCTTCCAGGGTAGTACTGGTCCCCAGTCACCGTACACCAGCGGGGCTTCCAGGGTAGTACTGGTCCCCAGTCACCGTACACCAGCGGGGCTTCCAGGGTAGTACTGGTCCCAAGTCACCTGTACACCAGCGGGGCTTCCAGGGTAGTACTGGTCCCCAGTCACCGTACACCAGCGGGGCTTCCAGGGGAGTACTGGTCCCCAGTCACCGTACACCAGCGGGGCTTCCAGGGTAGTACTGGTCCCAAGTCACCTGTACACCAGCGGGGCTTCCAGGGTAGTACTGGTCCCCAGTCACCGTACACCAGCGGGGCTTCCAGGGTAGTACTGGTCCCCAGTCACCGTACACCAGCGGGGCTTCCAGGGTAGTACTGGTCCCCAGTCACCGTACACCAGCGGGGCTTCCAGGGGAGTACTGGTCCCCAGTCACCGTACACCAGCGGGGCTTCCAGGGGAGTACTGGTCCCCAGTCACCGTACACCAGCGGGGCTTCCAGGGGAGTACTGGTCCCCAGTCACCGTACACCAGCGGGGCTTCCGGGGTAGTACTGGTCCCCAGTCACCTATGCTTGTCGTACAAGACGGCTACATGGATGTGTGGTCAGATTGGTTGATGGCAGGTCATCTCAACGTGACTGCATGGATCTAAGATATCAAGCACTGGATTGACTGTTCCAGACTTCATTATTCACCGACTGACATTGTATAGCTGGAATATTGCTGATTGCGATGTCAAGGATCAAACAAGCCAAACTAACTACTGGCTCTGTTATGTAGTGAGGACATTGCCTGCTCTCGAAGGAACGGAAGTGTGGCGCAGCATGATGAGGAAAACATGGAAGAAGAAGACGAAGAGGCTGATGTTGAGGAGGAAGATGATACAGATCACAGTACTGGTTCGTACAGCCACACTTCAGTCCTGAATACACTCTGTTACGGTTATACCGATAGTATTAGAGGTGTTGGCTGATATACCAACAGTAGTTTTCTAAACATTACTGTCAGTGTATTATCCGATATATATATTGAGGAAGGAATGAGTGATACTAACTCACACCCTCTCTGGGCAACAGGTAGACATGTCAGATATTTCAGTATGAGAAGAGTATGGAGGTGTGTTGAGTTGTAGTGGGACGACAAACCGATGCATTGTTGGATCACAATTTTTCACTTCTCGATAGAAGTATTGCACACTAAGTAAAAAAATTTGATTCTTACCTTAAATGATTGGTTTTATAAACACTTAGTAGTGAAAATTAGTAGTGAAAACGTACATTTTTTTATCCGTTTGCACCATACTTGACACTGCTAACTGTAAATCGTGTGCCAGGAATTTGGCGAACCTGTGTATGAACACTGGGGCTTTCGCACCACAGATAAGAGCACGTGCAAGTATTGTTATACATATCGGTGTCTCACGTGGAACAATACTGGTCATTTCCAGGACCCAAACTGAACCTGCAGCCCCGAGAAGTTCAGGCCAAGACAGCCAGCAAGTCCGTTCTGGCTCGTTCTAACCCTTTCAAGGTACGTCCCCTTCCTCATCTCGATACATCACACTCTCATGAAGATATGTTGTCTTACCATGAAGATTCAGTGTTGAATATTGCACTGGCTGTATGACACTATGAGTGAGTATCGTGTGTTTCATGTAGGAGGTATGGTAATTGTTATGACCTCTGACACAATGTGGTTGCAGGTTTCCAGTCAGCGTTCTATTGGTCATCCCACCAAGGGGAGTCAAGTGTTTGACAAACTCTCCTCGAAGACCGACAAGTCGGACAAGCCGATTGTGCCTCTTCCTGTCACTATCCGAACCAGCAAGTCAGGCGGCAGCAAGAAGGTATGACACAACAACAGAACACTGGCACACCTCCCACCTAACACCACACACACAACACACACCTCACACCACACCACAACCTCACACCATACCACAACCTCACACCATACCACAACCTCACACCACACCACAACCTCACACCATACCACAACCTCACTCCACACCACAACCTCACTCCACACCACAACCTCACTCCACACCACTCATCTCCACACATACCTCACAAGCAACACAACACACACTACACAAGACACCTCACACACACACACACACACACACACACCTCACACACAAGTGATAAATGTCACCAATCTTCCTCCTTCGAGTCATCAGGTGACATCTACTTCTTACCTTCATCCGTGTTTCAGACGAAGACGATTTCCAACATGTTCAGCAAGAACAACAGTGCTGACAGCAATGCCTCCAGCCACGCTGCAGAACCCAAGGCAGACCCAGAAACCCAGAACAGCAAGCCGTACGTGCAGTCTGATACTTCCTCAACACTAATTACAGGCAGCAAGCCACACGTCTGTAGATCAGTGAGCTGTAAGGTCTGACCCTAAAAAAGCAGGATGTTGGTTTTATGGAATGTTTGTCAGACCCAATCCTTCAGGGGACACGTGGCCCATATATTGAGGCTGGAGACTCTTGTAGTGCCCAGTTGCAGTCCATGTTCTGTCATGGTTTGAATTCCAGACTGCCCACATTAGACCAGTCTTTGATCTGTCCGTGCTGTGTATATTCTTCACAAAGGTGGATCATCTCTGACATATGTCACTTGGGGCGTCAATCTCATTAAAATCAGATCTTAGTTCTCGCTACCGCTAAACAAAGATCTGAGGACATCCCATTACTGGTCTCGTCAGACCGACCTTGCGCGAACATTGACTGACCAATGGATTGACCAATCAGAAGGGAGCTTTTTTTGTGCTTTACGGCACCAATTTCAAATTGTCGACTACGCTTCGAAACATGTTTTGACAAATTCTCGATCAATTTTGAAACCTGAACAAAAGAACATTCTGGAATGGCTAATAGATGTTCTAGATTGTATGGATTCAGTCATTAAACCCGTAAGTATCGTTCTGAATACCCCGTGTTTTGCATTTCGAGGTAGAAATCACATTCCGACTTTCATGATCTGGTAAGCGACGCTCTGATTAGTCGGATGAAAGGTTGTTCTGACGCAACCCCTTATGGGATGTCTTCAGATCTTTGTTCAGCGGAAGTGAGAATTAAGGTCTGGTTTTAATGAGATTGCTCGGGGCGTTTTTGGCACATTAAGCTGCTGATTGTTGCTGCAGTCTCATCATTTGTTGTCTGCTGTCAGGTCGGTCAGTGGCTTCCAGTTATGGCTGGAGGAGAACCGTGAGGAACTGGAGGAGGAGAGACCGGACCTCAGTCACGAAGACTTGAGTCAGGTGGCAGCCGAGAGGTTCCGTGCTCTCCCTAAGGAAGAGAGACAGGTGTGTATACATAGAATAGACTAAGGGGTGACAGGTTTGTATACATAGTACATTGCTACACCATAGACAAGGGGAATGGTGGACAGGTGTGTATACGAAGACTAGTGGGGGGACTTGGGACATAGAGGAGAGGCAGGTATATACTTTACAGAAAGTCTAGTCTAGTTATTGTATGCCAGTAGATTAACACAGATGTTTGTTTCCTAGACCTGGTCACAGAAAGCCAAGTCAAAATCAGCTGCCACTACAAGTCCTGATGGCCGCAAGCGGAAGCGCGTGGAGGAAGACAGCAGTGAGAAGCCAAGCAAAAAGTCCACCGTGAGGCCTCCTCTGTCACAGTCAACCAACACAAAACTGAGTAGCTTCGCCTTCTCGAAAGACTGAGTGCAAAGCTTTCTATTGGCAAGTCAGTTTGAAGCTGGCCATGTGAAGCTTTCCTCCCTTCAGACACAGCTGTGGACAGTAGCTTCAGACACAGATCTAGACACAGCCACTGGAGCAGCAAGGAGTCCGGGCTTGTGATTCCCAACAGTCATGAACACGATGTATGGGGTGTATATAATATATAATGTATAAATTGTAACATACAACATGTGTTCTTTGTTTTTCCAGTTATATATTGGTTTTGGTTTATCCAGATTGGGGTGTATATTTACATTCTAGTTAGCTGTAGCAGGGCACCTGAAGGCATGTGGTACACTCACACAGTAAGGCCAGTATTGAACTTGGAATCAGCTGCCTAAACCAGTCTCGGTGGCCACAAGACGACGCAGGAACACACTACTTGCTGTGCCTGAACAGTGGCTCAAATCTAAACCCTCTGATATTTATGTTCCAAAGCAGGGAATAAAACTTAAAAGTTTCTGAAGAAGCCACTCTGTAAACCCTATTTTCTTTCATGAGCAGCATGTATTCATTCCTAGGTGCAGGGAGTATATCTCTTATATGGACTCCCTGACAAGAGAGTCACAATCTCTCACCCAGGCACATGGAGTCCATCTCATTTATTGACTCCCTGACAGGAGAGTCGTGATATCTCAACCAGGAGCAGGCGTAATATATCTCTTATATTGACTCCCTGACAGGAGAGTCCTGATCTCTCACCCGGGACAGACAAGAATGTCACTCATTAACTCACTCACCAGCATCTCACAGTATGAACTACATATGGCAATTGAAAGTCTATTGTATTTCTCCAGTCTATCTCTATCTCTAAGGTCTTCCTGGAGAGTGGATGTTCGGGGTTCGATCCCCAGCAGCATCATACCAAGAGACATGAAAAGTTGGTGCTTGTTGTTACCCTGCCTGGGGCTCAGCATTAAAGGACTAAAACAAGGACTGGGTATTCATGTTAAACTGCGGCATGGTATCTCCGTAGGTGGGCTGGCACTATAAAATCAGCATTAGTCTGGACTAGTGCAAGTTTTCAGCAATACTGAAGCTATATGATGTCGGTCTGTATATAATCGAGTATGGACCAGACTATCAAGTGATTGACAACATGAGCATCGATTTACGCCATTGGGATAAGATGACATGCACCAACCAAGTCAGGGAGCCTGACAACCTGATCCCTGTTATTTTCCTCTTATGACAAGCATGGGTTGGTTGCTGAAAATCAATTTTCTACCAAGATCTTCAGGGGTAATTGGTACAAGCAGACACACACACACACACACACACACACACACACATATGCACATCTATAGAAGTGCTATGATCTTGAAAGGGACCTTAAGCCCCATTCACCTCAACTCTCCTGCAGGAATAAGTTCAAATTTCGATGGCGCAGTCTACCGATACTAACTACCAGTTAGGACTTGCGTGTAAGAAAAAAACCCGCACGGCCTAAAATAGGGCGATAACGTAGGCCTCGTGGGAAGAGCGCTCGGAGACTACGTTTAACGTTGCAATGTTTAAACCCTTATTTTGTAGAAGTTGTTGAATATATGACACATGGTCACTGCTGGTGCTCGCATTTTCCCTCGTCAGGTACAAGCGTGCAGACCACCTCCGTGGTCTAGTGGATAGAGCGTCTGCCCGGAGAACGGAAGATCGGTGGTTCATTCCCAAGGCCGCGTCATACCAAAGAACCTTAAAAGATGGCACTTCCTGTCTGGTGCTCTGTATTAAGGGGATAAAACTGGGACTGGGCGGCTCGGAGTCAGTATACTGTTCCTAAGTGATGTTAAACTGCGGTTTAGTATCTTAGTGGGCTGGCACTATAACATCAGCATCAGTTCGGACTAGTACAGGCAGCACGCACGACTTGGCTGTACAATAAACCCTATTTCACCTCATGCAGCAAAGCTAGGTACAGTTCTTGGGATCATCGAATGATCGATCTATCGAGTAGTTATTATATGTAGTTGAGACAAGCCTGCTGTAGACAGCTACTCGGTGTGGTTGTGTAAGCCGGCTTGCTGGCCAGAATATGTGCCATCGTACCCTGTGTGGAGTATTGGTTCCTCTCCGGTCCAGGCGCTTGAATGTCCGTCGTGATAAAATTGCTGTCTTGGACTCGATTGACTGGTAGACTTTATAGCCGCTCACAATAGACCGCATCGACCCAGAGAGACATTTCAAACGAACGAGCAATCTTATATACCTAGGTGCCAAGGATGAAACCGAACCACGGTGAGGCTCGCAAAGCACCTTGAACTGAACACATGTTTGGGTGCTTTTAGATTATATTGTTTGAACCATTAGGTTGTTGTTGTTTTTTATTAAATGTAATCTTGAAACAATACGAGTGAGTGAGTGAGTGTAGTTTAACGCCGCTTTGGTCAGTATTCTGGACAGTTATATCACGGCGTGACAGCTTGATGTGGGAGGAACTCCTGAAGTAATGCAAGTCTTAGACGATTGCCACGAGACTCACGAGCACGGGTATGGTGCTGGCAAACCTAGAAACAATCGGTTCGAACCCACGGTCATGGGTTTCTGGTGTGCCCAAGGGACGCAACTCTGCACAGTCTAGATATCTATACCAGGGAGATTATGCAAAGATACCTGTCTGTACACAAGCCTAAAGGTTATGCCGACCTTGGACGCTGATGTGTGTATGTGACTGCAGTGGAGGAGGTGGTCAGTCCAGTGCGGTACTGAGCGGTATACAAAGCCAGCTGACGACTAGTCACTATATGCGAGTTAATGACGTTATTGCTGGGATCATCTACAATTAATCTTAGCTGAAATAAACCAAGTGATTTAATAGGTATCGAAAAAGTAGTTTTTAAACTCACAAACTAGTAAATGCCAAAGCCGGTCTACAGCCGATGGGCTGAGATATCTTAGAGGCGCCATGAATCTGAGAAACACAGAAACTTGTTATTGGTCAGCAACTAAAATATATAAAGGGGGTATATATTTTAGTTACTGACCAATAACGAGTCCCCGTGCTAAGAAACTTCTGGTTTGAACTACTAAATTATGGTTGTATGTACTTGATAGCTGTCATAGTATTGATGCTTCGTAAAATACTTGCTAACACACGCTACGATCTGTACAGTAGTTGAACAATAACACACGTAGAAAGTGAACTGTTCCGTGACTTCCCTTTCATGATCTCTAGTCAGTGTCACATTAACATCTAAAGATGAGAAAAATAATGTCTTTCTTTCGAAAATCTATGTAGTCAATAGAACGTTTGTGTATGGACCAGGTACACCGAGTCATCGCCAAAATACAACAGTAGGAAGCGCTTCTATACCAATACTGTTGTGAGTTCGGTATATGATGTCATTTTATGTTAGACATAAAGCGAGTTTTCTTTATTTTTCGTACTTTGACTTTTCCCAACAACTTTAACGCACTGAACAAAGCTTGGTTATTGCTGATAGTCTGGAGATATCAAAAGTCGGTTACCGCACTGACGAGATTTGATTTGGAAGCGACAGCCATTTTGGAGGAAGTAGTCTCAAAATATACCGTCACAGACACTGACGTATAGGAATAATCAAAATGTCAGAATCTTATGGTAAGTTTTTGGTCATTGTTCATGCAAGGAAGACGACTATTCCCACAGTGAAACATTTTTTTTGCACGAAGTGACTTATTCTTCAGCTGATGTACTGTGAACAGTGATGTGATCAGTTGTGAAGGATGATGAATGGGTCGGGTCGTTTATTTTCTTGACAGCTGAGAATCGAGAAATTGTTTACACATGAATCTCTATTAAAGATTGCACTTTCGCCTTGTGTGGATAACAGAAATAATGTTTTGGTTGGGTGTGTGACCTATAGCTGTGAAGGTCCATGGTAATATAAGGGTTCATATAAATCTCACTGGGCTGTGTCAGGTAAAAGATCCAGGTTGCCAGAACATGGCACACTAGTGTTTATTATATATGCAACCAGTAATAGATGTACTTAGTGCATCGTGTGATTTACATAATAAGCCAGATATTGAATGGGGTATATCATTCTCATTGAAAGAGAGCAATCTTTCTGAACTACGACTGCTTTTTATCTAGCTCATTATGAAATTATATTCATTGTGTTTGAAGATATGAAACCAGCAATTTCATAATAGCTATCTGGTTGGAACTGTTATGATTGATTGACTTGTTATTCCATGTTTTAAACATATCTTGATTATCAACAAGTGTTGAAATGTTTTATATCAAAAGACATGATTGTGAGATTCTGTTTATTCTCCAACTTTGTCAGTTTCTAAATAACAATAAACAGTGTCTTGATTGTACCAGCTTCGGTGGTAGATAGATTAGTGAAGTCATTTGATTGTGATGTCATGGTAACCGCGATGTGACAATGGTCTGCAAAGCACTGTGTTGTAATTTCATTGCAGGGATGTCTTCTAGGAAACAAGGAGATATTGCTTCATCTCACCCAAGCGATATCTCCTTAGGAAACCAGTTTTGGAGTTAAATTCCCAAGGGCACACGTAACATCTTTACCCCCCAATAGCCCAGGCTAGCAGTGTCCAGTTCATCCTGAGAAATTTGTTGTTATTTTAAGACTAGTCCAGAACAGTGTGTGAAATAGCCGCCTGCCCGCTAGCCAATGGCTAGCAACATTTCGGTTAGGCAATAGATTGTGAAATGTCCCTAGCCTGACTGGCTACTGAAATTTTAACAATGATATTTTATACACAGCTTTTAGTTGATCAAAATTTAAAAAAGTTCTCCCGTTTCTGTAGATCATAATAATCATAACAAATTGAGGTTTTGAGATTACCCCATTCTTAATATTTGACTCAAGTTTTGCAATTTTGGTTTATTTTATTGATGCCTTCAGATAATTTCTGGAAATATAAACTATCGCATATTTAAGCTTGTGAAATTTGAAACTGGTTAGTAACTTTTAAGACGGCAGTATTTTGAGACTGTTTCACATGCTGGTCCAGAGTACAAGTGTAAACCTTATTTCACTAGTCGTCAGTCTGTAGCAAGTCCTGCTTGAACCCGACAAAAATGTTTACTATGTTTGCATTTTATGTTAATTTTATTCAGTTCCAATTTGTAGCAAAATGAAACATTGAGAACTGGTTCAGAATTATATTCCGAATAAGGAAGATGTCCATCATTGGAGATTTTCTTGTCCCCAGCACAATGTATCAGTCCCTGGCTACTGGACTAGTGTGAAGTTTGAGGGCCGTGAGTGACATCCTTGGGTAGTGACGTTCTGGTCTTTGATTGCACCTGCACAGCACATGTGTTTTCAGAAACATGATATGTCATGAGACTGGAAGTGATCTCATTGGAATATAATTGTATATGTGTTTCATATTTGACATGTGACATTGACATGCTTATCAAAATTGGGATTGTGAATAATAACAGATGTCATATGCAGAGAAAAGTCCACAAGATACCCAACAGTGTTACGCTCTTATCATGACCCTGCTGCTAGTACCAGTTACCATGATGACAGGTGGGGTTCTGTGTAAATGAGGAGTAAATTAGGCTACTAACACTATATTACCTGTTCTACACTTACCTAGTGTATATTACCTGTTCTACACTTACCTAGTGTATATTACCTGTTCTACACGTACCTAGTGTATATTACCTGTTCTACACGTACCTAGTGTATATTACCTGTTCTACACTTACCTAGTGTATATTACCTGTTCTACACGTACCTAGTGTATATTACCTGTTCTACACTTACCTAGTGTATATTACCTGTTCTACACGTACCTAGTGTATATTACCTGTTCTACACGTACCTAGTGTATATTACCTGTTCTACACTTACCTAGTGTATATTACCTGTTCTACACTTACCTAGTGTATATTACCTGTTCTACACGTACCTAGTGTATATTACCTGTTCTACACTTACCTAGTGTATATTACCTGTTCTACACGTACCTAGTGTATATTACCTGTTCTACACGTACCTAGTGTATATTACCTGTTCTACATGTACCTAGTGTATATTACTTGTTCTACACTTACCTAGTGTATGTGACGTGTTCTACACTTACCTCGTGTGTGTTACATGTTCTATGTCATCGTTGCCACAATCCACTAACTTCTGCTTTCAGATTTCTTGTTCAAGTTCCTGGTGATCGGCAGTGCTGGGACTGGCAAGTCCTGCATCCTGCATCAGTTCATAGAGAACAAGTGTAAGTTCGGTTGCTCACGTCCAAGTCACCAAGATCAATATCCCAGGCCACTGGGGTATGATGTCATCAGTAGGCTGTGCATTGGCAAAATATTTTTATTGCAATATATTGCTATACATGTATATGGGTTTATGAGATATATTGGGAGCTAAAGTGTGTCACAGTAATTGACACTGATTGTACATGTAGATCATATTTTCTACATACCGAAGTAAATATGACTCAGACCCGGGAAGATCTGGGGTAGAATAGGTTTTCAGCAACCCATGTTTGCTGTAAAAGGCGACTGACTATACTTGTCGTAAGAGGCGACTCACGGAGTCAGGTGGTCAGGTGGTCAGGTGGTCAGGCTCACTGACTTGGTTAATGCATGTCATCATATCCCAATTGTGTGAATCGATGCTAATGATGTCAGTCACTGGATTGTCTGGTTCAGACTTGATTATTTACAGACCACTGTCATATAAGATGGAATATTGCTGAGTGCAGCGTTAAACAACTATAGTATTTATCACAAAAACAGCATGGTCAGTTGCCACCATTTTGTAGTCATGTACAGAGGGGAGATAACAAACTTGAGAGAAAAATCACTTTTGCATTTCCCCTGTTTTGTCAACATAAGTTTGATTTATGCAGGCCTTACCATCAAAACAGGAAGTTTTCATTTTCTTATGCAACACACAAAAACACTATGTCTGTGTTGTGCCAAGAAACTGAACAAATGGGGACAGGGACCCTTTCAGCATTAATACATGGGGTCATTTTCATACTGTACATAGGGCACTTGGAGAGACCCTACAAAACTTACAACCCTATATGCAGGTCAACGATGCAGAATCACCGTCCACAAGTAATGTTGGCGCTACATGCAATGTTTTGTATAGCATGTTTTGCAGATGTGCAGCAACAACATCCAAAGTCAAATATTTAGCCTCAATAGCTCGTTTGTGAACTCTGCTGTTAATATGTCTTATCAAAGTACTCATTCTAAAACTAGAATTTAGCTTTAACATTGAATTAGATTTCACATGATTACTACAAAGCTGACATGTTGTAATATTTCTTTCTGCATTATGCTACAACCACATGTAGTCACAAAGCCAGGTTCATTGAAATTTTCTACCTTTCTCAGTTTCTCTACCTTTCCTCAGTCTGTCACCATGGTCACTCTCAGATGAGCCATGCAAAAGATTCTGTGTATCGCTATCATAACTTCTGGACGGTGATTCTGCAACATCTTTGCCATTATCGGAACTAGGACTACAATATTTGAAAAAATGTGTAAGCTCTCTTCTGATTGGACCACTTGTGACTTCAGTTAAATAAAGGCGCTGTTGGTAAATTAAAACGTTTAACATGTTTAATGGAACAGAAATTGAGAACCTTTAGGATGATATACAGAATATTATCTGTTTCAGTGAAGTGTAGATATCCCATATTGAGAACCTTCAGGATAATATAATACAGAATATTATCTGTTTCAGAGAAGTGTAGATATCCCATATTGAGAACCTTCAGGATGATATACAGAATATGACCTGTTTCAGTGAAGTGTAGATCTAGATATTGAGAACCTTCAGGATAATATACAGAATATTATCTGTTTCAGTGAAGTGTAGATATCCCATATTGAGAACTTTCAGGATGATGTACAGAATATTACCCGTTTCAGTGAAGTGTAGATATCCCATATTGAGAACCTTCAGGATGATATACAGAATATAATCTGTTTCAGAGAAGTGTAGATATCCCATATTGAGAACTTTCAGGATGATATACAGAATATTACCCGTTTCAGTGAAGTGTAGATATCCCATATTGAGAACTTTCAGGATGATATACAGAATATTACCCGTTTCAGTGAAGTGTAGATATCCCATATTGAGAACTTTCAGGATGATATACAGAATATTACCCGTTTCAGTGAAGTGTAGATATCCCATATTGAGAACCTTCAGGATGATATACAGAATATTACCTGTTTCAGAGAAGTGAAGATCTCTATATTGAGAACCTTCAGGATAATATACAGAATATTATCTGGTTCAGTGAAGTGTAGATATCCCATTTTGAGAACTTTCAGGATAATATACAGAATATTATCTGGTTCAGTGAAGTGTAGATATCCCATATTGAGAACTTTCAGGATAATATACAGAATATTATCTGTTTCAGTGAAGTGTAGATATCCCATATTGAGAACCTTCAGGATGATATACAGAATATTACCTGTTTCAGTGAAGTGTAGATATCCCATATTGAGAACCTTCAGGATGATATACAGAATATTATCTTGTTCAGTGAAGAGTAGATATCCCATTTTGAGAACCTTCAGGATAATATACAGAATATTACCGGTTTCAGTGAAGTGTAGATATCCCATATTGAGAACTTTCAGGATGATATACAGAATATTACCCGTTTCAGTGAAGTGTAGATATCCCATATTGAGAACTTTCAGGATGATATACAGAATATTACCCGTTTCAGTGAAGTGTAGATATCCCATATTGAGAACTTTCAGGATGATATACAGAATATTACCCGTTTCAGTGAAGTGTAGATATCCCATATTGAGAACCTTCAGGATGATATACAGAATATTACCTGTTTCAGTGAAGTGTAGATCTAGATATTGAGAACCTTCAGGATAATATACAGAATATTACCTGTTTCAGTCAAGCAGGACTCGAACCACACGATTGGAGTTGAGTTTGGAAGCAAGGTGGTCAATGTTGGTGGAAAAGCAGTCAAGCTCCAGATCTGGGACACAGCTGGGCAGGAAAGATTTAGGTTGGTCAGTCTGCCTGTGTCAGTACTGGACCCGTGAAGATCTGGGTTAGAATTGATCTTCAGCAACCCATGTTCGTCAGAAGAGGCGACAAATGGGATCGGGTGGTCAGGCTCACTGATTTGGTTTTTTTATCCCAATTGTGTGGATCGATGCTCATGAAATCTATCACTGGATTGTCTGGTCCAGACTCGATTATTTACAGACCGCCGTCATAGAGCTGGAATATTGCTGAGTGCGGCGTGAAACAACAAACAAAAGAGAAAAGAAGGGTCAGGACTGTAGGAGGAAGTTGCCGCAATATCTAGTGGAGTCTGGTGGAGTCAGATACCACACTGTCTGGTGGAGTCAGATACCACACAGTCTGGTGGAGTCAGATACCACACTGTCTGGTGCAGTCAGATACCACACTGTCTGGTGCAGTCAGATACCACACTGTCTGGTGCAGTCAGATACCACACTGTCTGGTGGAGCCAGATACCACACTGTCTGGTGGAGTCAGATACCACACTGTCTGGTGGAGTCAGATACCACACTGTCTGGTGCAGTTAGATACCACACTGTCTGGTGCAGTCAGATACCACACTGTCTGGTGCAGTCAGATAACACACTGTCTGGTGCAGTCAGATACCACACTGTCTGGTGCAGTCAGATAACACACTGTCTGGTGCAGTCAGATACCACACTGTCTGGTGCAGTCAGATAACACACTGTCTGGTGGAGTCAGATACCACACTGTCTGGTGCAGTCAGATACCACACTGTCTGGTGCAGTCAGATACCACACTGTCTGGTGGAGTCAGATACCACACTGTCTGGTGCAGTCAGATACCACACTGTCTGGTGCAGTCAGATACCACACTGTCTGGTGGAGTCAGATACCACACTGTCTGGTGCAGTCAGATACCACACTGTCTGGTGGAGTCAGATACCACACTGTCTGACGGAGTCAGATACCACACTGTCTGGTGCACTCAGATACCACACTGTCTGGTGCAGTCAGATACCACACTGTCTGGTGCAGTCAGATACCACACTGTCTGGTGGAGTCAGATACCACACTGTCTGGTGCAATCAGATACCACACTGTTTGTTACTGCAATACCAGGTACTATGGTTTCAAAGTGCGACATATTTTGTTTTGCAGGTCAGTAACCCGCAGTTACTACCGAGGGGCTGCTGGTGCTCTGCTGGTGTATGACATAACCAGGTGAGTTTCCTTACGAAGAATACGTAACAGTCACTGTCACAAACATCCGGTAGCAGGTTCTCTGTCACACATAAGGAGATCACTTCCTTACATGTCAGACACAGAATGTGTTTGTTGAAGCAGTGAGATGTACAGTGATGTGTGCTTGTTGTAGCTGTCAGATGTACAGTGACATGTGTTTGTTGAAGGTGTGAGACGTTCAGTGATGTGTGTTTGTTGAAGCTGTGAGACATACAGTGACTTGTTGGTTGAAGCAGTGAGATGTACAGTGATGTGTGCTTGTTGTAGCTGTCAGATGTACAGTGACATGTGTTTGTTGAAGCTGTGAGACGTACAGTGATGTGTGTCTGTTGTAGCTGTGAGACATACAGTGACTTGTTGGTTGTAGCCTAAGACGTACAGTGATGTGTTGGTTGTAGCTGTGAGACGTACAGTGATGTGTTGGTTGTAGCCGTGAGACGTACAGTGATGTGTGTGTTGTAGCCGTGATACTACAGTGATGTGTGTTTGTTGTAGCCATGAGACGTACAGTGATGTGTGTTTATTGAAGCAGTGAGACATACAGTGACTTGTTGGTTGTAGCCGTGAGATGTACAGTGATGTGTTTGTTGTAGCTGTGAGACGTACAGTGTTGTGTTTGTTGTAGCCATGAGACATACAGTGATGTGTTGGTTGTAGCCGTGAGACATACAGTGTTGTGTTTTTTGTAGCCTAAGACGTACAGTGATGTGTTTGTTGTAGCTGTGAGACATACAGTGATGTGTTGGTTGTAGCCGTGAGACGTACAGTGATGTGTGTGTTGTAGCCGTGAGACATACAGTGATGTGTTGGTTGTAGCCGTGAGACATACAGTGTTGTGTTTTTTGTAGCCTAAGACGTACAGTGATGTGTTTGTTGTAGCTGTGAGACGTACAGTGATGTGTTGGTTGTAGCCTAAGACGTACAGTGATGTGTTTGTTGTAGCCGTGAGACATACAGTGATGTGTTGGTTGTAGCCGTGAGACATACAGTGTTGTGTTTTTTGTAGCCTAAGACGTACAGTGATCTGTTTGTTGTAGCTGTGAGACATACAGTGATGTGTTGGTTGTAGCCGTGAGACATACAGTGTTGTGTTTTTTGTAGCCTAAGACGTACAGTGATGTGTTTGTTGTAGCTGTGAGACTTACAGTGATGTGTTGGTTGTAGCCTTGAGACGTACAGTGATGTGTTTGTTGTAGCCTTGAGACGTACAGTGATGTGTTTGTTGTAGCTGTGAGACTTACAGTGATGTGTTGGTTGTAGCCTAAGACGTACAGTGATGTGTTGGTTGTAGCTGTGAGACGTACAGTGATGTGTTGGTTGTAGCCGTGAGACGTACAGTGATGTGTGTGTTGTATCCGTGAGACTACAGTGATGTGTGTTTGTTGTAGCCGTGAGACGTACAGTGATGTGTGTTTATTGAAGCAGTGAGACATACAGTGACTTGTTGGTTGTAGCCGTGAGATGTACAGTGATGTGTTTGTTGTAGCTGTGAGACGTACAGTGATGTGTTGGTTGTAGCCGTGAGACATACAGTGTTGTGTTTTTTGTAGCCTAAGACGTACAGTGATGTGTGTGTTGTAGCCGTGAGACATACAGTGACATGTGTTTGTTGTAGCCGTGAGACATACAGTGACATGTGTTTGTTGTTTGTTGTGTTTGTAAGACATACAGTGACATGTGTTTGTTGTAGCCGTGAGACATACAGTGACTTGTTGGTTGTAGCCGTGAGATGTACAGTGATGTGTTTGTTGTAGCTGTGAGAAGTACAGTGTTGTGTTTGTTGTACTCATGAGACATACAGTGATGTGTTGGTTGTAGCCGTGAGACATACAGTGTTGTGTTTTTTGTAGCCTAAGACGTACAGTGATGTGTTTGTTGTAGCTGTGAGACGTACAGTGATGTGTTGGTTGTAGCCGTGAGACGTACAGTGATGTGTGTGTTGTAGCCGTGAGACTACAGTGATGTGTTGGTTGTAGCCGTGAGACATACAGTGTTGTTTTTTTTGTAGCCTAAGACGTACAGTGATGTGTTTGTTGTAGCCGAGACATACAGTGATGTGTTGGTTGTAGCCGTGAGACATACAGTGATGTGTGTTGGTTGTAGCCTAAGACGTACAGTGATGTGTTGGTTGTAGCTGTGAGACGTACAGTGATGTGTTGGTTGTAGCCGTGAGACGTACAGTGATGTGTGTGTTGTATCCGTGAGACTACAGTGATGTGTGTTTGTTGTAGCTGTGAGACGTACAGTGATGTGTGTTTATTGAAGCAGTGAGACATACAGTGACTTGTTGGTTGTAGCCGTGAGATGTACAGTGATGTGTTTGTTGTAGCTGTGAGACGTACAGTGTTGTGTTTGTTGTAGCCATGAGACATACAGTGATGTGTTGGTTGTAGCCGTGAGACATACAGTGTTGTGTTTTTTGTAGCCTAAGACGTACAGTGATGTGTGTGTTGTAGCCGTGAGACATACAGTGACATGTGTTTGTTGTAGCCGTGAGACATACAGTGACATGTGTTTGTTGTTTGTTGTGTTTGTAAGACATACAGTGACATGTGTTTGTTGTAGCCGTGAGACATACAGTGACTTGTTGGTTGTAGCCGTGAGATGTACAGTGATGTGTTTGTTGTAGCTGTGAGAAGTACAGTGTTGTGTTTGTTGTACTCATGAGACATACAGTGATGTGTTGGTTGTAGCCGTGAGACATACAGTGTTGTGTTTTTTGTAGCCTAAGACGTACAGTGATGTGTTTGTTGTAGCTGTGAGACATACAGTGATGTGTTGGTTGTAGCCGTGAGACGTACAGTGATGTGTGTGTTGTAGCCGTGAGACTACAGTGATGTGTTGGTTGTAGCCGTGAGACATACAGTGTTGTTTTTTTTGTAGCCTAAGACGTACAGTGATGTGTTTGTTGTAGCCGAGACATACAGTGATGTGTTGGTTGTAGCCGTGAGACATACAGTGTTGTGTTTTTTGTAGCCTAAGACGTACAGTGATGTGTTTGTTGTAGCTGTGAGACGTACAGTGATGTGTTGGTTGTAGCCGTGAGATGTACAGTGATGTGTGTGTTGTAGCTGTGAGACTACAGTGATGTGTGTTTGTTGTAGCCGTGAGACATACAGTGATGTGTGTTTGTTGTAGCCGTGAGACATACAGTGACATGTGTTTGTTGTAGCTGAGACATACAGTGACATGTGTTTGTTGTAGCCGTGAGACATACAGTGACATGTGTTTGTTGTAGCTGTGAGACGTAGTGACGTTTGTTGTAGCTGTGAGACATACAGTGACATGTGTTTGTTGTTTGTTGTGTTTGTAAGACATACAGTGACGTGTTTGTTGTAGCCGTGAGACATACAGTGACATGTGTTTGTTGTAGCCGTGAGATGTACAGTGACATGTTTGTTGTAGCCGTGAGACGTACAGTGACATGTGTTTGTTGTAGCCGTGAGACGTACAACGCTCTGACCAACTGGCTGACTGATGCCCGCACCCTGGCCAGTCCCAACATCGTCATCATCCTGGTCGGCAACAAGAAGGACCTGGAGGCAGACCGTGAAGTCACATTCTTGGAAGCTAGCCGCTTTGCACAGGAGAATGGTGAGCAAATTTGGGGACTACTTTTTTCAAAATATGCTATTCAGCTTTAGATGGGGATGTTCCTATGATTTCATTTAACACAAAGCTGATTACTGATATGCCTCACAAAGCATGGTCAATTTACTCTATATTTATAAGATGTTTAGGGACTTGGGTCTGTATTTACTTCCTTAAAAATGCCCTTTTGTGTTGAGGGTGTCCGGTGATATTTGATCAAATAAAAGCATGATTGGTGTTGTTGGCCTCCATTACCTACAGGTGTATGATTGAATTACGTTTTTTTTTCAGAACTTATGTTTTTGGAAACGAGTGCTCTAACGGGAGAAAATGTGGAGGAGACTTTCCTGAAGTGTGCACGCTCTATCCTCACCAAGATAGAGTCAGGTAGGTCCACTCTCATGCAGCCAAATTAGATAGATTCATACTTGTCTTGGGTGCTTTAGGAATCTACCCACAAACCCAACCCTACCACCCACTTGTGTTGTACCCAGTGCCACGCCCTCTACCCTACTACCCCTCTGTGTTTTACTCAGTGCCCCACTCTTTCACCCACCTGTGTTGTACCCAGTGCCCCTACCCTACTTCCCACCTGTTGTGCCACGCCCCTACACTACTACCCCAGCTGTACCCAGTGTCAAGCCCCCTACCCTACTACCTGCCTGTGTTGTGCCCAGCGACATCCCCCCCTACCCTACTACCCGCCTGTGTTGTGCCCAGCGACACCCCCCCCCCCCCCCCCCCCCCCCCCCCCTACCCACCTGTGTTGTACCCAGTGACACGCCCCTACCCTACTACCTGCCTGTGTTGTACCCAGTGACACACCCCCTACCCTACTACCTGCCTGTGTTGTACCCAGTGACACGCCCCTACCCGCCTGTGTTGTACCCAGTGACACACACCCTACCACCTGCCTGTGTTGTACCCAGTGACCGGCCCCCTAATCTACTACCCACCTGTTGTACCTTCCTTCTGTGGAGACATCTGTACAAGCCTTATCTTCATCAGGGGAGCTGGATCCGGAGCGTATGGGATCTGGAATTCAATACGGGGACGCCTCCCTGCGGCGACTACACCGACAGCAACAAGCCACCAAACGACCTGACTGTGCCTGCTAGTCCCCCCTCACTACTACCTACTCCAACCCGAGGAAGCAGCCCCAAACGGGGAGTGGTACTTTGAGGTGATGTCAGCCGCCATACAAGCTCATTCCATCTGTCCTCAGACTGTGTGTGTGTGAGTAAGCGCAAGTGTGAATGTGTGGTTGTGCCAGCGTGAATGTGCCAGCGTGAATGTGTTTGTATGAATATGTCTGAATGGGGTGAAGTAGAACGCATGACAGTCTCCATGAAGGAATAGGTTGTTCTTGGCACAGTGGAAGAGAGTGTTGCTGTGCCCCAGTAGGTCCGACTCATGTTATTTTAAGCCTCCAAAGGCACACTCTTCTCGGCTGTTGCGGTGAAATGGGCCGCTGTTGTAACCACATTCCAGGAAAACAAGGCAGGAGGCAGGAAATGATGGCCTGGACTCATCTCTTGGAATCTCGTAAATGTCAATGTTTGTTATCTCATGAATGGCTGTGAATATTTGTACTCATGCAACTCTATCTCTAATGTATCTCAGTCTCTGATATGTCATCAGTGGACGGCTCGTAGCTGCCCCCAGTGGACGCTTGACCAGAGATCTATCACAAGGAACTACCACAATCCGTGGTCATCTCTTTTCTGACTGTCGTTATCAAAACCTTCTCAGTCACCAGCTGATCAGTTCAGTAGTGAAGGACAGCCTGAAATACTTATTTCACCCAAATATTTCATTGGCACATTTGTCTCTTGTACATTGTCATGGTTTTAATTGTTTGTTCTCAGAAGGGAAAATCATAACTTGTTGGTGAGCATGGTAGCCATGTCTGTGATCCATGGTTAACCGGATCCATAGCAGCTGTTAGGTAGTCATAGGGCTTAGGGGTTGACAGCAGGGTAGGGATGGGAGTTGGGGTTATAGGGTGGGGTTTAGAGGGTATAGGGCAGGGAGGTTATAGGATAGGATAGAGGTGGGGGTTAGAGGTTACAGGGTAGGGGTGGGGTGTAGATGTCAACACCACTGATAGAGTATAGGGAGTTAGAGTTAGATATTCATTTCTCAATACAGATTATGATTTAGGTGGCTGGTAAGGCTTCAGGAACAGGTAGACATAGAAAAAAGGTTACTTTGAGAAAAAACATATCAACTGGAGACTTGGTCTATGAAACAGGAAGGAAACATGGCTTGCAGAATGTGACAATTTAAAACTAGTATTTGACAAGCCCTTGTTTTCCCATTGTAAAAAGGTAATCTATTTATGCTGTGATCCATGCTGGTGTATGCGACTGTTGTAGAACAAAGAGTGAGTGTCTGCTTGTGACGACCCTCCCTGTCCTCAGTAGTGTACAGATATATACAGGACTATCCTACCGTTGAGCTTAAGTGATGTTGTTCAAGTGCTACTTATTATGTAAATACCCTGTACATTGTGTTGTGCTGCCTGCAATGTCCGCCAGCTTGTAGTGGGTGGATGCCAGACCCTTGCTGGGACAGGTTTGGAGAAATCAAGTGAAAATGAATTGCAGTTCAGTTGTTGAATCTGTTAAACTGTGTCAGTTGATGTTGGATATGTCGAGTACATGAGCTAGTGCCAGTTTCAACATGTATTACATTGTTACTTGTAGTCTAGTTGATAAAGACAATTTTGGAATTCTAAGACATGTCTAAGTTTCAAAGCTTTATCCAAAATATAGGCAAACTGGGGGCTAAATTAATTGTGTTATTTTGTTGTTGATGTAACCATGGTAACTGTCTATTACCAATGTTACCAGCTATTATTCTATTTCATAAGATTTATAAAAATTTGGCTCTCAATATGTTCACTTATACTTTGACTTTTTGTGATTTTAAAGGCTAGGGATAACCATGAATAAGAGTGACATCTCTGAATAAATCTCTCTTGTGGCTTGCCGGGAAGTGACACATCACCCTTGTTCAGTTGAGTTTAGGAACCTGATGGGATGCCATCTGTTGTTGTTAGAGATGTGTGTTCCTTATTGCCAGGTTCATTTGTGTGCAGACAGAATGTAGGTCTCAGTGGGTTCTGAATAATATAATACACCAAGGCTGAATAAGGTCTTTACAAACATTATTATGACCTTATACACTCTGAAAATGGCATATACGAACATGTTAGTAAACTGATTCTTTACAGACTTCCCCTCTAATACAGTTAGCTTTGATACATGCTTGAATTTTCGTGAAATAATTCCCCTTCGTGAATGGGTAGTGAACATTGCATGGTATTATTAAGCTTGCTACCAATTTGGCCACTGGGAGTCTTACGGATAATCGGACATGTTAGGAGCTATTACCTAGACATGCTAGAGCAGGATGTAACATGGTAGTGTCATGTTTTTGTAAAGTGATTATGAATTGAAATGTGCAATTAGTAGAAGGCTGAATCCTTGGTTCTGCCTGGGATTGTAAGCATGGTAACCCAGAAGAAGCTCAGGAGCAGCATATCGGGCTTCACCTCTGTCATGTTCCCATCGCATGCATTACCATGGAGTAGTGACTATATCCGCGACAGCCTCCACGCTGTTGAGACACAGATCTGGCACAATGGCAGTCTCCCGACATGGTAGAAAACAGAAGAGGCTGGGAAATATTTGAGTAACCCTCGTACAGGCTGTGCACTGTGTCCCAGTGCTAGCTTCTTTCATGTACACTCATCAGTAAGACAAATGTACAACTCTTGCTTGCTACATCTTGTACATAGACCTAGTGTACTGCAGTTTTGTATAGCATGTGAACATTTTGTATTGCATGTTGTCTCGATAAGACAACGGCATCTGTAAATACACTGGAATAAATTCAATATATAAATAAGTAAAGGTGTTAGTATTTGACCGACGAGTTATAGCTTCTACAATAACAGCACGGTTTGTTGTTCATTGTTGGTCTGAACAAACACTCCTGCCATGTGACCAATGTTTGGTTGTCGTTATGTCCACAAGTAGTAAGAAATGTTGGATTTATTCTTATTTAATATAAAAGTAACATTTTGCAAAAATTTGCAAGTGATATTATAAACATATACAAAATAACAGAAGAATTTAATAAAATATATGTACAAAAAATAGCTTTCAGAAAGAAATGCATAAGCCAGGCTACGGGACTGGTGAATCACAGTGTTGTGTAGGACATGTTAGCAAATGTTGTCTTAGCCCCCGTGTCACCATACTCACAAAGCCTGTTTTATCAGATAAGTTCATGCAGGGTCACCAGGCCCCCTTCAATCCATACCTGTGAAGTGTCTCCATAACTACACAGGGCCAAGATCTACAGCCATAGGCTCTATGTTCAAGGGAGACAATTCCCACAATGCACATGCCACTTGGTGAGTGCTGTACTCTGTGCGTATCATTGTGTACCTTTATCAACACAACACAAAAGATGTTTCCAATCTCCTGGTAGAACAGTCTATTGAATAATATGACTATCAATGTTGCTTGTGCCATTGACTAAGATATGTGTGATTACAAACTAGAGTCTTGAGCATCGGAACAGGAGAAAATACACGGCCTATTCTACCAGCATTGTGTGATCACGACACATAGACGACACGACACAGTTTCCTGTCATGGGCTCGGGCAGAGAGACTCCGACTGTACTCCCCAACACTGTAGGCAGGGTACTGCTGCCGGTACTCCGATGTCCACTCAATCTCATGCTTAGCTCTCTCGTTAGCAGCAGAATTCAAGAGTGCCTGCACGCGATCCTCCTTCATCTGTATAGCCGATGCCACTCTCTGTTGTGCTGCGGTCGCCCTCCTGGAGTGTGCTCTGAGGGCAGCAGGGTAAACCTGGAACAAAGTCATCATATCATCAACTACTGCTCAAGGATTAGTAGAGCTTCAGATAACTTTTTGAGCAATTGAGTTTTTACTTAAGGGTTTCTATTTTAATTGGGTTATTACATTTTTCATTGGGGAACCAATATTTTTTCACTCATCTATTAATCACTCTATTGGGTTTTCCCCCAAGTTAGTGAACATTTTAAGATTTCCAAAAAATGAAATAATGATTTCGATGTATATAACTGTTCTAAATATTTAGGTTTGACGCAGAATGTAAATTAGCTTGTAATTGTGTTTCGGAAATTAGCTCTGTTGTATGCATGTTGAAAAAAAATTATTTGGTATTTACGCATGCTGGTTTTTTATACATTTGAGTTTTTCATTTAATGCATGCGTTTCTGTACGCAAGTTAATTGAAAGTAACTGGGTTTTGAATATTTTGGGGGAGTATTTTACGCAAATATGCAGCTTATCTGAAGCTCTGGATTAGTGTTAAAAACATCCCAACTTCACTATGGTGTTACACTATTGTGTAAAGAGAACTTACATTTAACGAAAGTTGCTTGTTTGATGCTTCAATGAAGGTAAAAGAGGCTTACAAATGTGATCAGGTATCAAAACGGTCATGATACAATCAGCTGAGCTTAAAAAACAACTTCAGGAAAATGGGATAGCAACCCTGTCAACATTAACTGCCTGGTAACATTGATTTGCTCACATCTGCTGTTGCTCGAATGTTGAAGGTCTTATGTTGAGACAAGTTGCGCCCAGCACCTGCCCAGCCATAGGACAAGAATGGTGCTGGATGCTCAACTTCTGGTTGTGCTGCAGGTGTTCTTGATCTCAACCTCGATGAAGGGGAAGCTGCTGACCTCAGGCCAGTGGATGTAGTTGACCTCTTGGAGCTCTTTACTTGCGGTTGCTTCTTTCCCGACACGGGAGTGTGTAGTTTACTGACAGGGCAAGGAATCTTCTGTCTTCTGTCAGGTCGCCTCTGCTTCCTCATCCTTGAATCAGTACCTAAATAATAACAAAGTGTTTTGCTCTTAACATTTTAAGCACATTTTAAGACTGTTAGTCATCAACATATGACTGAAACCACCCATGTAAAGGCAGAATGCAACAAAGATTCTCTGGCTCCACAAAGTGATTCGAGCATATTCAAACAGGATGCAGTCCACTGTTGATCCAGACATAGCCCGAAGTCATGCCATATGCTTCGGGACAGAATGGTTATTGTCTACCCATCTTGCTGGGACCCATGGAAATACTGAGGAATGTTTGTAACTTATCAATTTAACTTGTAATTTTTGTACACAATATTTTTACAAGTAGTGCTACATAACCTCCCTACGGAAGCCTTTTAGGGCCATTTGTTTAAAAAAAATAATTTGATACTAAGTTGAAATTTCAAGATACTAAGTTGAAATTTCAAGATAATAAGTTAACATCCTAAGACATAAATGTATGTTTGAAGTGAATAATCTTGAAATATCAAGATCCTACAGAAGCCCCTAAAAGGTCATTTGGTTTTTTCCGATACTATCTTGAAATGTCAACTTAGTATCTTGAAATTTCAAGATAGTATCGAAAAACAAAACAAATGGCCCTAAAAGGCTTCTGTACCTCCCAATACACCCTCCATTTTTATGATTACATAAACAAATGGCGTCAATTTGCACGACATACATGCAGGTTAATTTAAAACAATAAGGCCTGCAACTATGTCTTGCCTATTATTTAACATACATAACCTAAAATATATCCTTTACCATTTACTCCATACAATGACTATATCTATCCATTCCGAGTTACCTAAAAGTCAAGTTACCAGTAAATTTAAATCTGCCGTTCAGCCATCCATATTGCATTGTGTCTAGGTTCAACATAATTAATATCAAATACCATTTACATCCACTGTCGGCGTCGTTGGTAGATGTTCTCTTTCTGCGGAAACAGGTGAGCTGCTTGCCTGCTCGTCATGGACCGCGAGGGATTCTGGGGGCTCATCATCATCATCACTACATTCCTCTCTCCCGGCTTCAAGTCTTTTCTTCATCCCACTTTTCAACTGTTGACTGTCACTGTTCATATCTGATCCACTGTCAGCCTCCCTGTCACTGTCAACGCTTTCATCATCGTTTTTATCCTCCGTGTACCAGGAGAGAGGTGTGTGGGCATACTCCCTATCTCGGCGAGCTGTACGAAAGGCCACATTCTCATAGTAGAGAGGCAGACTCTTCCTCAGTGCCGACACCTTGAAGTGCTTCTGATATTCCGATCTCATTCCCATGGTAACCACTTCTCTGCAAATACAGGACACAAATTATACAGAATAACAGCCAACTGTATCCGAACAGTGGTGTACACGTCTGAATGTTAGGCTAAATGCCTAGCCAACTTGCTTTTTATCCGAAATACACATCCTTTGTGAATCACAATATTTGTTTTATGATCTGGCTAATGTTATATCTAGCATTTTGCGTCCATGTTTTTGTGCTTTTATCACGGTTTGGAGGCGAGAATGTTTTTTTGAATTTTCAATAAGATGTTTTCATGACACGGCGAGGCCGGTTCAGACAAGTGTTGTTCCAAGCGCGAGCCGCTATACCTGCTCGATGCAAAGGACACTTTAACAAAATACGCAGTGCATACTAGCTTTGGAACATACGTCTGCAATGACCAGTGCACGCGTTTAGTGCTACGAACACATCAATGTCCACTAAAATAAAATTTACATACCGTGCACACTAAACAGACCAGCTTCAGTGTGAATATGGTTGTTTACAATTTACAGTTTGCTAGGCAGCAGCGCCCTCTTGTGTAAGGAGCAGATAACTCTCGTGGATCCTCGCGCGTACTTAAAATCACTTCTCAGAAGACGATATAGTTCACACATACCGAAAAGGAAGTATCTGTGGTAACAAAGAAAACGGTTGCTAGTTCCCGAAAAATTGAATTTTATAAACAAAATTATTTTTCTTAGAGTGAACTTGTAAAAAGATAACCTTGCTCACTTGTGTTTTCAATATATAGGCAGTGTAAGGGAACTAGGCTAATTAGTGCCGTGTTTGAAACTGATACATTGTCTATCTGTAATTAGGGTTTTATTATTTGGCTAAATTGATTTAGAGCGTACAAATAGGGTTTGCAGACGTTTAACGTATTGTTTGAATGCAGATTAGTCCCACCCTAAACGCTATTTAACCATCAATTCATTATTAATTAACTTATTTACAGTGAATCAGTAATTATACATTTTCTGAAATTGTAAAACCCCGAAATTTCGAAACAACTGATCGAAATAAAAATCATATACAATATTTATTTTAGATTTTGAACAGGTTTGGAAATATCACCGTGAAACTGCGTCGAAATACGGCATTGGTGGTGAGTGACACAGGCGTACATTCAGGGAAGGGTGCACTTCATCAATGACCGCGTTATAAAGCTGTGATAGAAAATACATTGTATAGATATACGTAGAGGCAGATAGACACTCCGTCCTTACAAATGTCGAGGTTGACTGTGATGTCAACAGATGGACCGTGACGTAGCGCCATTGTTGGGACTTGTTACTTACATATAAGAAACACGAACTTTTGAATAAGGTTAAATAAAAAACATTCATCAAAGGAACCCCAAGTCTCGTAATTTTGGACTATGGCTGAAAAGGGATAAATATAAGCTCCTAGGGCTGAAAAGGGATGAATATAAGCTCCTAGAGCTGAAAAGGGATGACTATGAGCTCATAGAGCTGAGCAGGGATGAATATAACCTCCTAGAGCTGAGAAGGGATGAATATAAGCACATAGAGCTGAGAAAGGGATGAATATAGGCTGCGACATCTGAGAAAGGGACGACCGCGGAATTGGGGTGAATCTTTTATAACATACATGCCCTAGGTTCTGTAAGAGAGACTATCACCGGATTCAGCTGTGCGACCAAACCTGTCCGCTCTGTTCCGGGCCCGTATGTAACTGTAATGGCATCGAACACACAATGCCCTTTAGAAAGTGGTCATATGTAACAAGTGTTATGTTTGGGATAACACTTTCTCAGTAATGTACAGATTCTTGTACTTTTTGGGGTTGAGTCCCGCCCGAACTAACCCACCCAGCCAGAGAGGCTTCCACAAAAATGAAAGTCCGACACCTGGTAGTCTAGATCACGTACTTTGTGTACCCCTCTGATAAGTGTAAAGTGGCACGGCTCTCATGGCCGAAAGCTATGAACACACAATACCATTTAGAAAGTGGTCAAATGTTATATTTGGGATAACACTTTCTCAGTAAACTACAGATTCTCGTTATTTTTTGCATCGCTCATCGGCATTTTGTTCATTGAGCTGGGACAGATACAATTTTAGATACATTTACATACACCTTGCAATGGTCTTTATAGTACAGACGAAATACAGGCAAACCAAAGTACACAACCAGGCAATATGAAGCCCCGGGAAGACATTAAAATCTCTTTAACATATAACTTCCTCAAACTAAATATCTACTGACGTTATGCATTTGCCGTCTCTTGGACTTACATCTGCGTCAAGACAAAAGTACATGCAAGTCCTATTCATCATCATCAGAGCTATTGTCGCGACACTTCCTGTGCGCATGCCCATGCCACTTTGTCGTCTGCAGAACTCGTTCAGACAGGGCTATAGAAACCTCGTTTTAATAACAGAGAATAGAGGGACTGGCTTACCTAAGTCGAACACTAGTCCCTATGCCGTCAGTACTGGCCGCTGACGTGTCAGCGTGCAGCTATTACAGCAACAAGCTCTCCTGCCGTGTTCACTGCTGAAAGCTTGATTGCCTCTGACGTCAAGTGATTGTTGACGTAATCGCTCTGTGATGTCAACAGTTTTGGGAATACAATAGGTCGTGACGTAGCTCCATTGTCGACGTCACCAGTTCTGCTGGGCGACCAAATCGGTCCGTTCTCAGCCGTTTCCCGACCCGTATATAACTCGAATGGCAATTCCCATCAGCGGTCTGGTCATTGAGCTTGGAAGAATACCATTTTAGATCATTTACATCCTGCCCTGCTTGCAATGTCTTTATAGTACAGAAGGCTATCAAAATACAGGCAAACCAAAGTACGCAACTCCAATCAAGCCTTACCAGCCAATATGAAGCCCCGTAGACACTGAAATCTCTTAACATTTAACTTCCTCAAACTAAATATCTACTGATATTAGGCATTTGCCGTCTCTTGGACGTATATCTGCGTCAAGACAAAAGTACATACAAGTCCTATTCATAATCAACAGAGCTATATGTCCTTTATATATTTATTTAAAACTTTATCTTTTTCAACACATATGTATAATGCTATCCGAACATACGAAATACATAAATAAATATGAATATATACTCTTCAAAAAAAAAGAAACTTGACATAGATATAAAACCATTTTTTGCCAAATATCTAAATTAATTACATTAAATGAGAACCAAATAAGTCAAACAGAAAGATGATGTGTCTATAATTCGCGAAAACACATGCAAAGCACATAAACGTAGCATTTGGGGATCAATTTTACAGCGTCATCCAAACGCAACCGCCTGTAAAAAACGTGCAGCACAGGATCCTGCATTTAGGCATGCAGGCCCCCCTGCTGAATGGGTATAAAAATCCACATCAACGGCTGTTCATACAGAATGCCAAGACTGAATGCAGCTCAACGGAACAACGCCATTGGGAGATTACAAGCTGGAGCAACTCAGCAAGAAGTGGCCAGGCACTTTGGCGTATCCAGACAGACAATCTCCGCACTGTGGACCCGATACAACAACACCAACAGAGTTGACGACAGACCAAGGTCAGGAAGACCAAGGGTGACAACCCAAGCACAAGATCGATAGATCCGGCTGCGACACCTCCGAGACCGCACTACCACAGCCACGTCTACAACCACACAGATCCCTGGGGTACGCAGAATATCAGATCAAACGGTACGCAACAGACTGAGGGAGGCTGGACTTTTTGCACGAAGACCTGTTCGATGTCATGTATTGACCCCACGTCATCTGGCGGACCGTCTGCTTTGGTACCAACAGAGGGTTAGATGGGCACGTGCAATGTACTGTTAACTGACGAGTCCCGTTTCCTACTCATACGTGCTGATGGGCGCGCACGTGTCTACAGACGTCGGGGTGAACGTTACGCCCCAAACTGTGTGCAGCAGGTTGTCCCATTTGGCGGCGGGAGTGTCATGGTATGGGCCGGAATTCATCACGGTGGTAGGACGCCTCTCGTGCATGTGGCAGGTGCATTGACAGGTGTGCGTTACAGAGACTTGATCCTACAGCCTTACGTTCTTCCTCATGTCAACGTTCATGGCGGACAGTTCCAGCAGGACAGCGCTCGACCGCATATTGCACGTGTTTGTCAGGACTTCTTACAGCACAACAACATCCCGCATATTGCACGTGTTTGTCAGGACTTCTTACAGCACAACAACATCCAGACATTACCTTGGCCAGCCCGGTCACCAGATTTGTCCCCGATTGAGCATCTGTGGGACGAGTTGGATCGACGCGTTCGCAGAAGGAATCCACCGCCCCAAACACTTCCGGCGCTTCTTGATGCACTTCAGCATGAATGGCAGCACATCCAACAGCGTGTTATTGACAACTTGATTGCATCTATGGGTCGTCGGTGTCAAGCGTTGATTGATGCACGTGGTGGGCACAACCGATACTGACATTTTCTGTACCCCTGTGACATTAACTGTATCGTGTACGTGTGTCTGTCTAGGTGACACGATTAATGTTTGGAACATTGTGTACATTGATCTTCAAACAGTGTTTCAATTATGGTTTCTGTGTCCTATTTTGAAACAATCGCATTATATTACATTTTGAAAGTCAGTGTCAAGTTTCTTTTTTTGAAGACTATATTTGTTAAAACATTCCAAACTGTAAATTGTTACACTAAACATGTTTGTCTTATTCGGCAGAATCATAAGAGGGAGCCACACCCTGGCCTCGACTGGTTTACCTACCCCAGAGCGCTTGTGCTTCTCGCCTGCTGGCGCTAGGGTGCGAAGGGCGTGGTACTAGTCTAGATCTATCCGATCTTTTTCCCTATACATCAGTTAAACGTTGACCTATTTACACGAAGCGGGTCTGTCTGTCGAGAGACTGGGGAACAGGCCTACAGCATTTCGCTGCGGTGAAACACTGACCCATTTCCGTGTAGCGGGTCTTTGGCCTGTCTCTCGAGAGACTGAGCGACCGGCCTACAGCATAAGGCTATGCGGGAAACGTTGACCCATTTCCGTGTAGCGAGATACTAGCACTTTTTGACAGTGTATCTTATTTACTTGAAAGGGCAGTAAATACAGCATTCGTTAGCATCGATGCTAGTGTCAAATATATCACTGAAGCCTTATGTATGGCTGCATCAGATATGATGAGAAAAGTTTGCATCGTCAGTGGCATGATAGTTGCTGTGAGTTATTAAGAGAAAGATGTAGATGTCATGATGACAGTGGTGATGACTTTGTTTCTGGATTTGAAGATGACAATATAACATATGATGATATCGAATTATCACGAGACATCCTTGAGACTCCGATTTCGAGTGATGAAAGCATTTCTCATCTTAAAAATGGTAAATCAGCTGGATATGACAAACATATTTCAGAGTGTTTTAACATTCTACAGATATCCTTGTACCATATCTAGAGTTGATTTTTAATATTATGCTGGAAACATCATATTATCCTGAAGACTGGGCGTTTGGTATAATTGTCACTCTCCATAAACAGGATTCAGTGAATACAAATAACTACCAAGGACATTAATGAGATGTTGTATTGTTCTATAAGTACCTAGGTGTATATTTTACAAATAGATTGTCATGGAAGATGCATGCTAACCAAGCTGCTGTACAAGCTAAGAATATCCCAATTGGAATTCTTCAACATATGAAAGTTCTTATCCTATAATACATTCTTTAAGATTTTCGATACAAAAATAAGCCCACTTTTGTTATATGGAACAGAGGTTTGGGGATTTGAAATGATTGATAAAGTACATTTATATGCATGCAAAAGATTCCTTGGTGTGAAACCTAGCACGTCTAATCTAATGGTCTATGGAGAATGTGGACGATACCCATTAACTATGTTTGCAAAGTTAAAGACGATAAAATACTGGATTAAATTAGTTAAAATGCCTGCAACAAGATATCCAAAGAAATGTTATAGCATGTTATTACTCTATGATCAACAAGGACACACTGACTGGGCATCTTCTGTTAAGCATCAACTTTATTCATGTGGTTATGTTAATATATGGACAGAACAGGGTACGTATATACCTGCATTTCATAGATGCTTGCACTCAGACCTGAAAGATATGTACATTCAAAATTGGCATTTTTCCTTATCAGTATCCAAGCAACTATCAAGTTCTTCCCTTTTTAAAAACAGCTTCTGTGGAGAGTCATACTTATTAGATGTGACACTAAAAACATTTCGAATTGCACTTGCAAGATCTTTATCGAGACGGGAAGATATATGGGGATCGTGAGAGAACACAGAAGTGAATTCCATTTCTAACTACTTTGTCCGTTGTATGCTGAATTCAGAAAACAGTTCATTGAATTTTTTTTTATCCGTTATCTAAGTCTACAGAAATTTGTTACATTAATGTCAAGTAAGAATGTTGTAATAACGAAAAAGCTGTCAATGTACATATTGCATGCTATGAGGCTAAGAAGCTCCAAATGTGTTACTTTATAAATATATATACACCCATTACTATATAACATGTACTATAGGCCTATGGCCTCTCAGCATTATGAATACACAGATATACGATATACGACAGTGTGAATAATTGACGTGTCAGGCTACAGGAGAAAAACATATTTACATTATCTAGGTAAATCTCCTAGAGAAGTATGAATGATGGTATTAAAAAGTGCAGTCACTGTGTTGCATGTCTCCACTGATCTACTTCATTAATAAGATAATATAACAATGTTGCTCTTACTTTGAAAGGATAGATAATATAAATATCAATAACTTTACCACTATAGATATATCATTGTCAGTATCACGTATACCAGTATAATTGTGTCAACTTAATAACCCTTGTTCCTTGAAAACCATATTAACAAATGTTTCAGGAAGTCATTGCTGTGAAAACATATTCCTAGTTTTGTTTTCATAGTATGTTTGTTTTCTACTTTTAGGTAGCTATGGTACAACATTTCTTTGCGCCGTGTTGATCAAAGGGATCTTGTATCTTTATATTATTTGACTGGCTGTGGGAACATTAACACTTGTCAGATGGTGACACAGCCTGATCCTGTAATCCCTTGCTACAAAATCCAATGTAGGCACAGTGAGGGTTAACCACCATACGTACAACCAGCATAGTTGTCTTCCAACAAAGTGACACAATAAACCACGTGGTGTGGAGAATCACATGACAAAGACAACGGTACATGACGAACGACGGGCACAGACTCGGGGCAGAGGAACACCTCACTTCTCCACAGATGATAAAGTGATCGTTTGAACCAATACATCTGCGGACACCTTTCAGAATTTTACGAACGCACCATTCACTATAACCGTGTCGTTGGCCCTACCGCCTCAATGTTGGGAGGATCTCATTACGGCTGTCGGACAACATGGCTGTGCGGAGCAAGATGAAAGTTCATGTTTTCCCCATTACTTCCACCACGTTTACGCCGGGTCCTTGTGAGACAAAGTGTCTTCTCCGTGCTACCCCGTCCTGGTTGCCAGGGTCGTGGCGCCGAGCCTGAAGTATGTGCCACACGCACCCCTCTCACAATAATCCCCACCACGCACCTGTCACGTGACGCAAGGCACACCGCCCGGATGTATGGTAGTAGGTCTGTACCTTGGCTGCCATGGCAGTAGGTCTGATAGTGTACCTTGGTTACCATAGCAAGAGGTCTGATAGTGTACATTTGTTACCATGGCAGTAGGTCTGATAGTGTACCTTGGTTTACTACTACCATGGCAGTAGGTCTGAGAATGTACCTTGGGTGCCATGGCAGTAGGTCTGATAATGTACCTTGGTTACCATGGCAGTAGGTCTGATAGTGTACCTTGGTTACCATGGCAGTAGGTCTGATAGTGTACCTTGGTTACCATGACAGTAGGTCTGATAATGAACCTTTGGTGCCATGGCAGTAGGTCTGATAATGTACCTTGCTTACCATGGCAGTAGGTCTGATAGTGTACCTTGGTTACCATGGCAGTAGGTCTGATAGTGTACCTTGGTTACCATGACAGTAGGTCTGATAATGAACCTTTGGTGCCATGGCAGTAGGTCTGATAGTGTACCTTGGTTACCATGACAGTAAGTCTGATAGTGTACCTTGGTTACCATGGCAGTAGGTCTGATAGTGTACCTTGGTTACCATGGCAGTAGGTCTGATAATGAACCTTTGGTGCCATGGCAGTAGGTCTGATAGTGTACCTTGGTTACCATGGCAGTAGGTCTGATAATGTACCTTGATTACCATAGCAGTAGGTCTGATAGTGTAACTTGGTTACCATAGCAGTAGGTCTGATAGTGTAACTTGGTTACCATGACAGTAAGTCTGATAGTGTACCTTGGTTACCATAGCAAGAGGTCTGATAATGAACCTTTGTTACCATGGCAGTAGGTCTGATAGTGTACCTTGATTACCATAGCAGTAGGTCTGATAGTGTAACTTGGTTACCATGACAGTAAGTCTGATAGTGTACCTTGGTTACCATAGCAAGAGGTCTGATAATGAACCTTTGTTACCATGGCAGTAGGTCTGATAGTGTACCTTGATTACCATAGCAGTAGGTCTGATAGTGTAACTTGGTTACCATGACAGTAAGTCTGATAGTGTACCTTGGTTACCATAGCAGTAGGTCTGATAGTGTAACTTGGTTACCATGGCAGTAGGTCTGATAATGTACCTTGGTCACCATGGAAGTAGATCTGATAATGTAACTTGGTTACCATGGCAGTAGGTCTGATAGTGTACCTTGGTTACCATGGCAGTAGGTCTGATAGTGTACCTTGGTTACCATGGCAGTAGGTCTGATAGTGTACCTAGGTTACCATGGCAGTAGGTCTGATAGTGTACCTTGGTTACCATGGCAGTAGGTCTGATAATGTACCTTGGTTACCATGGCAGTAGGTCTGATAATGTACCTTGGTAACCATGGCAGTAGGTCTGATAGTGTACCTTGGTTACCATGGAAGTAGATCTGATAGTGTAACTTGGTTACCATGGCAGTAGGTCTGATAATGTACCTTGGTAACCATGGCAGTAGGTCTGATAATGTACCTTGGTCACCATGGAAGTAGATCTGATAGTGTAACTTGGTTACCATGGCAGTAGGTCTGATAATGTACCTTGGTAACCATGGCAGTAGGTCTGATAGTGTACCTTGGTTACCATGGAAGTAGATCTGATAGTGTAACTTGGTTACCATGGCAGTAGGTCTGATAGTGTTCCTTTGTTACCATGGCAGTAGGTCTGATAATGTACCTTGGTTACCATGGCAGTAGGTCTGATAGTGTACCTTGGTTACCATAGCAAGAGGTCTGATAGTGTACATTTGTTACCATGGCAGTAGGTCTGATAGTGTACCTTGGTTTACTACTACCATGGCAGTAGGTCTGAGAATGTACCTTGGGTGCCATGGCAGGAGGTCTGATAATGTACCTTGGTTACCATGGCATTAGGTCTGATAATGTACCTTGCTTACCATGGCAGTAGGTCTGATAGTGTACCTTGGTTACCATGGCAGTAGGTCTGATAGTGTACCTTGGTTACCATGACAGTAGGTCTGATAATGAACCTTTGGTGCCATGGCAGTAGGTCTGATAATGTACCTTGCTTACCATGGCAGTAGGTCTGATAGTGTACCTTGGTTACCATGGCAGTAGGTCTGATAGTGTACCTTGGTTACCATGACAGTAGGTCTGATAATGAACCTTTGGTGCCATGGCAGTAGGTCTGATAGTGTACCTTGGTTACCATGACAGTAAGTCTGATAGTGTACCTTGGTTACCATGGCAGTAGGTCTGATAGTGTACCTTGGTTACCATGGCAGTAGGTCTGATAATGAACCTTTGGTGCCATGGCAGTAGGTCTGATAGTGTACCTTGGTTACCATGGCAGTAGGTCTGATAATGTACCTTGATTACCATAGCAGTAGGTCTGATAGTGTAACTTGGTTACCATAGCAGTAGGTCTGATAGTGTAACTTGGTTACCATGACAGTAAGTCTGATAGTGTACCTTGGTTACCATAGCAAGAGGTCTGATAATGAACCTTTGTTACCATGGCAGTAGGTCTGATAGTGTACCTTGATTACCATAGCAGTAGGTCTGATAGTGTAACTTGGTTACCATGACAGTAAGTCTGATAGTGTACCTTGGTTACCATAGCAAGAGGTCTGATAATGAACCTTTGTTACCATGGCAGTAGGTCTGATAGTGTACCTTGATTACCATAGCAGTAGGTCTGATAGTGTAACTTGGTTACCATGACAGTAAGTCTGATAGTGTACCTTGGTTACCATAGCAGTAGGTCTGATAGTGTAACTTGGTTACCATGGCAGTAGGTCTGATAATGTACCTTGGTCACCATGGAAGTAGATCTGATAATGTAACTTGGTTACCATGGCAGTAGGTCTGATAGTGTACCTTGGTTACCATGGCAGTAGGTCTGATAGTGTACCTTGGTTACCATGGCAGTAGGTCTGATAGTGTACCTAGGTTACCATGGCAGTAGGTCTGATAGTGTACCTTGGTTACCATGGCAGTAGGTCTGATAATGTACCTTGGTAACCAGGACTGTGTGGTATACATACAAGCATACATGACAATATCACCCCTCACATACAAGCACACATGACGATGTCACCCCTCAAATACTTGTATGTGAGGGATGACATCGTCATGTATGCTTGTATGTGAGGGATGACATCGTCATGTATGCTTGTATGTGAGGGGTGACTTCGTCATGTATGCTTCTGTGTGAGGGGTGACTTCGTCATGTATGCTTCTGTGTGAGGGGTGACTTCGTCATGTATGCTTCTGTGTGAGGGGTGACTTCGTCATGTATGCTTCTGTGTGAGGGGTGATATACATGACGATGTCTCCCGTCACATACAAGCATACATTACGATGTCACCCCCAAATACATGCATACATGACGATGTCATCCCTCAGATACAAGCATACCTGACGATGTCATCCCTCACATACAAGCTTACATGACGATGTCTCCCCTCAAATACAAGCATACATGACCCCTACAAGCACCGTCAGTCCGCAGGGGGCGGGAGTCGGGGCGGGGATTGGTCACTCTCTGGATCTGGGTGCACCCCCTCAATCTAAATCTTGCCCCCTCCACCGTCAGTCCGCAGGGGACGGGAGTCGAGAGTCGGGGCTGGGAATGTTCGGTGCCTGGATCTGGTTGCATGACACAACCTAATCCCGTCAAATGAGCTCTCACAAGTCAATGTTGAGAGAGCCGGGCACGGCCACAACGCTTATGCCAACACAAAGCCTTTAAAGGTGTCATTCATGGGAGCTTCTGGTGCATTATAAGTAGACAACGAACGTAACCCCGCTAAGCGGCTCGGGCAAGTGGTGAAAGGGCTTATTGCAACATTACACCAAAGCATTATTATCGGAGTCTTAGGAAGGACTCTCCAAGAAGTGGTCTCAGTGATCATCGTCAGCGTGGACGGCAAATAGAAATAAGCGAGCCTCCAGCCAGGTCCAGTCCGGGTGGTAAAAAGGATGGCCATGTATACAGGCAACTGCACGTGGAAGGGGTCACATCCAGAAACAAGCTGTAGTATGTTTGTACACGGACATTGCTGAACTGTATGTTCTTTCAGAGTGGATTACTGTTGTGGTTAACACGACCCTGTTGCACTGAGCGTCATCTAGCCTCGCGGTGTCCTTACTTAGACAAGACAGTTCCTCTGTCGGGCCTCCTGGAACCAATGTCAACACAAGAATGGCAACGTTCACTGTGACGTAATTCTCCGCCGTTGTGAACTGCGTACAGTGATCCGGTCATACCACAGTAAGTATTCATATATATGTCCGACTTCACTGACTTCACTGACTTCACTGACTGGCCGCCCGTCGAGGCTCTGTGCTGCTGGATGATCCCTGGAGTGAGCTAAGTTTTCCCCAGCCATCTACACCTACACCACCACGTTCTCCCCACGCAGACCACACGCGTGTTAAACCATGGAGAGTCCTCCGGGACGACTCAAAGATATATATCACTGATATATGTATTATATATTATATATATTATAGTCAATGTGTAAAATGTGATTCACTTAGGCAATTTATCAAATTCCTAAATATGTCATTTAACAATTTGACAGAAATATATGTCCTTTTATTTGACAGATTGACTAAAACTTATTAAGAAATTCAAAAGGGCTTCAAACGCCACAAAAGTCTAATTTTCCGAGAATTAGAAGCTAAAAATATATAAAAATATACATTGACTTTCGTTTTAATTTAATCCTATCATTTCCAGGTGATGAAAATTTACACCAACACATGCGTGCGTGCGTGCGTGCTCGCGTTATAACACGAAGCGTGGGAAACATCCCCGGGAACGTGGGCTAGCAGATTGCATTAGCATGGAGTACATTTCAAGTATATACAGTTCAATACAATTTTCACCTGAATGACGGTGACAAGGTGTCTCTGTGTTAGACTATTCAATCCATTACACGATGAGCACAAATATACACTGGTCATTCAGATCTGCACAAAGTGCATAAACATGAACTGAAGGCAGCATGTGGTATCGGAGACACTCTCAGTGTGGGTAGATATAAAGTGTTGTCAGGACTGACAGAGAGACAATCAGGCTGGTAGAAGGCAGTGTTATGGCTGGTGTATATAGAAGCCACTGTTACACTGCCATATAGAATGAATACATGACACTTTTTAATGGATAATAACTTGTGTATTCTTTGTGACGACGTTTCGAGGCGATTTCTTTCCCCTTTAGAAGAACCAGCCCTAGAACGTCGTCACACAGAATACACAAGTACTTACCGATAAGAAAGTGTCGTGTATTCATGTTCTTCACACTTTGTATATACAATGTATACAAGGCAGTGTTACAGCTGGTATATATACAATGTATACAAGGCAGTGTTACAGCTGGTATATATACAATGTATACAAGTCACTGTTACAGCTGGTGTATATACAATGTATACAAGTCACTGTTACAGCTGGTGTATATACAATGTATACAAGGCAGTGTTACAGCTGGTATATATACAATGTATACAAGTCACTGTTACAGCTGGTGTATATACAATGTATACAAGGCAGTGTTACAGCTGGTATATATACAATGTATACAAGGCACTGTTACAGCTGGTGTATATACAATGTATACAAGTCACTGTTATAGCTGGTATATATACAATGTATACAAGGCATTGTTACAGCTGGTATATATACAATGTATACAAGGCATTGTTACAGTCAGTATATATACAATGTATACAAGGCATTGTTACAGCCAGTATATATACAATGTATACAAGTCATTGTTACAGCTATTATATATACAATGTATACAAGTCTCTGTTACAGCTGGTATATATACAATGTATACAAGGCATTGTTACAGCCAGTATATATACAATGTATACAAGGCATTGTTACAGCCAGTATATATACAATGTATACAAGGCACTGTTACAGCTAGTATATATACAATGTATACAAGTCATTGTTACAGCTAGTATATATACAATGTATACAAGTCATTGTTACAGCTATTATATATACAATGTATACAAGTCGTTGTTTCAGCTGGTGTATATACAATGTATACAAGCCACTGTTACAGCTGGTATATATACAATATATACAAGTTAGTGTTTCAGCTGGTATATATACAATGTATACAGTTCATTGTTACAGCCAGTATATATACAATGTATACAGTTCATTGTTACAGCCAGTATATATACAATGCAAACAGTTCATTGTTACAGCCAGTATATATACAATGTATACAAGGCACTGTTACAGCTAGTATATATACAATGTATACAAGGCGTTGTTACAGCTAGTATATATACAATGTATACAAGTCATTGTTACAGCTAGTATATATACACTGTATACAAGTCACTGTTACAGCTAGTATATATACACTGTATACAAGTCACTGTTACAGTCGGTGTTTATACAAGTCGATGTTTCAGCGATCTGTCGTCAGGCTAGCCTCCATTAGAACTGTGACCACACCAAGATTCCTGTGTTTGTCGTGGTGCGTTTAGAAACGTATTGCTTTGATCATGTCAATCTGGTGTTTTACTTGCCGTCATCGTACAGCGTGATTCTTACGATACACTGTCCCTTGGGTTTCTATCTACCAAATGTCACGAATGAATCATGTTGGTACGTTGCTGTAAGTGAACGCTAAGTGAGTGTGTGGTACAGGCGGGGCCTACAAATCATGTAAATTAAATATCTGTTTATAAATGTGAGCACTCTCTCTGCTGTCGCCCCTCGACCAGCCACTTGTCAACACTGTCACCGACAGTCAATCAACTGCTCCGAGACAGTGCAGCCTTCACGCGCGTTTCACCTAGCACCCACTAATGGCGACTAATTCCTCTGCCCCACTGTGCGTGCTGTTAATTAGTACCTCAAATCCTTGAAAAGACGCCCAGGTGCTCTATTTATTTCAGAGATGTCTTACATCCGGCGCCTCTTTCTAAGTTACGTAAACACTTTAATTCACTTGAAGATGGAGCGTGTATCATGAATAAGACGTGTGTGGTTTGCATCTTCTATGATAGCAGTTTTCGTTTCAATATTACTTTATTAGATAACGTTCAGGCATAATTTCGTTGATTTTAACACGGCGTATATTCAAGACAGGCGTGTATTCCATCAGACCCGGGGTGTATTCAAGGCAGGCGTGTATTCTATCAGACCCGGGGTGTATTCAAGGCAGGCGTGTATTAAAGGCAGGCGTGTATTCTAACATACCCGGGGTGTATTCAAGGCAGGCGTGTATTCTAACAGACCCGGGGTGTATTCAAGGCAGACGTGTATTCTATCAGACCCGGCGTGTATTCAAGGCAGGCGTGCATTCTATCAGACCCGGGTTGTATTCAAGACAGGCGGGTATTCTATCAGACCCGGGGTTTATTCAAGATAGGCGGGTATTCTATCAGACCCGGGGTGTATTCAAGACAGGCGGGTATTCAGGGATCTACGGTACTTCTGCACCTTGCTCTGGCCGTCTGTGTAGATGCAATCTCTCCCTGGCCCACTCCACCGTAGTGTAGATGCTATCTGTGGGAAACGTCAATGTGTTGTTGATGTCGATGGTCGCGGTGCAGTTGTGAAGGCTTGCAGTGGCTGTGACCCGTTACACTGCCGACACCTGATGGCTAATGCCTCCATTACGAGGTATTGTACGTTTCATGGTCTCTCTGGTACTCTATTGTCTGCAATGTTTGTATGTGTCCATTCGTTCAAATAGCATCTTCATACAGAAGTATGCTTGAGAGTCTCAACAGTTGATGGTTGAACATGTCTTGAATCCTATCATATATTTTCAATCGAAGGGAAAGCCAATTTGCATCATTTTCAGATGAAATTTGATTTTAAGTGTATTTAATAAAGGTGAAGTTTTCTGCCCCTCATATATGGGGAAAAGGGAAGTATTGAAAGTTGTTATGATAAGCCTGGAGAATTACATCAATAGAATTGGCTTCTTTCTTTTTCATTTTCCGACAAATAAATATTGCACATAATCTGAACAAACTCAAAGAAATTGTTTAACGCCGAAGTCAACAATATTCCAACTATATTAGGGTGTCCTGTATTTAAATCGGGACAAACCAGTGATCGATATTATGAGCAACATCTCACAAGGTCGGGGTATGTTAACACACTATCAACCAAGTCACCTGCGGCTTACAACCAGCATATGCAGATGAAAACATATTCTAATCCACAGGGATATCCTTCGTGTCAGATATAATACACTCACCTTTAATCATAATTGTGTCACCAATAATAGAGTCAGCGCTTTCTGTTGCCACAAATATATGCCTACTGCTAGCCTGTCTCACAGTCCCTGAACCATATTATTTTCCCTTCCGCCCAGCCCTTTCCGTACTACAAAAGCCCTAAATAAAGCAAGTCTAGATTTTCCACAGGTTCAGGTTCTGAATCTTCCACTCACTGGGGTTATTTTTCAATTTAAATGAAGTTGTTAGTTAAAATCTTTTTTTTTTAAAATCAGAGACTAAGTGTCAGTGTTGCCTACTGCTCCTGTAGACAAATACCAGTCTCCATTAACTCACATGTAGTGTTGTATTTATTCCAGGTGATGGCGGTTGACATGAGCATGACAGAGCGCCTGATGCGCCAGAAGAACGCGACTCTCCAGAGGCAACTGGAGGTGACGCTCCGAATCCTGGACAAGGAGGACCGGATCTCCCAGCAGCAGCATGTGAAGGTATTCCAGGAGTACAGCCACTTCCTGCGGGATCTCTCAGTCAGATGCACCGGGCTCGACACCTACTCCCAGCCCGACACGCGTGCCATGAGGAAAAACTCAGCCTTGAAGGACAGACGTCTTTCTGTGATTCCAATTGAGGACGGAACACAGGGCCAGAACCAAACACCAGCCAGTCCGCGAATACCGAGGCCGTCCACTGTGGTAGTTCCTGTGGAGGTCAAGAGAGCCAGTTCAGCACGACGTCACCTCAGTCCGGAGAGACAGGAGCCGAGGTTCACAACATGTATGGAAGTTTTAGATGATATAATCCAAAACCATTCTTTGAGAAAAAAGCCAAATAGACAGAGGAAAATCGGTCTAATAATGCCAGCCTATGTGGCTGGGGAGGGCAAACCTGTGCCATACACCCCAAGACACAATGAGGAACACATAACTGCGGGTAAATACCACCCTGTCCATATCCGCCCCACCAGCAGCTACATCGCACAAGGGGGGAGGGGCAACACGGACATCAAGTCACGCCCACACACTGCGCAGCCTCAGCGGTCAGCTGGGAGACAGACCTCCCAGATGGCCTCTATTCCCATCACTGAAGAGACCTGGAGGTCGAACCCTGCCAACCAGAGACCCCGAAGACCCAAGTCAGCACCGTCTAAGTACGAGATGTCTGGGCGATCTCCAGCCGTGCCTCGTCAACAGGTGGCCGGCATCATGGCAGAGATGAAGAGCAGGAGTGCAGCTACCAGGGCCATGCTTAGTCGCAGCAAGAAGCTGAACAACTACATTGCCAGCCTGGCCTGGCCAAGTGCATAACGATACCCAGTGTGGCATAGCTGGCCAAACATTTAACGATACCCAGGATGATCTATTCTGGACTAAATAAATGTTACCAAGGTTGGACGTTGGAAATCGTCTGCTGTCTGTCGTTCACTGTAAACAAGTGACACAGGTGCTCTTCGGATTGTGAGAATGAACAGGTATATGTGAGCAGAAGATCCACTGTTCCTAGGGGAGTGGAGCTAGCTTGTGCTTCATAGTGGCTGCTCCGGGAATACAAACACCAGAGCCAGGTCTAATGTCGGTGTCATTGCTAGACCACCCCAGTTGTTGTAGATGTGTTCAGGGCTGTCGGGGAACCACCCATGGAGAGATGTGTCCGGTATATCCATATGATGTTTCACTGTCTTGTCCTACCTGTATATAGTGATTTTCACAATGACTGATTGTACCAGTGGACACCAGAGACAGCAACCCACCCCTGTGTTTTGATATTTTATTAATTTGCACTGATTACAGACAACATACAACAGACAACAGACAAATATTTTCTTGTGTGATTTTTTTTCAGTTGTCATCAAATGACCAGTGCCCATGTTACTGTTTGGGGCGTCCAACATGAGACTGCCTGGTTTCTTGTAGATGTTAAACTGTTAGTTGGTCCAGTGTGCCTTTGTCCAAGGGTCGAAGGCCTGAACGACAATAAATTTGTATTACTTGTCACTGATTTATTGTAACAGCAGACCTACTGATAACATCAGACCCTGCGTACTAGTATCTAGGCTGAGGTCAACCCAGGAAATGACATTTTGGACACACATGCACCGTCAGTGCTGAAAATCATGGGTAGACATGGAACTTATCGGGTTACACTTCTCCATGTTGCCTCTACACAGGCAGGTCAGACATAAATGAGACACAGGCAACAAATGCAACAACCAACACTTGTGAATATTATAGCATCAACATGGTTCTGTGCCAAGTCATCTTCACACACCAGGGGGCACGGGTGGCCCAGTCATCTAAGGCACCACAATTCGTTGTGCAGAGTTGCGTCCCTTGGGCACGCCAGAAACCCATGATTGTGGGTTCGAATCCCGGTTTGCCCCGATTATGTTTCTAGGTTTGTCAGCACCATACTTGTGCTCGCAGGTTTCACCGAAGTGGTAAACATCTGAGACCTGCATTGCTTCGGGCTTTCCTCCCACATTAAGCTGACAGGCCGTGATATAACTGGAATACATTTAAAAGCTGCGTTAAACCCAAATCACTCACTCACTCACTCACTCCCTCAATTCACACACCAGCTCTATGTTCCTGCTTGTTTTAGTTTAGGAACTGTGTACTGACATTGTAAACAGCTCGCGGGACATAGCAACACTATGATTACAATAGGTGATCTAGTGGACAACAAAGCCCAAAGTTCCCATATGTTTTTTACAATCAAAATTCTCAGGAAAATAATATTACAAAGTTAGTGTAATTGCAAGATCTCCATGTTAAATGACCAGTAAATCCTGCTTATAGTTCATCCTTGAACAATACAGGAACAACAGGAAGGCAAGTAATCTCGGAGATGTTTGACAATTTGGATGAATAATTCTGCTTATCAAATGGCAGCGTAAAGACAAACAACTTTGTCCTGATTGGTGATCGTCTGAAGTTTAACACTAACAGGCATCTACCAGTACTGGCAATGTCACACAACTCTTTAACCTTGGATGCCATTACACGCAGCGTAGAGCTGAATTTGGCAACATGATGAAGGGTGTGGTTGGTGGGCCACCATCAAAGAGAACTCTTCATGTGACTGGTTCCCTTTTGGTCCGGACCTTGACCTTGACCTTGACCCAGATGTAAATGCAGGAAGTCCAGTGTTTTGTGCCAGGCATCCTCTTGAGCATGTGCATGAGGCCTGGGAGACCCTCCCCACACCAAGTTTATTCCTGGAACCAGCAACATGAGGAATAGAGCACGATGTACACAGAACACAAGCTGTTCAGCTTTTGTCTTGTTTGGGTTTCTACACTGCACTCAGCAATATTCCAGCTGTATGACAGTAGACTGTAAATAATCCATTCTCGACAAGACAATCCAGGGATTGATAATATGGACAGCTCACACAATCAAACAATTCTGACCACTGAAGCCATTAGGTCGCATCTTAGACCCAGTATAGGGTGCTAGGCATCAGTGGTAGCCGGGTTTAACAGCAAGGACAGTTTGTTTGTTATTTAACACTGCTCTCAGTAATATCCCAGCTATGCGACAGTGGTCTGTAAATAATCAAATCTGGACAATCTAGTGATTGACATCATGAGCATCAATCCATGCAATTGGGATACGATGACATGGATCAACCAAGTCAGCAAGACTGACCACCGATCCCGCTAGTCGCCTCTTACGAGAAGCATAGTCGCCTCTTACGACAAGCATGGGTTGCTGAAGACCTATTCTGACACAGATCTTCACAGCATACACTGGCAGAAGGTAGTGGCTAACAATACAAGTGTTGTGCATTTTCTATATCAGGGTGGATTACAATACAGGTGTTGTACAGTGACTATATCAGGGTGGATTACAATACTGGTGTAATGCAGTGAATATATCAGGGTGGAATATAATACAGGTGTTGTGCAGTGACTATATCAGGGTGGATTACAATACAGGTGTTGTACAGTGACTATATCAGGGTGGATTACAATACTGGTGTAATGCAGTGACTATATCAGGGTGGAATATAATACAAGTGTTGTGCAGTGACTATATCAGGGTGGATTACAATACAGGTGTTGTGCAGTGACTATATCAGGGTGGATTACAATATAGGTGTTGTGCAGTGACTATATCAGGGTGGATTACAATACAGGTGTTGTGCAGTGACTATATCAGGGTGGATTACAATACGGGTGTTGTGCAGTGACTGTATCCAGGTGGATTACAATACAGGTGTTGTGCAGTGACTGTATCAGGGTTGATTACAATACAGGTGTAATGCAGTTACTATATCAGGGTGGATTACAATACAGATTTTGTGCAGTGACTATATCAGGGTGTATTGCAATACTGGTGTAATGCAGTGATTATATTAGGGTGGATTATAATGCAGGTGTTGTGCAGTGTCTATATCAGGGTGGATTACAATACAGGTGTAATGCAGTGACTATATCAGGGTGGATTACAATACAGGTTTTGTGCAGTGACTATATCAGGGTGGATTACAATACTGGTGTAATGCAGTGACTATATCAGGGTGGATTATATACAGGTGTTGTGCAGTGTCTATATCAGGGTGGATTACAATACTGGTGTAATGCAGTGACTATATCAGGGTGGATTATAATACAGGTGTTGTGCAGTGTCTTTATCAGGGTGGATTACAATACGGGTGTAATGCAGTGACTATGTCAGGTTGGATTACAATACAGGTGTTGTGCAGTGACTATATAAGGGTGGATTAAAATACAGGTGTTGTGCAGTGACTATATCAGGGTGGATTACAAAACAGGTGTTATGCAGTATATCAGGGTGGATTACAATACAGGTGTTATGCAGTGACTATATCAGGTTTGATTACAATACAGGTTTTGTGCAGTGACTATATCAGGGTGGATTACAATACAGGTGTTATGCAGTGACTATATCAGGTTTGATTACAATACAGGTTTTGTGCAGTGTCTATATCAGGGTGGATTACAATCCTCAAAATTTAGCAACGACAACCAATCCCCAAACTGTAACACTAACAACACAAAATGCAGCGCTGACAACCAATTCCCAATATGCAGCACTGACAACCAATCCCAAATATACAACACTGACAACCAATCCCCAATATGCAGTGCTGACAACCAATCCCCAATATGCAGCACTGACAACCAATTCCCAATATGCAGCACTGACAACCAATCCCAAATATACAACACTGACAACCAATCCCCAATATGCAGTGCTGACAACCAATCCCAAATATACAACACTGACAACCAATCCCCAATATGCAGCACTGACAACCAATCCCAAATATACAACACTGACAACCAATCCCCAATATGCAGTGCTGACAACCAATCCCAAATATGCAGCACTAACAACCAATCCCAAATATACAATACTGACAACCAATCCCCAATATGCAGCACTAACAACCAATCCCAAATATACAATACTGACAACCAATCCCCAATATGCAGCGCTGACAACCAATTCCCAATATACAACACTGACAACCAATCCCCAATATGCAGCACTAACAACCAATTCCCAATATGCAGCCCTGACAACCAATCCCCAATATGCAGGGCTGACAACCAATCCCCAATATACAACACTGACAACCAATCCCCAATATGCAGCGCTGACAACCAATCCCAAATATGCAGCACTAACAACCAATTCCCAAAATGCAGCCCTGACAACCAAAATCCCCAATGTACAACACTGACAACCAACAACAATATGCAGCGCTGACAACCAATCCCTAATATGCAGCACTAACAACCAATCCCCAATATGCAGCGCTGACAACCAATCGGCAATATGCAGCACTGACAACCAATCCCCAATATGCAGTGCTGACAACCAATGCCCAAACGTATGAGTGACACACTCGAGTCACCTGCAACTTTGTGGAATGAGGAGTAGCAGTGAGGTGTGTAGGGCGGCTCGATCAGGTGGCCTGTGCCAGGGTAGAACTTCATCTCCACCTTCTTCCTCTTCTCTACTGGTAGTGAATTCACTGTGGCCTTGGCACCCTGCACGTTCCACGACTGATCATCTTCTCCGTAGAGCAACAGGAACCGGGCTTCACTCTGCCAAATCTGGATCACAGATCACACACTCACAGAACACATCCACATGAGTGACACACTGGATGACAGATCACACACTCACATAACACATCCACATGAGTGACACACTGGATCACAGATCACACACTCTCAGAACACATCCACATGAGTGACACACTGGATCACAGATCACACACTCACAGAACACATCCACATGAGTGACACACTGGATCACAGATCACACACTCTCAGAACACATCCACATGAGTGACACACTGGATCACAGATCACACACTCACATAACACATCCACATGAGTGAAACACTGGATCACAGATCACACACTCACAAAACACATCCACATGAGTGACACACTGGATCACAGATCACACACTCACATAACACATCCACATGAGTGACACACTGGATCACAGATCACAAACTCTCACATAACACATCCACATGAGTGACACACTGGATCACAGATCACACACTCTCAGAACACATCCACATGAGTGACACACTGGATCACAGATCACACACTCACATAACACATCCACATGAGTGACATGCTGGATCACAGATCACACACTCTCAGAACACATCCACATGAGTGACACACTGGATCACAGATCACACACTCACATAACACATCCACATGAGTGACACACTGGATCACAGATCACACACTCACAGAACACATCCACATGAGTGACATGCTGGATCACAGATCACACACTCAAAGAACACATCCACCTGAGTGACACACTGGATCACAGATCACACACTCACAGAACACATCCACATGAGTGACACACTGGATCACAGATCACACACTCACAGAACACATCCACATGAGTGACATGCTGGATCACAGATCACACACGCAAAGAACACATCCACCTGAGTGACACACTGGATCACAGATAACACACTCACAGAACACATCCACATGAGTGACACACTGGATCACAGATCACACACTCACAGAACACATCAACACGAGTGACATGCTGTATCACAGATCATACACTCACAAAACACATCCACATGAGTGACACACTGGATCACAGATCACACACTCACATAACACATCCACATGAGTGACACACTGGATCACAGATCACACACTCACATAACACATCCACATGAGTGACACACTGGATCACAGATCACACACTCACAAAACACATCCACATGAGTGACATGCTGTATCACAGATCATACACTCACAAAACACATCCACATGAGTGACATGCTGTATCACAGATCACAAACTCTCAGAACACATCCACATGAGTGACATGCTGTATCACAGATCACACACTCACAGAACACATCCACATGAGTGACATGCTGTATCACAGATCACACACTCACAGAACACATCCACATGAGTGACACACTGGATCACAGATCACACACTCACAAAACACACTGCCATGACACCTACGAGACATCACACGAGACGGGCATAGTTGACTCACGGGATGAGTGACATGCTCCCAGCCGGGGTAGGCATCTCGAGTGATCACACCAGCATCTGTAAACACTACCCTACTCACATCTAATCTGAAATGAAACCCAAGCACAAACACTGATAAACACCAAGGACTGCAAGGTATTATCGGTACACCGGTATATTGCAATAATAATTTCAAACTATACCTTTTGCAATTTTTTGTGCACAAGGCAAACACACGAGACACACACAACAATACACACATGAGACATATACAACAATACACACACATACGAGACAAATACAACAGTACACACACATGAGACACATACAACAATACACACACATGAGACACATACAACAATACACACACATGAGACACATACAACAATTCACACACATGAGACACATACAACACTACACACACACATGAGACACATACAACAATACACACATACACACATGAGACACATACAACAATACACACATACACACATACAACAATACACACATGAGACACATACAACAATTCACACACATGAGACACATACAACACTACACACACACATGAGACACATACAACAATACACACATACACACATGAGACACATACAACAATACACACATGAGACACATACAACAATACACACATGAGACACATACAACAATACACACACATGAGACACATACAACAATACACACACATGAGACACATACAACAATACACACACATGAGACACATACAACAATACACACACATGAGACACATACAACAATACACACATGAGACACATACAACAATTCACACACATGAGACACATACAACACTACACACACACATGAGACACATACAACAATACACACATACACACATGAGACACATACAACAATACACACATGAGACACATACAACAATACACACATGAGACACATACAACAATTCACACACATGAGACACATACAACAATACACACACATGAGACACATACAACAATACACACATACACACATGAGACACACATACAACAATACACACATACACACATGAGACACACATACACACATGAGACACATACAACAATACACACATACACACATGAGACACACATACACACATGAGACACACACACACACATGAGACACATACAACAATACACAAACACATGAGACAAACATCAAATAATACACACACACATGAGGCACATACAACAATACACACATACACACATGAGACACACATACACACATGAGACACACATACACACATGAGACACACATACAAGGCTGAACGTGCTCAGCTCTTACTCCACTCCCTTGATGTCATCGCCACCGATTCTCTTCAGGTCAGAAAATGTGAAGGCCATGGCACCACTGATGCTGACAACTGCCGTCACCTGAATGGGAAGAAACAACTCCGCTTCATGAACAGCTTCAACAATGAATAGACATTTACTTTATTTGTTTGTTGTTTACCGCCACAATAATCAATACTCCAGCTGAAGTTGGCAGCCAGTAAAGGTTCAAGTCATGACCAGACAAACCAAGTGACCCAGTATGACCACCTGCTCTAGTGAGTCAACTCTAACAAGCATCGGGGCATAATATATGCAAGAATTCCATGCTTTGTCAAGTTTGTATGCTCTGATGTTTTTGAACCTTGGCTTTGTAGCTGAAGAAAAACCATCACTCTAAAAACAAATCATATTTCTAGAAATAATGTGTATTATATATCATGGTACATATGATCCAAATCTTTAAAAACAATACAAACTGACAATCATCCCACAACCACCAACCTTTGGGGAAAATGTCGCCATAAGCATGGCCAGTTCCGCACCCTTGGAGACCCCAATGACTCCGATGCCGGTCAAATAGACGGCGGAATGACTCTGCAGCCAGTCCACAGCATCAAGGAAGTAATCTAGGTCAAGCTCTTCCAGATTCTTTGTAAGGTCATCATATCCTAGGTAGCCGAGAGCCAAAGCAGCAAACCCATGGGACGCTAAAAGTGCCGCTCTGGTCTCAACTAAACCTCCCGTGGAGCCGAACATATCAATCACTCCTGGAAAAGGACCATCGCCTGTAGACAAAACAGACACACTACAGTCACTGTCAAACATCTCACACACACACACACACACACACACACACACACACACACACACACACACACACACACACACACACACACGGATCCGTATCAAGCTTGACAACAGTGTAAGAATCTACATCAAAACATCACTACAGGCAAGTTGTTATCCATAGAGTTTTCTTGTCACTCAAATATTGCTGCACATAACACCTGCATACATGTAACACCTGTGCACATGTTACATGCAGGGATAGACTTCAGGAACTTGAATGAACTTGCACAAGGTGTATTGACCTGAGAACCTGGTTGCACCAGACAAACCCAGGTCCCATCAGTTATCAAAGTTGAAACATAGGTGCATAAACTAGTCAAAATAAACAAAATCTCTGATGACTGTGTCATGATTTTACATAAATGAATGAGAAAACACAAGAGGAACATATGAAAATATTCTTGCAGTACCCAGTTTGATGACACCTGCGCACATGTAACACCTGCACACATTGAATGCCTGCATTCCTGGAAAACCTGCCTACCTGGAACACCTGCGTACACGGAACACCTGCGCACATTGAATGCCTGCATTCCTGGAAAACCTGCCTACCTGGAACACATGCCTATCTGGAACACCTGTGCACATGTAACACCTGCGCACATTGAATGCCTGCCTACCTGGAACACATGCCTACCTGGAACACCTGCGCAAATTGAATGCCTGCATTCCTGGAACACCTGCGTACATGTAACACCTGCGCACATTGAATGCCTGCCTACCTGGAACACCTGCACACATTGAATGCCTGTATTCCTGGAAAACCTGCCTACCTGGAACACCTGCGCACATTAAATGCCTGCCTATGTATAACACCTGCCTACCTGGAACATCTGCCCACTTATAACACCTGCCTACCTAGAACACATGCCCACTTATAACACCTGCCTACATATAACACCTGCCTACGTATAACACCTGCGTACATGGAACACCTGTGTTACCTGCTTACCTGCTGGCAGGAACAATGTGCCCCTCAGTCTTCCCTCTCGCACAGCGATCCTCCTGACACTGCTGGCCTTGTACCACCGCTCTGCCGTTGCCGTGACAATAGCCGACACATCACAATGGTCTAAGTCCAGGTGGCCTTCTAGCAGAGAGAAGTGCACTGAAAATGGCTCTGCGACATCCCTCTTGCTGAGACGGGCCGTGGGGGACTCCCCTGGTGCCGGCGTCATACTCCACATGAGGCCCATGCCGTCCACCCCTGCAGTGAGTGAGGGAGTGAGTGAGTGAGTTTGTAGAGTGTAGGACACAGGGGTGTAGTGTAGGACACAGGGGTGTAGTGTAGTACACAGGGGTGTAGTGTAGGACACAGTGGTGTAGTGTAGGACACAGTGGTGTAGTGTAGGACACGGGTGTGTAGTGTGGGACACAGTGGTGTAGTGTGGGACACAGTGGTGTAGTGTAGGACACAGTGGTGTAGTGTAGGACACGGGTGTGTAGTGTGGGACACAGTGGTGTAGTGTAGGACACAGTGGTGTAGTGTAGGATACAGGGGTGTAGTGTAGGACACAGGGGTGCAGTGTAGGACACAGGGGTGTAGTGTAGGACACAGGGGTGCAGTGTAGGACACAGGGGTGTAGTGTAGGACACAGGGGTGTAGTGTAGGACACAGGGGTGTAGTGTAGGACACAGGGATGTAGTGTAGGACACAGGGGTGTAGTGTAGGACACAGGGGTGTAGTGTAGGACACAGGGGTGTAGTGTAGGACACGGGTGTCAAGGAGGACACAGGGGTGTAGTGTAGGACACGGGTGTCAAGGAGGACACAGGGGTGTAGTGTAGGACACGGGTGTCAAGGAGGACACAGGGGTGTAGTGTAGGACACAGCGGTGTAGTGTAGGACATGGGTGTCGAGTAGGACACAGGGGTGTAGTGTAGGACACGGGTGTCAAGGAGGACACAGGGGTGTAGTGTAGGACATGGGTGTCATGGAGGACACAGGGGTGTAGTGTGGGACACAGGGATGTAGTGTAGGACACAGGGGTGTAGTGTAGGACACGGGTGTCAAGGAGGACACAGGGGTGTAGTGTAGGACACGGGTGTCAAGGAGGACACAGGGGTGTATTGCAAGACGTGACGCACCTGTGTAAGTTCCTCCACAAGAGGCTTGTGTTGTGAGGTTGATGGAGCCGTGTTGATCTGCTGTGAAGTGACCACATGCTGCAAACTCTGCCCTCTCTTTCAGTGAGGCATGGAGTGTCACCCGCTGGGAGGGTCGTAGCCCCCTGGCCTCAATACAAACCTTCTCATCCACCAGTGCAACCCTGGGAGAGACTGTTAGTTCCGGCATAACTGTGGAAAGAGCCCTCGTGCTCCACATTGCAACTCCAACGCACACCTTGCGTCGCCTGGACAGAAACACTGTAACAAAAATATTTCTTTTGTGGATCATTGCAACCCAGTGTGAACCTCCTTCACAGAACTATACATTTAAGCACTTAGCAGTGTCCTTGTACATAGCTAAAAACGTCATTGGCAGAGCAGTCACTTGATTATGTCAGTATTTAACTGTTTTATTAAATGATTATTTCAAAATCATGGGGACCTGGAAAAAAGTTTGAGTTATCTAGGTTCGAGACAACCAACAAAGAAATTTTTGAAAACCAAACATTATTATAAATTATTATTACCGTATTAGCTCTAATAAGCGCCCACAGCAATATTTGCTAATATATTGGCTAGTGAACAATCCCAATAAGCACCTCTTCCGATTGATCAATGTACACAAGACTTATTTATTCGCGTATGATAAGTACTCGTGTGTTATATGCACCCTTAATTATGGGCAATTAAATTCTGGAAAAATATATCTGTTGTACATAAACATTTCAGGCTTTCAGCATAAACCACTAAATTTATGTTTCAACTCTGTTTTTTTTCTTCACCAAAATGATGTTCTAATAAGAGCCCCTATTTCTAATTTTGAGAGCACCCTGGGTGCTTATTACGTCGAATACGGTACCAGGTTTGGACGCAACACTAGATTTTCAGTGCCTAAGCTGCTGAGTGAAAGGGGCGACACCTCAAACAACCAGAGTGATGATCTATGCCTGAGCCACAGCTCAAATAACAGATTCACGAATATAATCTTAATCTGTTTTACACATTTATCAATTTACACTTGTCAACAGCAGTCCCACAGGACATACTTGCTGCCCATGTGTATGCAGCTTGCAGCTTTGATGTAAGGTGTTCTTGTTAATGAAGCCAGATATAGGATATTGGCATGTTGTAACAAAGCATCCTGCTTTCGGTGCATTTGAGGCAATCCCAGTGAGGTCAATCAGTCACGTCAGGGTAGTTGTAGTTTTCAGTTGGGAGACTTTGGACTCCAAAATGAGTTTGAGACAACCGGGACTTCAAGACATCCACTTTGACAGATCCTAGTATACATGGCGATACACGTACATGCATGTAGAGGGAATTCAAGACATCCACTTTGACAGATGCTAGTATACATGGCGATACATGTACATGTAGAGGGAATTCAAGACATCCACTTTGACAGATGCTAGTATACATGGCGATACATGTACATGTAGAGGGAATTCAAGACATCCACTTTGACAGATGCTAGTATACATGGCGATACATGTACATGTAGAGGGAATTCAAGACATCCACTTTGACAGATGCTAGTATACATGGCGATACACGTACATGCATGTAGAGGGAATTCAAGACATCCACTTTGACAGATCCTAGTATACATGGCGATACATGTACATGTAGAGGGAATTCAAGACATCCACTTTGACAGATGCTAGTATACATGGCGATACACGTACATGCATGTAGAGGGAATTCAAGACATCCACTTTGACAAATCCTAGTATACATGGCGATACACGTACATGCATGTAGAGGGAATTCAAGACATCCACTTTGACAAATCCTAGTATACATGGCGATACATGTACATGTAGAGGGAATTCAAGACGTCCACTTTGACAGATGCTAGTATACATGGCGATACACGTACATGCATGTAGAGGGAATTCAAGACAACCACTTTGACAGATGCTAGTATACATGGCGATACACGTACATGTAGAGGGAATTCAAGACATCCACTTTGACAGATCCTAGTATATATGGCGATACACGTACATGTAGAGGGAATTCAAGACATCCACTTTGACAGATCCTAGTATACATGGCGATACACGTACATGCATGTAGAGGGAATTCAAGACAACCACTTTGACAGATGCTAGTATACATGGCGATACACGTACATGTAGAGGGAATTCAAGACATCCACTTTGACAGATCCTAGTATATATGGCGATACACGTACATGTAGAGGGAATTCAAGACATCCACTTTGACAGATCCTAGTATACATGGCGATACACGTACATGTAGAGGGAATTCAAGACATCCACTTTGACAGATGCTAGTATATATGGCGATACATGTACATGCATGTAGAGGGAATTCAAGACATCCACTTTGACAAATCCTAGTATACATGGCGATACACGTACATGTAGAGGGAATTCAAGACATCCACTTTGACAGATCCTAGTATACATGGCGATACACGTACATGTAGAGGGAATTCAAGACATCCACTTTGACAGATCCTAGTATACATGGCGATACACGTACATGTAGAGGGAATTCAAGACATCCACTTTGACAGATGCTAGTATACATGGCGATACACGTACATGTAGAGGGAATTCAAGACATCCACTTTGACAGATGCTAGTATACATGGCGATACACGTACATGTAGAGGGAATTCAAGACATCCACTTTGACAGATCCTAGTATACATGGCGATACACGTACATGCATGTAGAGGGAATTCAAGACATCCACTTTGACAAATCCTAGTATACATGGCGATACACGTACATGTAGAGGGAATTCAAGACATCCACTTTGACAGATCCTAGTATACATGGCGATACACGTACATGTAGAGGGAATTCAAGACATCCACTTTGACAGATCCTAGTATACATGGCGATACATGTACATGTAGAGGGAATTCAAGACATCCACTTTGACAAATCCTAGTATACATGGCGATACACGTACATGTAGAGGGAATTCAAGACATCCACTTTGACAGATGCTAGTATATATGGTGATACATGTACATGCATGTAGAGGGAATTCAAGACATCCACTTTGACAAATCCTAGTATACATGGCGATACACGTACATGTAGAGGGAATTCAAGACATCCACTTTGACAGATGCTAGTATACATGGCGATACACGTACATGTAGAGGGAATTCAAGACATCCACTTTGACAGATGCTAGTATACATGGCGATACACGTACATGTAGAGGGAATTCAAGACATCCACTTTGACAGATCCTAGTATACATGGCGATACACGTACATGTAGAGGGAATTCAAGACATCCACTTTGACAAATGCTAGTATATATGGCGATACATGTACATGTAGAGGGAATTCAAGACATCCACTTTGACAAATGCTAGTATACATGGCGATACATGTACATGTAGAGGGAATTCAAGACATCCACTTTGACAGATCCTAGTATACATGGCGATACACGTACATGTAGAGGGAATTCAAGACATCCACTTTGACAAATGCTAGTATATATGGCGATACACGTACATGTAGAGGGAATTCAAGACATCCACTTTGACAGATCCTAGTATACATGGCGATACACGTACATGTAGAGGGAATTCAAGACATCCACTTTGACAGATGCTAGTATACATGGCGATACACGTACATGTAGAGGGAATTCAAGACATCCACTTTGACAGATGCTAGTATACATGGCGATACACGTACATGCATGTAGAGGGAATTCAAGACATCCACTTTGACAGATCCTAGTATATATGGCGATACACGTACATGTAGAGGGAATTCAAGACATCCACTTTGACAGATCCTAGTATACATGGCGATACACGTACATGTAGAGGGAATTCAAGACATACACTTTGACAGATGCTAGTATACATGGCGATACACGTACATGCATGTAGAGGGAATTCAAGACATCCACTTTGACAGATCCTAGTATATATGGCGATACACGTACATGTAGAGGGAATTCAAGACATCCACTTTGACAGATCCTAGTATACATGGCGATACACGTACATGTAGAGGGAATTCAAGACATCCACTTTGACAGATGCTAGTATACATGGCGATACACGTACATGTAGAGGGAATTCAAGACATCCACTTTGACAGATGCTAGTATACATGGCGATACACGTACATGTAGAGGGAATTCAAGACATCCACTTTGACAAATCCTAGTATACATGGCGATACACGTACATGTAGAGGGAATTCAAGACATCCACTTTGACAGATGCTAGTATACATGGCGATACACGTACATGTAGAGGGAATTCAAGACATCCACTTTGACAAATCCTAGTATACATGGCGATACACGTACATGTAGAGGGAATTCAAGACATCCACTTTGACAGATGCTAGTATATATGGCGATACATGTACATGCATGTAGAGGGAATTCAAGACATCCACTTTGACAGATCCTAGTATACATGGCGATACATGTACATGTAGAGGGAATTCATGACATCCACTTTGACAGATCCTAGTATACATGGCGATACACGTACATGTAGAGGGAATTCAAGACATCCACTTTGACAGATGCTAGTATACATGGCGATACACGTACATGTAGAGGGAATTCAAGACATCCACTTTGACAAATCCTAGTATACATGGCGATACACGTACATGTAGAGGGAATTCAAGACATCCACTTTGACAGATCCTAGTATATATGGCGATACATGTACATGTAGAGGGAATTCAAGACCTCCACTTTGACAGATGCTAGTATACATGGCGATACACGTACATGTAGAGGGAATTCAAGACATCCACTTTGACAGATGCTAATATACATGGCGATACATGTACATGTAGAGGGAATTCAAGACATCCACTTTGACAGATGCTAGTATACATGGCGATACACGTACATGTAGAGGGAATTCAAGACATCCACTTTGACAGATGCTAGTATACATGGCGATACACGTACATGTAGAGGGAATTCAAGACATCCACTTTGACAGATCCTAGTATACATGGCGATACACGTACATGTAGAGGGAATTCAAGACATCCACTTTGACAAATGCTAGTATATATGGCGATACACGTACATGTAGAGGGAATTCAAGACATCCACTTTGACAGATCCTAGTATACATGGCGATACACGTACATGTAGAGGGAATTCAAGACATCCACTTTGACAGATGCTAGTATACATGGCGATACACGTACATGTAGAGGGAATTCAAGACATCCACTTTGACAGATGCTAGTATACATGGCGATACACGTA